ACTCCTCACCAACATTACTCTACAGACATGGATAAATGTAACCCTTTCCTACATGGTAGTCATAAATGGCAAGTGTAGCTTCCGTTCACCCAGCAGAAAATGGGGAACCCGAGGGGACTAGATATTTATGCGAATGCCACCTTCTTTAGATTGTCTAATATCCTCCTCAGGGAGCTGAGAATGTAAATAGACTGCACAGCGATCCACAGACTAGGTTAATAATTGTGTAGCATCATGATCATGCTTCATGGCTTGGGTACATCGTGACATAAACATGCATTCATTTCCATATTATTATAACTTGTATGAACAAGTATCAAGACAAGTGCTTGACACATATTTTCTTATGGTTGCAAAACTTTCACAGTGGACACAGACACAAAATCCCATTGCATCTCCCAGAATGGCATGCAAAGAAGACAATGGATATGAAATCAGTGTCAACATTCCATCACTAGTGCAGCTGAAAAAGGCCATCAGCAGTGCAATTAAATCATGGCGAATACTAAGATAAATGGTCTGACAATTGAGTGAGTGGATGAGTTTAATGAGGAGTAAACATCAGGGTCAGTCTGCAAGCACTCACAACTCAGCGGAATATTTGTTCTGTGAACAATGATCAATACCTTCAGGACATGACGTCATTAACATCAACCAGGCCCCGATTCATAGTGCCTATTAGCAACAGGAACACCAGAAGTTCGGGTTCTGGAAAGAGCCTTTAGGTCACGCCAACTATTGATATTCCAGGGCCCTGTTCCGCAAAGCGATTGTAGCTCAAAGACAATCATAATTTAGTAACACGAACACCAGAAGTTCAGGTTCTGGAAAGAGGCTTTAGGTCACGCCAACTATTGATATTCCAGGGCCCTGTTCCGCAAAGCGATTGTAGCTCATACAAATCGTAACTCCCATACTTTAACCAAAGATTACATCAGTCATTGAACTAAGATCTCTTTTTGGAACCGGCCCCTGACCTTTTGGCAGTCACCTAGTATGACAAGCTGTAAACACAAGGGACCTATGAAGTCAAATTGACACGTGTCAAGTGAAATCATCTCCTAATCCTGTACATCATTTCATTCCCCCTGTCAGAGGTGATCTGATTAGGGTTGACAGACATGTGCTCTGTCTGCAGTGCTAGGAGTCAGAGCAGGCTGGCACACCATTGCAGTGGGAGGCATGGGGAATGTAACAGGTCATGTACGATAAGGTGAAGAGTGAAAAATATAGCCAGTGATGGAGTTTCAACAATCCCCAGAAAACAGCCCAAAACTTCAAAATTCCTCAGGTCAGCAAAATATGTTATCATTGTACATGTAGAACTGTGTCAAAGGCTTACCAAACCATATTTCTTGGGAACAGCAATTCTACTTGAACACAGTGTTTCAAGAAAAGTGGCAAAATATTTATCATGTAGAAGTCATTACCAGGGATACAAACTTCAAACCACTTTCACTCTTTAACATGAACACACATTGTCATTGATAGACTGTTCCTGCTTCTTGCTGTGGTTACAGGTCCAGTGCAATTGTTTGTTCATGAGGTCACAAACTGTTTGCAGGACATTACCCATCTGAACAGAAAACTATTTACAGAGACATATAAAGCCAGGATGAAAGTATTCTTTCTGAAATGGACAATGGTTAACAAACACAGCAAACTCAGTGAGCTATAGCAAAAAGTTGGATATAACAATGTCAGATACAGCAAAATATGGGTTATAAAACCTTGGGTGGCAATCAATGTTCATTTGAGTTACAAAGTGGTCGAAATTAAGCATTAAAGTCAAGTGTCCTTGTCAAAGACCTTATGCCAAAAGTTCAAGATTTTGAGGGTCCCTAGACGTAAATACCACAGGAGCAAACCTCATAGTCCCCAGGATCCCTTAATTTCAAACAATACTTTCCACTGTAGAACCCTCTCGAAACACAGAAAATGTGATTATGTTTTCCTCAGTGAAAAATGTAACATGTGCCTGATGCACCATGGCTTAGATTTATTCACCTGAGACAGATAATCCATAATTCATTGTTGCTCCTCGTTATTTTCTGAATATTGACCTGGAGTGGAAATAAATACTTCACAATGTTCTACGCTTGGTGTAAAAATACAAGGAGCAAGTTGAGAGAACTTCAGAATCATGCAATGTAAGTCCCACATGAGTGCACAGCTCAATACACAGGAAGTCAGGCACTTCATAAAGGCATTACGTTATTCCCTCCCAACTCTTCAACTGTACTGTCCTACAGTTTAGTGCTTTGACTTCTTTACCCAGCAATATTCCTGCTACATTATGGTGGCCAGTAAATTAGTCGGAACCACAGCGGTAAAAACTAACAGTTTCAGTCCACTAGTCCTTATAATGATAGCATATAGCTAAACCTTCAAAAATTTCAAAATTCTACTAGTCCTTAGGATACCTGTACTATTGGGCAGTTTGGCAAGGACTATAGGACTAGTGCCAATTTCTAACCCTGAACCAGACAAACCAGAGACTAATATTAGAGTGAGTGAGCGAGTATGGTTTAACGCCACTTTTAGCAATATTCCAGCAATATCTCAGCGGGGGACACCAGAAATGGGCTTCACACGTTGTACCCATGTCGGGAATCGAACCCGGGTCTTCGGCAAGGATCATGCAATGCCATTGGGACACAATGACACGTCACAAACTGGTCACCAAGCCTGACCACTCAATCCATTAAGCTGCCTCTGAGCAGCATAGGTAAGTCAGCGAAATATGATGCTATGCCGCTGTTAGCAATATTCCAGCAATTTCACTGCAAGGAGACCGCCTCCGTGGCCTAGTGGTGGAGCGTCCGCCCAGAGAGAGGAAGGTCCGGGGTTCGATCCCCGGCCGCGTCACACCAAAAGACGTTAAAAGATGGTACTTGTTGTTACCCTGTCTGGCGCTCGACATTAAAGGGCGTAAACAAGGACTGGTTGGCTCGGAGTCAGTATACTGTGTCTGAGTGGGGTATTCATGTTAACTGCGGCATGGTATCTCAGTGTGCTGGCACTATAAATCCGCATCAGTCCTATTAGTACAAGCAGCCACACACACACGTGCATGCACGTCGCTATATAAGTGCAATAATCTTGGACCCGACGTTAAACCCAATTTCACCTCACCTCACCTATCACTGCAGGGAACAAAAGAAATGTGCTTCACACAATGTACTAGGGATAGGATAGGGTACCCACACCCCTATTACCCAACCCTACCCGGGTACTCGCTGTTGGAGTCAAGATATAGGTACAAAATGTCCGATTTGGAATAGTTTGACAGTAGCCCTGGCAGAATGTATCTAGATACATGTATAAAACAGTGTGGTCATGCATACACTGAACTTGACTGAAGTTTTAGCTTTGTTCAAACATATATAAGTCAGAAGGAACGTGTTCATTGTCATAAAGAAATGCGAACATTAGAGGCTCAAAATTGTCGTGTAACCATGTAGGTATATAGTGAAGTTTTGTCATGAAGCAATATATCACGTAATTAACCACGGGTCCGGGTAGTCCCGTGGATACCTGGGTCCTACTCAGTACCAACCTGACCCGAGTACCCGAGTTACCCGTCTCAGCCCTGCAATGTACCCATGCAGGGAATCAAACCCAGGTCTTCGGCGTGATGAGCGAACGCTTTTACCACCAGGCTGCCCCACATCCCTGATCAGCATAGGTTGCTGGGGGCCTATTCTATCCCGGAATCCTTAAGGGCGAGACTGCTATGTAATAGCATGTGAGTTATGACAGTCTTACTAGACTTAGTCCCAGCACTGCACCAGATGCTGTCCTATTTTGCAATCCGTGAAGCTCTCGGGAGTCAGTGTTTCATGCTAAAATAAGCATTATCAGAGCAGCTTGTAACTTATCGACTGTGGGACAGGCAAGCTAGTGGTTGATAGCATGAATAACCAAACTGTCAAGTAAAAAGACAGGCAGGTCACACAGTGTAACCACCCAATCCTCAGGATTGTCTCAGGCTTGTACAAGTGCAACAGCAACTGGCAATAAAGGATACAACCATGTTTCAGATCATCCTTTGCTATGTCCTTGACCTTGCAAGACATAGCACCAAAATTAGACTTGGAATGATATGGGCAAACATAAAGTTTCATGCCTTTAGAAAAGTAACCGTGCCTCAGAAAGTAACAAAGATATACCTATGTTTCACAAAAAGCTGAATGCTGACCTTGACCTTTGTCTATTTTGAACAAAAACAATTCAAAGCTGTGCCTCATCCTAGAGTAGGTATATACCAATTGTAATGATGCATAATACTTTTTTGAGAAATCGAAACAAGCTTTTGGGTGAGATGTTCCTATTTTGTGACCTTGACCTTCTCATTCCATGTGGAAAAAGATTCCAACAGGTCCATCTTTTTGCCCTATTCAAAAGCAAATATGAAACTTCTGCTGAAAGTTTGCTCAAATGTGACCTTGACCTTTGACATATGTGTTGATGTTTGATGTGGTAGGATGCCTTATAAAACATTTAAATACAAAATCCATGCCTGAAGATGTAAAAACCATGCCTCAGAAACTGACAACTGTTTCACAAAAAGCTGAATGCTGAGCTTGACCTTTGACTAATCTTGAAAATAAATATTTCAAAATGGGTCTCCATCCTTGAGAAGATATATACCTAGTTAAATGACACTTGCATTCAAAACAATTTAGAAAGCATAAGGTTTCTTGAGACCTTGACATTGACATTGACATTGACCTTTGACCTTTCACGCATTCCCCAGGGACATTGGTACTTTGGAAGAAGTCCAACAAAACGAAAAATCTGTCAAGGGGTTGCTATTCAAACTTTTTAGTACATGAGACCATTCGCTTTATCCAACATTGCCATATCCAAAACAAACAATAATACAACAGCATATTGAAACCATGCATCGTAAGTTATAACATGCAAGACATTGTCAGCCATCAGTGAATAGCATGAGGACAATGAACAACACTGACAGAGGACTTTGTGACACTCACCAGGCACTGCAACGAAGAACTTGACAGCATCTTTGTGTCCGTGGAAGGACAGTTGAGCCTGGGCCATGGAGCAGTAGGGGATGAAGGAACCGGGCGTTACACTGTCCGTCTTGGTGTCGCTATACACTCGTATCACCCCTCCGGGTTGGCGCCGGCTAGAAGTGGTTACCTGTTGTTTGTTGCCTGGAGAGGGATGAACAATGTGTATTTTTAGGATTGTTTGTTTGTTGTTGTGGTTTAAAGCAGTACTTGGCAATATTCCAGCTACATGACAGCTGTCTGTAAATTGAGTCTGTACCAGACAATCCAGTGATTAATATGCAATTGGGATACGATGACATGCATCAACCAAGTCAGCGAGCCTGACCACCCGATCCCTGTAGTTGCCCCATGCGACAAGCATGGGATGCTGAAGACCAATTCTTACCCGGATCTTTATGGGTGGTTTGCTTGTTTAGAGACAATTCAGAAATAATATCCACCAGACAAACCAGTGATTGATATTGTGAGCAATGATCTATGCAGTTGGGGTAAGATGACACAGTCAACTGACCCTTCAAGCTGTCTCTTACGACAAGCATGGGTTGATGGGGATCAACAAGTGTTGATTGATAAGTCTTGAGCCTCACAAGGAAGGAATTGCGCACTGGTAATAATGAAATCTTATGTTGGAATCTGTTGAGGTATATCCACAAAAACTTTAGTCAAATGAACAGATTGTTTAGCTGGGACAAGTCAGTAAATTAAGTAGGGGTCTGTGAGCCTTGGAAACAAACTTGAGGAACGTGCAGTGATAAGTTACAGTGATTTTCACTCTTGGCTGAAAAAGAAGGTTCCACAGCAACTTACTTTCTGAGAGGGGGACTGAAATGATGACACCATTTCCTGTGCCAATCCACAGACGGTTGCATGATATCAGCATGGCGGTGATACGTACGAAGGAGAAGCCCAGTTTGCCAGTACCTTCAATGAAAAATATGCTTCTATACAAAACCAAAGGTTCTCAGGCAATGATGATTCATGATATTTACAGGTGGCATAAGTTTTCCTGAATATTTTACAACAGTAGGCCTTCATTTTTTCACATACAGCAGACTTAGTTTTCTGAGGAAGTGTTTAAACAGGCAGCCATAGTTTGCCGTGAAAATTTGTTCACAGGCAGCCCTGTAATTTAATTTTCCCTGAATTTTTTTCACCAGTTGCCTTAGTTTTCCACATGAATATTAACTAGACTGACATTTTGCAGATGTCAACATGGTTAATGTCAGAGACATTTCTTGAGTGAAATAATTATTTGATTATCACTTCATTAAAGTGTCAAAGTTTGTCTAAAAACAGGGACTGGCAGATTGTTTCTTGGGAAGAAATTACATGAGCAATGTCTCATATTTGACGTGTGAACACAGTGACCTTTTGTTAGTGAAAAAAGTGTCTTTGGGTGTGCAAGATTTTTATATTTCATCTTAAAATAGAAACATCAAATCACGATGTTGTATGAACTATATGAAATAATGATTAATATCTAATTGATATTTAATGTTATCTAATTGCAATATGATGACATTAGCATGATTAGGACAAGAATACAGAGAATGCAACAAAATTAATCATCAATTGAAATTAGATAAGCCAAAATGGCTCCAGACTTCTGACCAGTGAAGAAGAAACGACGTAAACAAAAAGCAATAATGATTTCACCAGAACTCATAACCTTTCCCGACATGGTCATATAACCTTTAAACTACTTAATATAGACTAAGATGTCTGGCCATGCTACTCCACACTTTCTCTGTGTATTAACTCCTTCACAGATGACACTGGGGCCAGCCGGCAGACTTACCCAGCATCTTACTGACATACGGCTCTATGTCCACGTCCTGGAGGTGTTGGTGGGTGTGGGCGTGGTACAGCCGGAGGGTGCTGTCCAGACGAATCGACACCCAGACACCCTCCCCAACCCAACATAACTGCCGCACTTGGCTTTCCTTGCGAGGATGGGCATCAAAACTTTTCTGAAATAATGAGTGAATTTATTACAGCAGGGGGTACCAAATATGAGTCAGATATTTTGCCTATGTTGGGATTCAAACCTAACCACTAGGCTACCCCACTACCCCTGACCTGTACTTCCAGTGTACCCACAACAGCCAGAAAGATTATGGACATCCATGTCAAATTTGAAAGCACAAATTCATCTGGATATGATGACACACTAAATCAACAAGCTCACAATGAGTGAGTGAGTTTGGTTTTACGCCGCTTTTAGCAATATTCCAGCAATATCACGGCGGGGAACACCAGAAATGGGCTTCACACATTGTACCCATGTCGGGATTCAAACCCGGGTCTCCGGCGTGACGAGCTAACGCTTTAACCACTTGGCTACCCGACCGCCCCCTCACAATTGAGATGTTCTGTCCATTCAAGGAGGCCTAGCTTTCTAAGACCCCACTTATTGGTTACCGTAAACTATGTGACTGTTCTTCTAAAGGGGAGATATTTTAGATGATCTTCTTCATCTTGATAATTATCAATGCCACAACCAACAATCTCCTGATGAAATGATTTACTGCTTGATATCTTATAACTCAAAGTTAAATCCTGTGTTCAGGTTTTCTTCCGAGATGGATGCTTCCATTTTGTGAATCTATCAGACATGACCAATACAAATACTAGTGGTGGGATGACAGGCCGATGCATCAATGGATTGCGATTCTTTTACTTCTCAATACAAGTATCGATCACAGCGGCACAATAAGTAAAAATATCGACATATACCTAAAAATGTATGCTGTAATAAATGTTACACCAAACACTAATTACTGCCAACTGTAAATCGTCAGTGTGCCAGATATTTGGCCATCGTGTCTATGATAAAGATGGCTTACTTACCACTGATAAGGGCACATGCAAGTATCATGATATGTATCAGATCCTGAGCAAGGTATTGTGATAATTATTGGATCGCACAGTTGGTGTATTGTCCAAACTGTAACAAATACATCTCTCAAATGAATAGAAGATTCTATTTCTGATAACACAGGTCCAGGACACCTCATTAATCCAGACAGCAACAATCAAAGCAACACTGTGCAGATTAACAATTTTCCAGATCAACAAATCATCGTTACAGAGTCAAGACCTTTCTATATAAAAAAGTAATAAAACGAGTTTCCACAGTAACAAGGTCTTGACTAATGAGGTTTTACTGACAGTCAGTCAGTCAGTCAGTCAGTCAGTCAGTCAGTCAGTCAGTCAGTCAGTCAGTCTGTCTGTCTGTTTCTAATGGCTTACCTCAATTCCCATAGTTTGAGGATTAATGATGTGAACTTTGTTCTTGTATCCGCACCAGACGTTCTTGTTGGCGATGACCGTCATACACCTGATAGAGTGATGTGGCCGGCCAAGGTCAAGCAGATGGTAGTTCTTCAAGTCCCACTGGCCATCTGTAAGAAAGTAATAATGAACCACATGATAACTAGGGGGGCCTTGACAAGAAGAAATCAGCAAGAACAAAGTGAGTGATCCGGGATCTCTTCTGCTTGTGTGTGAGTTTTTGCAGTATTTCAGTTGTCACAGCATACCAGCTTTATGTATGTGTGTGGGTCGGGGGAGGGAGGAGACAGGGACGACCGAAGTTGTGCAGTTCTTAGACATTAGACCACATATGATGTATCTTCCTGAGGCCATGCACATATGATGTTTCTTCCCAAGGCAAGGGAGTTAACCAGTCCAATCAAAATTGCGCAACTAAATCGAAATCCGGTTCGTAAACTGTCATGCAGATTTCAGTGGATTGCAGGATTTGCAAAGCATGTGCACCGCCATCTCGATGTCAACAGATATTTTCCAAATCTTTTCAAGTTTTTAATCAAGGTGCTCACATGATTTGATGGACTTCACGATGTAAGACCCGTTTTATCACAATATAGATCTTGATTGTCGATCAGATTGTCTTGACTGGGCGCCACCATTTTTTTTTAAGCTAACGCAAGTGATGCGAGAGGTGGCATCTAATTGGTCCATGGGAGAGGCTTAGAAGGGACACAACTCGTAATAGCCATTGGTGGCGCTACGTCAAGCCCAGGAACTTCCGCCTAGTTCGGCAAGGGTGGAACCTGGACTTGAAAAGTCAGTTATCTCTCTTGCCTCGGGAAGATGAATATAATGCTGACAAATGAAGGATCCTGGCATACCTGAGGGATGCAACTCTGCACATCCACTTGCAATGTCTTAGAAGCCTGGGCCACATGTGCCTGTACATGTAGTCAAACCTGAACCTCTTGCGTGATGAGCAACCAATGGGTTACCCTACAGGAACGTCAAGACTGCAGTCTGGGACTTCAGTCACTCATCCTATGCATTAGGCTAGAAACATTTTGTCCAGTAAGCTCAAATATACAGTCAAGCCCTGTTAATTCGACATGGTTGGTTGCATATGATTATGTCGGATTAACGAGTATGTCTGATAAACGAAATTAAGTTGTATCAGCGTTTGTGATCGAAAATCACAGATAACGATACAAACATGTTATAATAAAAAAAATCATATTGTTATGTTACATAGTTTGCGGAATTTGTTTTTTTATCATGCAAACTCTAAAGCTTCACACAAAACTACGGTTAGGGCTGTATGACTGATTCAAAATATTATGAAAAGCATAGTCTGGAATGGAAGTCGCCAGTTTGAAACTAGTGCCGCAAAGCTCAAGAAAGCTGCTGTCTTTGTGGCTAATGTGGCTAATGTTAGTGATTTTATTGGTCGGTCTAAGTTTGCAAAAGGTCGTTCTGACGTGACCTGTAATGGGATATCGTCAGTGGTAGAGAGAACTTGTATCTAATTTTAAAAACACGGGGCTGTGTACTCACGGGCAGATGACCACGGAGTACCCTGATCACTGTGTCTGATTAACAAGAATGATTAATGAGTGATTTCAGTAATTCGTTGCAAATAAGGTGTGTCGGAGTTAGTGTGAGACTGTTGGATTGAGGGGTCTAAATAACACTGATTTAATCGGTTCCCATTTTAGTGTCGGATAGAGCCGATTGTCGGAGTATAAAATGTCTTCGGCTAAGACTGCATCATGATTTGGGCTGTGCTAAATATTGGCGCTTTGGCCCTTGCAATATCCATCTAGATGTTTTGTTTGTTTGTTTGTTGTTTAACACCGCACTCAGCAATATTCCAGCTATATGGCAGCGGTCTGTAAATAATCGAGTGGACCAGACAATCCAGCGATTGACATCATGAGCATCAATCCACGCAATTGGGACCGATGACATGCATCAACTAAGTCAGTGAGCCTGACCATCCGATCCCGTTAGTCGGCTCTTATGACAAGCATAGTCGCCTTTTACGGCAAGCATGGGTTGCTGAAGACCTTTTCTACCCCGGATCTTCACGAGTCCCACCAACATGTAACTCAATAATAAAACAAATATCCACCTTTGTCCACATTATCCACATGTCCTTGACACTATCAGTTCAAAGTTCCATATGTAGTTTTGCCCCACGGTGCACAGATTCCCATGCATGATTCCACAAACAGAATTGTCAGGCTGTGTACTTACATATACACTTTAAAACAAGAGATTTATCTAGGATTTGTAACTAAGGAATGGGGCAAGCAATTGAAATAATATGCACCGTGTTGAGTCCAAAATGCCATTGCTTGTCCTGACTACTTTAATAACAGAGGCAATTCATTAAAAACTGTCAATCATTTCTCATTATGTGTCACATTATCAGTGAAACACAAGCCACCCTTGAAAAAGTGATACAATACCTGGTATTCTCATGGGTATTAATTAATATAACATAAACTGGAATATCGTTAATGCAAATTTGTGAATTTCTTCAACGTAACAGTAGACTTTGGGCTGATATTGGATTTCAATGACACTGAAAAGCCGAGATGATTTGAAAGAAACATGTAAAAGGCTTCATTTAAAACTCTAGAAACACAACACAAAACTACCCCAATATTGAACAAAATACTTCTTCATGGAAAAGTGACCTAGCTTCGGCTAACATTGCACACTGATATTTATTAAGACAGTCTAATCTATCCTTCCAATACATATTTGATACATGACCAGATCCAATTCAAACTCATTGCATCTGAAATTACTCCCGGATACATGCATAAACGACTGAGTTATTGTCCACATAAAGATTTTCAATATGATCAGTGGCGGTCAGATTGGTAGTCTATTTACCAGCAATTTATGAGACCACTGGTGGAGCTCCATGAAAAGAATCAGCTTCATATTGTCATTGTAATTTTGAGATGTCTGCCATAACATGTGATATCCATAATATTTTTCCTTTACACCACAGGGAACATGGGTGGCCCAGTTGTAAAAGGTGTGCAGAGTTCTATCCCTTGGGAACGCCAGAAACCTATGATTGTGGTTCGAATGCCAGTTCACCCAGATTATGTTTCTAGGTTTGTCAGCACCATAAACGTGCTTGAGGGTTTCACCAAATATAAAGAAAAGCTCCAAATAGCAAGCTCTCTGTTGTCATCAAACCTTGAAATACATTATCTTTGAAGATTTCTATCATATTTTCAGCACAAAATATATTGCCACAAATCCTTGGAATATTGTAGAAACTTTATTAGTAACCTTGCATTTTGCAGCCTATAAATGTACATATAATTATTTAAATTCGCCTACTGACTACTGACCTAATGAATGTAAAACAAGTACTTTTCTGAAAATATTACCTTTCACAGTGATGCAGCTGTTAAATTTAATGTCTCTTCTACAGTGTTGTATGAACATATATTCAATTTTGAAATTGTGAAATTTGTAAATACCAGAGAGAGGGCATTCTAAGTTGAATTTGTCCCCAAATACTATTCACTTCTTGTGAATAAATGTTTAAATCAAATCAAATCTCCCTACTTGTTAACCTTTCAGTTGGGAAAATATAAGTTTTACTTGTTTACCATTCAAAGACTGTCATTTACAATTATGATGGGTTCTGCCTCAGACAAGCAGGGGATAGTTCTTTACATGTTTCATGGAAAAACGTTCAAGCAAATTATTAACCAACTAATTTTGTTTACTGTAACAAGAATGGGAGCAGATGGAACCTTGTGTGCACCTTAGTGAACTGAATAATTTCAAGCAAACAAAAGAAAGGTGTATCGAATAATCCTAGAATAATTTCCCCAAACTTGCCAAGATTTACAGAACGGAGCTGGTAAATAAACATGTCATTGCACCAGTTTGTTCTCTTAGGACAAGAAAAGAGCAAATTAGCAAAGGCATGCTGTTTGTACTGTTCAGGGAAACAATCTGGAATCTATTTATTTAACCTTGACCTAAGTAGTCAGTTAGAGTTACCTCCTCTTGACACCCCCACCTCCTCCATCCCAGCAATATTGACCCCTATAGTTACCCATAGGTTTTGTTTTGTTTGTTATTTAACATTCACTCAACAATATTCCTATCATATGATGACAGCTTGCAAATAATCAACTCTGAACAGGCAATCCAGTGGTTGATATTGTGAACAACAGTATAGGCTGCTGGATTACGATGACATGCAATCACTTGAGCTTGACCACTTGATCTATGTCGTAGTCTCATATGATTAATGGGAACCTATTCCAAATTGGAATACCCACGGGGTTGCCCAGATGTAGATTCTTGAATCTGTTAATCATTGCCATGTTAGTTGGACTCATTTGAATATGAGTATGGTTGAAAGGAGTGAGTGAGTTGGGTTTAACGCCGCTTTTAACAGTATTCCAGTAATATCGCGTCGTGTTAGCTTAATGTGGGAGGAAAGCCCAAAGTGATGCAGGTCTCCGACTTTTATCACTTCGGTGAAACCTACGAGCACGGGTATGGTAATGACAAACCTAGAAACATAATCGGGGCGAACCGGGATTCGAACCCACAATCATAGGTTTCTTGCGTGCCCAAGGGATGCAACTCTGCAAAGCGAATCGCGGCACCTTAGACGACTGGGCCACCTGTGCCCCCTGGTTGAAAGGACAAAGGGTGAGCCAGGTCTGTATCCAGGGTTAGAAATCAACACTAGCCCGCTACTAGTTCAAATTCCTGTGGGACAGTACATATTTCCGTATTTCCCCATTGTTTCAAGATTACAGGTCATTGTATCTTTCCCTGGGCTAGTGAACTTTTAAGCACATTGGTGAGTCAGCATAACACCACTGCCACAGGCTAATTTGCATATCATGTTTGTAAACAAACGCGCTTTTTCAGAAATCAGTATTGAACGGACTAATGCAAGTATTTGGGGCGCTTTACATATTGTTTTGCATAATTATATAGATAAGCTACTACAATTGCGACAGTGAGTTGCATGACAATATATATTTTTACAGAAAAGTGGCCATATCGCTAGTTCTCTGTTGGGCTTCCATGACAGCACGTGGAGACGTACAAACCAATGTTAACAAAGAATAACTACGCAAAAACAGGTAGATTTTCACCATTTAGGATACTTTCATAATGAACCGTAACCATTCTTTGACATTTGTTTATAAAAAAGTGAAAACTTGTCAAAAATATAACGGATGAAAAGCATACGCAATATCTTGAATGGACTGTGAAGGATGTGACGAATCTTCACATGGCGTACTATGCTGGTATTATGCTGGCTGGCTGCCGGCCGCATGGAACTCTGGTAGGAGAGTGACTTTTGAGTTTAGTTCTAACTAGGGCTGTTAGGTTTCACTCACGTATTCGGTGAATCGAACAGTAACCATTCATGAATTGAATTCGTTATTCATGTCCACTAATCGAATATTTATGAATATTTATGAATATGTGATATATAGTATCATGTATATTTACATACCCTGTACCTAAAAATATCCATAACAACATATCATATGCATAGATATCTTTCAATGAAAACACTCTAATAATATTTAATTTGATAGTATTGTTTTCACTGGTCATTGTCGCATTTGAGCAGATACTAGCACCTGGATAAGTGCAGTACATAAATATATAATTTATTAATAATTAACAAACCATATCAAATAAATTATGATGTTATTGTTTCACTGAATATAATAAATAATACATAAACTGCTGACTTGTTATTGTAATTGTGAATTAATATTCGTATTTGTTACCGTGATATTCGTGATATGAATCGCATTTGCCTCATAGTGTATTCGTTGCAGCCCTAGTTCTAACCCTGTGTAAGTATCATGTATCTTTCGAAGGTCACGTCGAATATACGGTGTATCATCTCATCCTTAGATCTTATTGATATTCATTGTTCCCTGACCTCATACCGTCCTTTCTGAAATAACCAACACGTAATGCTTCAGGGCAGCTCTATTCTTTCATAAAGAATATAGCGGGTTCCAAAACCGGCACATGAAAGTCCTGCCATACTGGATTACAAGACAAGCCCTGCAGATAAAGATTCTTGCCCTGTCTGTGATGTCCTGAAATAGGTTTAAAATTCAATGCTGCAGTGTATTCCTTGAAATATCATGATGCCTAAGACCAACTAGCTTAGGCCGGCCACAACACAGAGCGGCTTACTTCTGCATGCACCAGGAAGTCATGAAGCAGGACCGACACTGACCCAATTCCATGTACTAAATTAGACAGTTTGGTAAATCCTTGGATGTGCCACAGGGAAACTTGTGTCAACTATAAAGAGAATAATTTCCCTCTTCTAGCAAAATTACAATTAATCCTGTCCAATCCTTAATCCTGTCTGATTAGAGGAGTATGTGGACTGATCAATAGAACTTTTCAAATCAACTCTTGCTGAGTAATAATCTTTACTTTTCATCTTCTGAGAACACCTCAAGTCAGGTCCCAACTGGACAGCGGCAATCATGTTTGGGCAGATAACGTCTGAACCCTTCTGCATGTGTCAGATCCTGTTAAACCTGTTCCTCATAAGTCTGTTACTGCTAGATGCAGCCTTTCCATATGTAGTTAGGAGCTTTGCAATCTGTACTTGGGTGTCAGGATTTACTTATGTGTTACAACTTACAGCCACACTCACCAATATTAGAGATGTAGCACAGTGGCCTGTAAGTAATCGAATCTGAGCCAGACATCCAGTGAATGAGTGAGTGAGTTTTTTACGCATCTTTTAGCAATATTCCAGCAATATCACGGCGGGGGACACCAGAAATGGGCTTCACACATTGTACCCATGTCGGGAATTGAACCCAGGTCTTCGGCGTGACGAGCTAACGCTTTAACCACTAGACTACCCGACCACCCAGACATCCAGTGATTGATATCATGAGCATCGAACTATGTCATTGGGATATGGTGACATGCATCAACCAAGTCAGCCGATTCCGTTAGTCGCTTCTTGCGACAAGCATAGTCGCCTTTTACGGCAAGAATGGTCTTCGGCGTGACGAGCTAACGCTTTAATCACTAGACTACCCGACCGCCCAGACATCCAGTGATTGATATCATGAGCAAAGGTCCACATGTCAGGTGTGATGACACAATCAGTCAAGTCACTGATGCAACATGCCTACCCATGTACTGATTCATTTTTAATTTATTTCTGTTATCAAAAGTAATATCAATGAAATTTTGCAATAGCACAGCCTGAGTCAGTGACAACTACTTGGGCTAGTCTTACCTCGCCGCCTACCACAAAACAAAGCAGAATCTGATTGCACAATAGGAATAGAACAATCCAAATTTAAAAAATCAGGCAAGTAAAACACTAACTGGTTGACAGCAATGACGTCTGGTCAGGTCAGTGTGGGCAAATGGAGCATTTCATACTAAAAGGGTCTGTATTAAGTCTATATCATAACTCAAGTATTGCGATGATATAGCGATATGATGGAAGCAAAGGCGATGACTGTAGCCTACTCATAAAAGCTGAATGCTGACAACTATTTACATATCAATTCAACTGAGTGCAAAATTACCAATCACATACTGTTCATCATGTTCATCAGTTTCTGAAACTGAGTGAAATGAAACAATGTGAAAAAAATCTACTCAACCTAAAGTTGAGTGCCGATCACATTGTCAAAATAAACATAGCAATACTTAATATCATAACATTCATGCCAATTTTCAGATTCCTGAGTCTCCCTTATTTTTGGAAGATGCTTGACAGTTTCCAGAACAAGAACATGCAGATTGCATTTTGGCTGAGAGTGTGAGATCAAATCAAGGTCCAAATTCAATATGAAAGAGGATATTGGCCTGAACATGTTCTTGAACAAATGAAGCAGTCTTCACAATTGAGCTCAGGCAAAGTTTTGGACAAATTAGCTCAGATATTAACATCACTGGGTGCTGTTCCGCAAAGCAATATTAGCTAAGAAGATTGTGAGTCTTTTTTTGAAGAGGATGGGAGTCATAACACTAAAATCACTACAACAGGGTCAGGCCTGGATTTGGAGATTAAAACAACACCACGAACAGCTGATAATGGGTTTTCCAGTATGGCTGTTCTTGGAGACAACATGGACCTACACAAGTCAACAACAACGACAGATGTTGATGGTCAAGCAGGCATTTTTTATGCTCACTAGATCCTTAACTACTCACGTTTCCTCATTACTTACTTACTTGGGAGTTTAACATGTGCCTTCCGACATATGCGCATTTTGCGCAGGGGCCCGCCAGGCCATTTAGTGTTTGGTCGAAAAGGTTATGTCCGAAAAGATGCGGCAACCTAAGGGGGACTTTAAGGGTTGCTTACTTAATTTGAAGAACAAATTTGGAATTTTAAATATGCCAAAATTCCAAATTTGTTCTCCAAATTAACTTTCCTCATTCCAGTCCTCACATTAAATAGACAGAATATATCCAACTTCAAAGGCTATAGCCTATTCACTGTTGCACTATTGTTAATTGAGGGTGTAAATTGAGGACAAGGCGTCAGTAATTAATCCAGTTAATCACTTGCCTTCAATTGCCATTGCCGCTTTGAACAATGTGCATGGTCGCGGATGTTTTGACAGGCTGTTTGGTGACACGTGAGCCACTCAGAGATTAACACTTTGTTATACACAGAGGACCACAAAGTGAGGGGTGGTGTGTGTGTGTCTGTGTGTCTGTGTGTGTGTGTGTGTGTCTGTCTGTGTGTGTGTGTGTGTGTGTGTGTGTCCGTGTGTGTGTGTGTGTGTGTGTCTGTCTGTGTGTGTCTGTCTGTGTGTGTGTGTGTCTGTGTCTGTGTCTGTGTGTGTGTGTGCGGTGTGTGTGTGTCTGTGTGTCTGTGTCTGTGTCTGTGTGTTTGCTTGTACTAGACCGTACGGATGCCAATTTATAGTGCTAGCCCACTGAGATACCATGCCGCAGTTTAACATGAATACCCCACTCAGACACAGTATACTGACTCCGAGCCGACCAGTCCTTGCTTTAACCCCTTAATGCCGAGCGCCAGACAGGTTAACAACAAGTACAATCTTTTAACGTCTTTTGTTATGACGCAGCTGTGGATGCGCTCTCCGGGCGGACGCTCTACCACTAGACCACGCAGGCGGTCTCGTTATACACAGAGTACACACAGGACCACAAAGTGAGTTTGCTATAACCGTTATTTTGTTATATGCATGTTAATTATATCCATCAAATTCATATAAACAAATATGCAGAAAATGGCAGGGACAAAACAAACAGTTTGTCATATTCATCAGTTCGTTGTAAGAGTGTTCTTATAAACGGTTCAGTAGATGTGAAATGAGACGTACCTGCAGCTCTGTGAAATATTGCCACTGTTCCATCAGCCAGGGCCACCAAAACACGACCTTTCACATGGCTGCAACACAAGCAAAGTGAAACTTGGATTCAAACTGATTAAGTTAGCACCAAAAGACACGAACTTGAACACTTCTTAAGAAATTCATTTATGCTACCATCTAAACAAGAAGATTTAAATACAAATCCCCGGATAGATGGATAAGTATACGGTCTTTAAACAATGTCAGCATTTATTTTCCATGAAACCTAATATCCCAAGTTGATGTCCTTCTAATGAAAACGACACAAGCATTACAGCTGGTACTAGCCACAATGAAGAGAAAAGCTATTCAGTTTAAGAGTTCTTTTTATAATGGACAAAAGCTATAGCATATATCAATGTATACAGTGTTGTAACGACACTTACACAATGCTGAGAATGGAATCTCGAAGTTTGACAGAATGCAGACACCTCCTCCACTGTGCCACCGCTGAGTGCACATACAAACTGGAACAGGAGACAGTGAGTGAGTTAGTTGGGTTCAACTCCAGTTTGTACAGTGTTTCAGTTACCATATCATGTGGCGTGTCAGCTTCATCATGTTAATGTCTGAGTGAGTGAGTGAGTTTTTACATCGCTTTCAGCAATTCTCCAGAAATATCATGGTGGGTGACGCCAGAAATGGGCTTCAGATATAGTACCCATGTTGGAATCAAACCCAGTGAGTGAGTGAGTGAGTGAGTGAGTGAGTGAGTGAGTGAGTGAGTGTTTACATCGCTTTCAGCAATACTCCAGCAATATCATGGTGGGGACGCCAGAAATGGGCCTTACACATAGTACCCATATTGGAATCAAACCCAGTGAGTGAGTGAGTGAGTGAGTGAGTGAGTGAGGGAGGGAGGGAGTATGGTTTTACATCGCTTTCAGCAAAACTCCAGCAATATCATGGCGAGTGACTCCAGAAATGGGCTTCACACATTGTACCCATGTTGGAATCAAACCCAGGTCTTCAGCGTGACGAGTGAACGCTTTAAGCATAAGGCTTCTACACCTCCTGCTTGGTGTGGGAGGAAACCCTGAAGTGATGCAGGTCCAACTGAAGAAAAAGTTGTTACAACCAGTTGTGAGAAGGCCCCATCGCACAGCACGCACATGACCACGGAAGTGATGACGTCACCTACTACTGCTTGATGGGGCTTTCTTCACAACTGGTTGGAACAACTGTTTCTTCAGCTGAACCTCACACAGCTTCGTTGTGTCAAAAGTAAGCAGTAAATGCATTAAGGAGTAATGCAGGATAAGTTGAAAAATAACATTTGTTACAACATGACATTAGTATGAAGAGAGAGTAGATCAATGATGTAGGTGGGAAGAATACCATAGCAACAGGTGAAGTTTGTTTGTTGTTTAACGTTGCATTCAGCAATATACCAGCTTAATGGCAGCGGTCTGTAAATAATTGAGTTTGGACCAGACAATCCAGTGATTGATATCATGAGCATCGAACTATGCCATTGGGATACGGTGACATGCATCAACCAAGTCAGCCGATTCCGTTAGTCGCTTCTTACGACAAGCATAGTTGCCTTTTACGGCAAGCATGGGTTGTTGAAGACCTATTCTACCTGGATCTTTACGGGTCACAACAGCTGAAGACAGAATGAGGACCCTACAGTGAATCCTGACCGACTGTTGTCTCACCTGCCACTCTGTGACCCCATCCACATGGTGGGGAGGAGACTGCTCATCTTCTCCAGCTCGCCATACTGCAGCTCATTGTCAGCAGCGATGGAGGCAATGCCCTCCTTATCCAGCTCCTCCTGATCCTGCAGGCGCTTCTCTCCCCCTGACGACGTCGAGTTGGGCGTGGCTGTTCCTGATGACACCGGGGACCCTGTCGCTCGGAACACTGTGGGTTTGATGCTCTCAAGTGTCGTGGCTCCCAGAGGATCTATGGCCAAAATGGCATCTGATAATTTTCCGGACATGTATCTAAAAAAATTCATATAAACACTGACAATATCTTTGTTTGCGTATACAGTAGGGCTGGGACGATATACCAACTGTGTGAACCCATACGCATAAAGATACCTTGCTCACGATCCGACACGTATCACAGAACTGGCATGAGTTCTTATCTGTGGTGCATAAACCATCGTTTTAATAGACAGGATGGCCGTAATGCTATTACGATTTTGATCATGTCAGTATGGATTTTGAACCCATGGATCCAATAAAGCAACCTACTCAAACCCTCAGCCCATAACACAATCCACATGTTGTCTGTGCCCAAAATGTTGTCTATGAGACTACAAGCCCCAGCTGAATTTTGGACATTATTGTCAGTAGCTCTAAAGGGTCCTGATGGGGATCATCATTAGTTTTATAGGCTTCAGCATGTTTAGTGAATTCTAATTTTTCTTTGTCAGTCAAAGCAACATGAATGGGTTAAGGAATCGTATTCAGTCAGTAATTGGTGGCACACGTCAACTGTTATTCTAATTCTGCTTGTTTTTTTAATGGCAATTGTGTCTCACCAAATGGCATGGACCAATTATTGTTACATGTAGGTTAGGGACGATACACAATCTTTGCAATCCGATAAGTATCACGATACCTTGCCCTCAATCTGATATGTAACATAATACTTGCACATGCACTTATCTATGGTCCATAAGCCATCTTTTTCATAGAAAGAATTGACCAATTACCTGGCACACTGATTATTTACAGTTGGCAGTGTCAAGTATGGCGCAATGGATGAAAATATTTGTTTTCACTACTCATTTTTACTAGTAGTTAGTGTTTGGTGTGAATCGATACTTTTACTAAGTGTACGATTGTGATCGATATGATTGAGAAGTAAAAAGTCATGATCCACTGATGCACCGGTGTATCGTCCCACTTATACTAGAGGAATTGAATCTGGGACAAGCGAATGCCTTAACTACTAGACTACCCAAGAGTCCTTTTCAACATAGACGATGTACAACATTCTGTTGGAAAATTCAGACTGATGAACCTGGTTGGCAATATCATGTAGAGGTTTACCTACCTTCATCCTGGGCTTCCTTGTTGATCTCATTGTAGGCCTTCTCCCTCGCTTCTCCACTGTCACCATCATCTGACAAATACCACACACATATCACACTGCTGTCATCATTCCTGCACGGGGTGGACACGACTCGTCAAATCAGACTAGTCAGCAGCTCATTTAAGACCAGTGGTTCATGTAAAATAGCTTGATTTTTGGGAATAAACTAGTCTCTCTTGATTTTCACAAGTCTCAGAGTAACAGATGAGTCTCCGTATCTATCCCTGCACGGAATCACAATTCAATTACAGACTGAAAGTCTGCATCCACTTGTATTTAGGACGAAATCAACAAGCATGAAATACTCATATCCCCAGCCAATATGACATATTGGTTGTGTGCAAGGCATTAGCCCTCCAGAAACGAGCACTACTGCCATTTTTAGTCTAAGTCAAAGTCATTGCTACGGAAACGCGAAAATTAAATTTAAAAAAAAAAAAAAACTATCAAAAGGCATCAGTTCACCACAAGACCTATCTATGTACCAAGTTTGGTTAAGATATCTCTCATGGTTTGTGAGTTCCGCTCCGGAAATGAAACATGACAGACTGATGGACAGATGGACAGCACCCATTCCTATATCCCCCTTCCACTTTGGGGATAATAAACATGTCACATTACAGATGCATCACACAATACTTTGTCATCATGTCATTTGTACCTTGAACTTTGATGATCATGTTACATTTTCCCACCAAATTTTGAGAACTAAACTTGACCAGTGTTTACATAAAACTTGTCTTCAAATGAAATCGGTCGAAATCCATCAATTCCTATTCCACAGCAGATGTTCTTATCAGACTGGTCATGTCATCTTTGGCCTATTGATCACACTTTAACTTGTATTTAAATCAATAGTTGATTAAGTTCTTAATCTAAAACCCAATAAAGTCTAATCATTGTACTGACTCTACAACCAGTTGAGGTAATAAATTTCAATCAGCCATCAGGGGTAGAAATGAAGTAAGATTTTTTCTGTAAAACATATCTGCTGCAGAGTTGCCATCTACTTGATGGTGAAAGTTGGTACATCTGTCACTAATCCTTCCTGAATTGTACCACCTGTAGTCTCCCATCAAGCAGACTTGACTTTTAAACTCTGATGATGGATGGAAGGAAGTTAAAGTGATAAATTTGCACACATTAACCGTAGCATGTACTATTCCTCATCTCGAGACAGGTATGGTTGCCAGCCTACCTGTGACAGCCTCCGCTAGAGCTGATGCCACCTCCGCATCTGTTTCAGGACTCAGTTCTGGAACACAAACATTCGAAGGCCTATAGTTTTAGGATTAACCATTAGGGCACATATAAATATTGTACATTTGATTTGTAACTACAGTCTTTTATACAAGTTACAGCTCTGTTTAAGAATTGGAACCTTCAGAGCATATCAGTAATACTTCAAACATGTAAATATATGGGTACTCAAGAACACATAAGAAAATATCGGGGGTTTGAGACATCTTGCCAATATTAGACTTTGGTGCCAGTGATGCTAATGGCGGGGCCATGTACATGATAAAGTACAAATGTCTTAAAAACATACTGCTTGTTTGTTTGTTTGCTTGTTGCACTCAGCAATATTCTAGCTATATGATGGTGGTCCGTAAATAATCGAGTCTGGACCAGGGCCTCGTTCCTCAAAGCGATCTCAGCGCTACAATGATCGTAAGCCTATGTTAAAGCATGGGACTTACAATCACCTAAGCGCTAAGATTGCTTTGAGGAACGGGGCCCAGATCCTGAGATTTTGAGGTTCCACTGCTTACTTTTTGCCTGTTTTAATATATTAGCACTAGTCCTGTAGTCCTTGCCAAACTGCCTAATAGTTAAGGTATCCTAAGGACCAGTAGAAATGTTCCATTTTGAAGTGTTTTGCTATATGTTATCATTAAAAGGACCAGTGGACTAAAAATGTTAGTTTCCACCACTGGTAGAGCCGAGATAGCAAGATTGCCGAATGAGGCTGCAATTATGGAGTTATATTTTGACTGGACTTACAAGTCCATGCAGAGTCCAATCAAAATCGTGTCTCGAAATCGACATCTAATTAGAAAAACTGCAGTGCAGATTTCGGTTGATTGCAGGATTTGCACAGCATGTGTACCATGAACTGGGTGTCAACAGATATTTTGCAAATCTTTTCATGTTTTTATCAAGGTGTTCAAGTAATTTGATGCACTTCACAAGGGATGATATGTTTTGTTACAACATTGATCTTGACTTTCGATCAGATACCGCCATTTTGTTTGAAGCAAATGCAATGGATATGAAAGGTGGAGTCTGATTGGTCAATAGTGAGTGAGTGAGTATGGTTTTACGCCACTTTTAGCAATATTCCAGCAATATCATGGCCAGATTGGTCAATAGATGGCACACAGAAGGGACATGACTCGTAATAGCCACTAGTGGCGCTACGATCAATCCCAGGAATTCCAGCCTAATTCGGCAATAGTGGAAACTGGACTTTTAAAGTCTGTTAACTCCCTTGCCTTGGGAAGATGGTGTCCCTGAGATCACTTGAAATATACTTGGATGTCCACAATAGCAGGCCCATACTGTACCGCCATTTCAACATAGATATATGCAAGAACATTTTGTGAACCACACCCACCTCTAGATCTCCTGCGTGGAGGTGATCCTGCTGGGGACGTTTCAGAACTTGCTTCTTGACCTGTGGTGCCAGTTGAACACTGGACGAAAGTTATCCCCCCTACCCCGCTGTTGTCTCCATTCTGGTCAGTGGTGGTGCTGCCCTCCGACACAACAGTCTCCTTGGGGAGGGGCGGTGCTTCTGCCCTGAGGATCTCCTCTGCTACAGGGTAGTCGGATTCCATTGCTCCTGAGAGGGGAGAACTTGTTGTTATTAAAGGATCACCACAACATTTCTAATGAACCTGGCCCTGCCTAAACAGCTTCTAAGCTGACTTTGATTACCATGTGTTCGTTCGTTCGTTCGTTCGTTCGTTCGTGTGAGAGAGAGAGAGAGAGAGAGAGACGGAGACAGAGAGAGAGAGAGAATTACGCTAATTAAGTAATATTTAGGCCAAAGAAAAGGGCTCCCAATATTAGAATTAAACACAAGAGAGGTACCCCACACCACTTGTTCTAAATTAAGGGGTGCTCTTGTCCTTGAGGTTAAATGTTACAGTATTTGAATCTTAGGACCCCTTAAACCTTCGATTTTTAACTTTCGGGTTATGACAACCATGACTAGGATGCTTCAAGTTTTAATGCTTAATTTCCAACACTGTCATCCACGCAATATTTCACCAAACTCCAATGTGATACCCTAGTTTAATCTGGCAATAATTCATAGTGTTTCAGTTATCTGATGGCAGTCAGCTAAGTCAAATAAAGCTTACATGAAACCTATGTTCAGAACCGGATGGACTTGTGAAGGTCTAGCGCCTATGTTCACCTTGGTCCAAACATTGTATTGAATGCCCTATCTGCATTGAAGCACTGTTACTCCTTAGGTTGATCAGTTACTTCTAGATGCAGCTAAACCAAGTAGATGAGTCAGTGGAGAGGACACATCAACAGGCTAAATGTCCTTTGTCAGTACCCATCATTATGTGAGGCTTAACAAAATTGGCTCTCAGGCAATGACTTTTGAGAATATAGGGCAGGTGGGTACTGCGTTTTTGGGGAGAGGCTTGTTCAAAGTAGTATGTAACCAAGTAAACAGTTGTGTACCATTAACTCTGGAAAGGGCCTACCCCATAAACAAGCATACTCCTATTGCCACCATGACCATAACATAAGATGCGAGGTAAAGCAGTGCACATGTAAAGGGAAGTAACTGTGTGCTATATTGGATCGCATTGTTTTAAAGAATTAGGATTTTTTTATTTTTTTTAAATAGAAATAAAAAAACAAAACATGCTGCAGACTTTATGATCAGTGCCAGAGAACCAAGACTGCAATACTTAATGACGTAGTGAAGAAATAAGCTGAGTAAGCATAAGTCACAGCTGATATGAATTTCAGACATCCTACAGCACTGTTGACATGATGTTAACAGCAAGATTTCACATATTGCAGTTTTCAAAATTAAGAATAGAAGTCAAGGGGGGTCTGTCAGTCTCCCAAATCTAGAGTAATAAGACTAGATTGCCTCAGCTGCCTGAAATTAAAGATTGTTCTGAGCTCCATTTGGATCTTTTTTCTTTCGTAGATTCTTTCAATTTTCAACTTTATTTCAGGGATTAACTGTTAGTCCAGGGTGACCAATGTTCATAATTAAAGCTGTTGAGGGTTTCTAAATTAAAATACCATTGTAGAAATCCTCAATGATAAAAAAAACAACCTCCCTTTATTTCAAACACTGCATTACACCCATTTGGAGAATCAAACCCCAGAGTATGCTGAACTGAGTCTTTAACCACTTGGCTACCACCCCCCAATGCAGGTGAGTGTTCCTGTTTACCTGGCACGCTGGCGATACACAGCATGTGGGTGGAGGACACCCGGAACGAGTCGAGGATGTCCCCGGGGTTGTTGGAGTCGATGACAGACACTCTGCTGGTGGCGTGCGTACTGGTGCAGATCCACACCAGAGACGAAAACTGTTCCTTGTCTGCAGACTTCAAGTTCTTCTCATGCTCCTGAAAATCAAACGTGAACACTAGTGAAATATCTTAAAGTGGTACTTTAGAAGCTGTAGTACCATTTGTTGTTTGTTGTTTAACGTTGCACTAAGCAATATTCCAGCTATATGACTTGGTTGAAGTATGTCATCGATCCCAATTGCCTGTATCGATGCTCATGATATCAATCACTGGATTGTCTGGTCAAGACTCGATTAATTACAGACCGCCGTCACATAGCTGGAATATTGCTGAGTGCGCCGTAAAACAACAAACCAACCAACCAACCAAATCATTGATGACAATATGGCCCTCATGTACAAAGGGAGGTAACTTGAAAATATGCATGACATCTTGTCAACTTATCATGGTAAGGTGAGGTGAAATTGGGTTTTATGCGCGTCCAAGATTTTTGCTCTTATATAGCGACGGGCATGCATGTGTGTGTGTGTGTGGCTGCTTGTACTAGTCCGGACTGATGCCGATTTATAGTGCTAGCCCACTGAGATACCATGCCGCAGTTTAACATGATGCCCCACTCAGACACAGTATACTGACTCCGAGCCAACCAGTCCTTGTTTAAGCCCCTTAATGCCGAGCGCCAGACAGGGTAACAACAAGTACCATCTTTTAACGTCATTTGGTATGACGAGGCTGGGGATCGAACCCCGGACCTTCCGCTCTCCGGGGAGACGCTCTATCTCTAGGCCACGGGGGCGGTCCAACTTATCATGGACAAGGTTGTGATAGAGTATAACTACTTTGCCAAACTAACATCTGGTGCTGAGCTTGGGCTGGTAAAATGATAGTCAGCATATTTTCCAAAAGTAAGGATTTTACATCTTTTAGTACCCGTGAAGATTCCGGGGTAGAATAGGTCTTCAGCAACCCATGCTTGCCATAAAAGGCGACTATGCTTGTCGTAAAAGGCGACTAACGGGATCGTGTGGTCAGGCTCGCTGACTTGGTTGATGCTTGTCATCAATCCCAATTGCGTGGATCGATGCTCATGATGTCAATAACTGGATTGTCTGGAATATTGCTGAGTGAGGCGTAAAACAACAAATCAACCAAACAACATCTTTCAGGTAGCACTAGTAGTTTCCTTCACAAGCATAGTGACAAATCACTTGACATGACAATGAACATTTTACTTATCCCTCATGAGTTAAAAGTGAAGGTTTTCGTCAAGGTTTGGTACAAATACATACTGTTATTTCCAGTCTGAACTAATGATAATGTAATGTACGGAAAAGCAAATAATAAATTGGACATTCAATCAGGGGAGTATACTGAGTTTCAGGTGGGTTTTATATCCATGTCATGAGAACAACACAACACAATCACCTGCTTTGAAGATGAAGACCAGACCCAAGGCCTTAGTGACCATGACAACCTTTGAATTGACAGGTCCAAAGTACAACAAGCCAGTCAATACAAGGTGTGTACCCGAGAACAGATACGCTGACATAAATGTGACATACACAACCACACCACCCATCTTCCCGAGGCAAGGGAATCAACTGACTGTAAAAGGGGACTGTATTTATGGGCTCAATCATAGAGACTGCAGTGGCTATTATGAGTGAGTGAGTATGGTTTTACGCCGCTTTTAGCAATATTCCAGCAATATCACGGCGGGGGACACCACAAATGGGCTTCACACATTGTTCCCATGTCGGGAATCGAACCCGGGTCTTCGGCGTGACGAGCGAACGCTTTAACCACTAGGCTACCCCACCGCCCCAGTGGCTATTATGAGTTATGTCCCTTCGATGTCCCTCCTATTGACAAATCAGATTCCACCTCTCATATCATTTGCATTGCTTCAAAAAATGGCAGCGATCATCAAGATCTATATCATAATAAAACGGGTCTTACTTCGCGAAGTGCATCAAATCAGATGAGCACCTTGATTACAAACATGAAAAGATTTGGAAAATATCTGTTGACGCCGAGTTGGTACACATGCCTTAAAAATCCTGCAAATGACCGAAGTCTGCATGGCAGTTGACGAAGTGGATGTCGATTGCGTTACCCGATTTTAATTGTTAGTCCAGACAAAATATAACTAAAAAATTCCAGCATAGTTTGGCAAAGGTGGAAACTGGTCTTTTACTGTAAGGGTAACACTATTTTTCAGGGCATTATCATTTGCAGAAGCCTGAGGTTTTCCATTAACTGCCCGACGAAGACTGTGATAATCGCCCGTTGTCAAGCAATATGAGGGCATTATCAAGAAACAGTGGCCCCTCATTTCTAATAACATGCGGGCGGTGTAATGATAATTCGATCCATTTCAGCTATAAAGTCACTTAACCCCCTGCACCGGGAAGATGCATGCCAACAGATGTGACAATCTGCCTCCCCGAGCACCCCTTTACCTTGAGTTCTTGGTTGAGTTTCTCCACCTCATCCTTTGTTTCCCTCCGTGTGTCGATCTCCTCCGGTGGGTTGGCGTAGAAGACACTGGCTCCCACCATGGAGCCGCCGTCCCTCGTCTTACCACCCGTCAGGTTCACTCCAGCGGCACACCAGATCTAAGGGAGATAACCAAACCTCACAGACCTTACTCAGCAACGAAGAACAGCAGTGACAAGCAGGTTCTACACCATGATCAGCAAAGAGCAAGGCAAGCATCAGTTGAAACAATTGAGTCGACAACACACAATCAGTCGGAGGCCCATTTAACAAAGTCATAGTTGTGCTCCAAGTGTCATTACACATTTATCTCACATAGACAGTTGTAGTGCTATGAGTGCATTGTGAAATTGGACCCAGCCCACAGATGAGTGAGTGAGTGAGTGAGTGAGTTGGGTTTAACACCGCTTTTAACAGTATTCCAGTTATATCACGGCGTGTCAGCTTAATGTGGGAGGAAAGCCCGAAGTGATGCAGGTCTAAGACGTTTACCACTTCGGTGAAATCCACTAGCAAGGGTATGGTGCTGACAAACCTAGAAAAATAATTGGGGCGGACCGGGATTCGAACCCACAATCATAGGTTCACGAGTGCCCAAGGGACGCAACTCTGCACAGTGAATCGCGGCGCCTTAGACAACTGGGCCATCCGTGACCACCTCCCCACAGTTGAGAATTCCCTTCCTTATGGCTACCTACTCAGCAGCCATAGTCACATGATGGCATCCTCCTCAACCCATTCAGTTTCATCTCAAACAGAGAGGTAATGAGAACATGCCAGTATTCTGCCAGAAATTCAAAAAAGCATCAGCTGGGAATTAATGATTTTAACCAGTCACCAACCATGCTCCTGTCACAAATATCTTTTTTATCTATTTCTTGTCATTGATTAAAGCACTTCATTGAAATGTGTGGATGATTGATCTGAGAGATTTCTGAATTTCTTATGTCACACTAACATGCATGTTTTCCAAGTGCAATCACAACTCTGTAAAGAAGAAACAATTTTTCCTCCTTCCTTCCATGTGAAAATATAAGCATGTTGACAAACAACATACAATAATTGGAACGTACCACACCAGAGCTGCCAGATGCTATAGGGTCTGTTTTCAAATCAAATAGAAAATTGCAACACCAAAACATTTAGGAGAAAAATCAAAATTTGTCGATCGTATGAGCGGGGTCATAAAGGGCAACAACTGATGATCAAATGGATGAAATGGACATCACACATAATTCTTGGATTCAAAAAAAATAAGGCAAACTAGTATCCATCTTCCTCTGATCATGGCAACCATCCACAAATGAAAGACAAAAATGAAAAATCAAATGGACTGTATCATGCAGGTTTGTTCATTGCTAAGCAACCAAATTCATCCTTAGTAACCAGTCACTACCACAATATCACTAATCACAATATCACAGTAAATGAGTGAGTGAGTGAGTATGGTTTTACGTCGCTTTTAGCAATGTTCCAGCAATATCACGGCGGGGGACACCAAAAATGGGCTTCACACATTGTACCCATGTCGGAAATCGAACCCGGGTCTTCGGCGTGATGAGCGAACGCTTTAACCACTAGGCAACCCGACCGCCCCAACAGTAAATGTCTTTGTATACAATAACCACATACTTAGGTGACATCCTAATTAATGCTTAAGGCAGAAAAAGGCGTAAAATCCATCTCAAAAAAGATCTTTACTCCGATATGATACCTCTCTGGGTGAAGATCTAAGGACACCTTTGACCACACAATCAAAATGAAGGATGGGCGGGTTCTTGAACCAATCAGATGTCAGGTTCCCAAAAATGATTTGGCTTCATTTCTTAACCATCTCAATTTGGAAATTTCAATTTGTATAAATGAAAATGCACAGAACCCAAATATTCCATTGACTCTTTTTGGTCTGTAGATGCCAAAGTGCTGAGCAATAACAGGATGTTTTAATATATGCACAAATAAAATGGCTCCACCAAAGTTTTATAATTTCAGATCTCTTCATTGTAGATGGTTTTTCGAAATACAGAAATCATATATGCTGGTTTGAAGGCTTTGTTAACTCATACTAGTGAGGACTCACCTGTGTCCTCAGATCTTCATGCAGAGAAGTAAAGTATCGGAGAAAACAATCAGATTTTAATGAGATTGAATAGCATCATGCTCACTTAAAAAGTTTCCTTTTTACACATGTACGAGGCTCAAACAGGATTTTATAAAATGTTTCAGCTATCCACCACATACACTGAATAAAAATGCTTTGAAAACGTCTTTGGTAAATATACACGTTTCAAATACCTTCATTTGAAAACCATTGCACGTCTATCCCTAAAACTAAGGTGTACTCAATTCTAGTTAAGCTGTAGACCAAAAAATACAATATAACATATAAATTACAAAACACACATGTTCTAGAACTCACATGAGACTCCCATGAGAGTGACTGTAAAAAAGGTGTTAGATAAAAGTAAAACTTTGACTAATAATACGTCAGGCTGTGTTTTGCAGCAGAAGAGTAAAATATTTATAACAGCAGAGAGAAGAACGCTCAGCAAGACAGACATTGAAAAACACATGGACAATTAGTCAGTGATGCCCTCCAGGATGAGTTTAGAGGTTTAGAGAAGAGTTAAATTGGAAAAGGTAAGTTAAAAGAAGGCCATAATTACTGTGTACAAGATTAGTGAACTGTCTGAGCTTAGGAATACACACATTCTGTGCAATGTATTATTTACCTGTGCACAGGTGTTTAAACAGTACACATTTCCTCACTGATCATCAACTGGGAGCGGCCACATGCCCCCAGAGTGAGATAGTTTGGCTAAATTCCACTTTTCGGTATTTCAGTTATATAATTACTATCACTTTTGTGAAACCTGAAAGCACAATATGGTGCTCTCAAACCCAGGGTCATAACCAGGGCAAACTTTGGATCCTGGTACAACCAAGGGACACAACTCTACACAGGGAAACTGCTGTGGTCACATGTTTCACCCAGTCAGCAAATGCTGTTTTTCATTTGTTCATCAATACAAAATAGATGATGTTCAGAAGTTAAACTTATATTAGCTCACATGGTCAGTTTCAGATCTGAAGTCCAAAATATACAAGGGTGAGGTGAAAGGTCATGAATCTACCTTGAAGCAACATCTTAATGTGATGTAGGAGAGAAGATAATGAGAACCATGTAGCTGATGTTCCACAGCACAGTCAGACAGAGACATGTGTAAGACAACTGAGACAACCAATGTCTGCAGCTCACCTTCAGACCAGGTTCTTTCTCCAGTAGAGGGCGACAGTAGACAGGGACGGGGACAGGCACATGGCTCTTGGAAGACTGTTCCCGAGGGAGCTGAGGGGTAAATTTGGCTGGGAGACTCCATCCATACGCTTGCATCCGTCCATCATCCTTCTTGACATGAGCCCGGACCTGTTTATACTGCTCTCTTCGCTCCTTTTCTCGTTCTTTCCGAGTTTTCTCGGCAGTTCTGTGAGAGATAACACAGCTGTGGTGAGCTTTGAAGTATCTACAGACTTAAAGTCAGTTACCCAAACATATGTTTCCTGTCTACTGAGATTGGTTTCCAAGTAGCTCTTTTTGTTTGCAAAATTGTGATCAAGCCTGTCCAAACCTTCAGAATTGGTCATCAAAGAGGAAAATGTTATATAGAAAATCTAGACCAAGGCTGTTTGAGTGCGACTGGATAACAGTTTTGAACATTGTTTCTCAAAAATCAATGTATGTCAGCTCCTCTGGAGAAACCCTCAAACTGTCAGGTTATTCACCTTCACCACATTGAGGCTAGAGAGTTAACTGACTTTAAAAGTCCAGTTTCCACCCTTGCCGAACTAGGCTTGAATTCCTGGGCTCCATCATAACGCCACCAGTGGCTATTACGAGTTATGTCCTTTCTATGCCTCTCCTATTGACCAATCAGATTCAACCTCTCATATCACTTGCATTTGCTTCAAACAAAACGGTGGCGCCCAGTCAAGACGATCTGATTGATAACCAAGATCTATATTGTGATTAAACGAGTCTTACATCGCGAAGTGCATCAAATCACGTGGGCACCTTGATTAAAAACATGAAAAGATTTAGAAAATATCTGTTGACAATGAGTTAGCGGAGCACATGCTTTGCAAATCCTGCAGTCGACCGAAATCTGCATGACACTTTACGAACCGGATTTCATTTTCGGTGCGAGATTTTGATTGGACTATGCATACACTCGTTAGTCCAGCCAAAATGTAACTCCATAATCCCAGCGTAGTTCGGCAAGGGTGGAAACTGGACTTTTATAGTCAGTTAACTCACTTGCCTCGGGAAGATGCCATGAGCCATGCATGGTGAAACACAATCAGCCAAGCCTCCATCTTGCCAATGTAGTTGACAAGCAAAGGTTACTGGGGAGCAGTTACGCACTGGAATCCCCTTGGGTATGGACAGTGCCGATAAACCAAGGACCACACCCACCACAAGAAGTGTGAATCTGACATCCAAACTCACAATCACTTGATCCTGGCCATCTTCCCGAGCCAAGGGAGTTAACTGACTATAATAGTTCAGTTTCCACCCTTGGCGAACTAGGCTGGAATTTCTAGGCTCGATCGTAGCGCCACCAGTGGCTATTACGAGTTATGTCCCTTCTATGTCCCTCCTACTGACCAATCAGATTCCACCTCTCATATCACTTGAAGTTGCTTCAAACAAAATAGCGGCGCCCAGTAAAGACGATCAGATAATCAAAATCTATATCGAGATAAAACGTGTCTTACTTCATTATGTGCATCAAATCACGTAAGCACCTTGATCAAAAACATGAAAAGCTTTGGAAATTATCTGTTTTGCAAATCCAGCAATCGACCGAATTCTACATGGCAGTTTCGTTACGTGATTTTGATTGGACTATGCACAGACTTGTTAGTCAAGCCAAAATATTACTTCATAATTCCAGCCTAGTTCGGCAAGGGTGGAAACTGGACTTGCATAGTCAGTTAACTCCCTTGCCTCGGAAAGATGGATCCTGGCATGGCCAAGGGACGCCATCTACATACAGCGAATTGCAGCATGTCCACCAGGTCATCCAAGCCCTCAAAAAGGGCTGAACAAAGGCACAATATTATTTGTGATACAGACTGATACATACCTATAACTTGTTTCAAGGGTTGCTTATATCATTTATATTCTTAACATGAGAAACATTAACAGGACGCATCCTTTCAAATGGGTGTACTACATATACTTACGCATCATCTTGCAAGAACTCATAGGCCTTGGACTTCTGTCCCAGGTTGTACTTCTCCCTCTGTTTCTTGTTGGGGTCTCCGACCGGCTGGACCTGGGTGGTGGGGGCGTTGTATTTGACCGTGGCCACTGGCAGAGTGGCGCTACGCTTCGGTTTGTTGGGGGAGTTGAAGAGGTTGCTGAAGCTGCAACAGGAATACACAGCATGCTTCATCACAGGACGATGTGGTCAATCTGGTAGAGAGTTGCCATGCAATACCTTCATCAGACAAGGGAATTTGTTATAATGCAAGAAGCAGAATGTAAGCATATGTAAGTATGCAAGATGTAAGTATGCAAGATGTAAGTGATGCAATACACTCGAGGGGAATCAAGTCAATGATCTGCTTAAATGACATGTTTGTCATTCAGTCTCGTTCCTCTATAGTCTGTCAGACCATGAATGACTTGTTTGTATGTTAGAACATGATGGAAGTTTGTACGATCCTTTGGGGGAATAATGTATAATGACATCCTCAATCTTCTCTCCGGTTTATTAGAACACAGCAGCTTGTTTGTATGTTAGAAGTATATGCAGAATATGGCTAAAAAACTAATAGTCTTGGTTCTCAGGCACCACCAGCATCACCATAAAGTCTGCCGCACGTTGTTGTTTTTTTCATTCTGTGATGAACACTGCCCACACAATATTTTCAAAAGCCACTGCCTGAGAACCAATTCTTTTATTCTTTTTTAAGCCTCAGAACATGAATGACTTGTCCGGATGTTATAAGCAATATACAAAACAAGATGCAAGCGTTGCAGCCAACCACCTGATGATGATGATAGGAGGGTTGTTGCACTGACTCATTGTCACTGAAGCCACTGATCAAGAGTTATTAGCATTTAATAATAGCAATGCTTTTGTTTCAGATTTTACCACTGTTGCCTCTCCGCTGTCTTTCTGTCGTGTGCATGATGTTCCTCCTGGTTCTGTCATAGCTACTGGATGCATTTACAGGCAAGTCATTTTTTGTGTACACAAATTTCTCACCCGGTAGGATGAGATGGTAATTTGGTTGTTAACCTTCTAGTGCCTAACAGGCAGCCTGGGTTGTATACTCCCCAGGGAGATGGGATGATTCTTGAGTGCACACTGTGACTGGGGTAATAACAGCGCTTTCAGCATGCCCAAGTGGTGTGGAAATATGGGCAATATAAATGGTCTATTATTACTATTATTTCCTTAACATCAGTAACGACCTGATGTCTTAGATTTATGACTAATCTGTAAGATATGCTCTGTGATACAGCACTGATACAGCTGCATACAAGCGCTTCACTCACTCCACACTGTTACTTGACAGTGCACTAATGTTTGGACTTCCTGGCTGTAGAACATTCCAGGGACAACTCATCTTATCCATAACAAGTACTGTAGAATATTCTCACAATTTTTGCGAACACCTGGTGTTATCATTGTTGTCACAAAGGTCTGTGAGTGTAGGTATTGGACGGTTCCACTTTTTCACATGATTTAGATAATCATCCTCAATCATCCAATGTAACAAACCTCCATTTTATCATGAAAGGACCCTGGACCACTTCACTACAATAGCCGTGATTGGGGAAGGATGTTTCCCGATTCATCTTCAAATTTTACATTTGTCATTAACTTGCCATGAATTTTCTCCACATCAGTAATTTGATAGCATCATGTGAATCTAATCAGACACAAAATGAAGCAGTTGTAGTGAATGTATGCAGGGTATTTACCATAACAGAATGGAGATGTAATACACTGAATGATTAATGATGAATATCAGTAGGTGTATTTGAATATCCCTACCAGCTTATTGAGGATATACAATGTTGAAACATATACATGCTGACTGACTCCTCCACTTGTTGCTTTCAAGAAAGCCAGTCGTGTGTTCACATTTTGGACTCAATGTTTCACAAATTAAACATTAGAATATAGGAGAGTTCCAATTACCAAATTGAGTGAGTGAGTGAGTGAGTGAGTTGGGTTTAACGTCGCTTTTAACAGTATTCCAGTTATATCAAGGTGTGTCAGCTTAATGTGGGAGGAAAGCCCAAAGTTATGCAGGTCTCAAACGTTTACCACTTTGGTGAAACCCAGGAGCATGGGTATGGTGCTGACAAACCTAGAAACATAATCAGGGCGAACCGGGATTCCAACCCATAATCATAGGTTTCTGGCATGCCCAAGGGACGCAACTCTGCACAGTGAATCGCGGGGCCTTAGACGACTCAGCCACCCGTGCCCCCTTCAATTACCAAAAGCATCCATCTGCTCAAATGTTTGTCTTTTCTTCACGTATCTTTGTGTGAATACATTCTGTCTCATGGGACATTTCGGTATTTGTCCACTTCATGTCAGTTTGTTTTAGTAATAATATGAATAAGATCTTATCTACCAACCTTACAATGCAGCTTTGTGAGTGAGTATGGTTTTACGCCGCTTTTAGCAATATTTCAGGAATATCATGGCGGGGGACACCAGAAATTGCCATCACACATTGTACCCAGTTGGGGAATCGAACTTGGGTCTAAGGAGTGACGAGTGAATGCTTTAACCACTAGGCTACCCCACACCACCTCATGAAGTTTTCAGAAACATGCATGTTTGCAGCCTATATTTTGTAGCCTCCATCACAGATGGGGCAACTGTACTTGGTCTACAATCTGTTATGGCAGTGCTTCCTTTTAGTTTCTTTTCAAAATCATATCCATTTGCAAACAATCAGACACATGTCAACTCTAAATTGGGGGGGTCTTATCTGGACGAGTCTTCTTTATGCTAGACCACGTGCACATCGTATTTAACGGTGGAGAAACCATGTTTCTAGTGTAGTAAGACAGTCGGTGACTCTGTCAACGTGGATGCAACACTTCACCCTTACATGTGTATTTCTGGATAAAATTACTGGACCTTGCGTTCAATGCAAATACTGAGACAGTAGATCCATAGATTATAGCACTTTTAGAATATTTGCGTGCAAAGTAGTCAATTACAAACTTTTCGTTCATTTCTTAATCCATGTGTAAAAAATATTTCACAGGCCTGAACTTTAAAAGCACAACATATTTTCAGTTCACAGATACCTTTGCACACGACTTTGTCTAAATGTGTAAGGTAATGCCTTGACATCAATGTCCGACATGTACACAGCTTGATTTTGTGTGTCTAGAATAGGACAAATAACATCTGCAGGGTTGTCCATGAATCTCTATAATGTTGGTGACAATTCAATTCCCAAAATTGGTCAGACATGATAATTAGCTCCGGATCTACTTAAAAAATACATATCCACTATTTACTGCTTTTAAATGAACCTCAGTTCTATCCATTTTACATTTCAAGATTCAGATTTTCTATTCCTGGTAATCAAATGCATGTTGTCCCAAGCTCCATGTTTTATCTAGGTGGGAAACTCATCTGAAGCCATCTAACCCTGGTGAAAGGCATTCTTTAGGCCAGTGCAAATTTCTATATCAGACACTTTGCCAATCTAAATTGCAGATTTGTCACTGCTGACTATGCAATGTGACAAATGTACGCACTGAATTTCCTAACAATTCATAGGTGGAGGAATCATCTGGATCCATTATTAGTAGTTGGGTGAAATGTTTGGTAGATATAATGACATGAAACCACCTTTATTAGTGTTTTGCAAATGGCAGCCTTCTGCAGTCAAAGGGAGACAATTTCAAGGGAGATAACTGATTCATTTAGACATAACAAATGTTATATTTGGGCTAACACGTAAATTACAGATTCTTGAACTTTTTTGGTTGAGTCCAGTCTGGATTTTGAACCTACACTGCAAGAGTGAGGTATTGTGTGTTTATGATACATTTTGTATTCAATATTTGCTATTTGAGGACAGTTGGTGATGTCAGTAGGTTACCTCCCTTGTTACCAAGCATGTCTCCTGATAAATTATCTCATTCAGTCTTTTCGGCATGACATGTCACATTAACTATCACAGCTATTCTACATGCAGACCATATCACTGCCCATGATGACATGGAAAAGAAAAAACAATTACATTTAATGTGAAATATCAAACGAAATGAGCTATCTACAACAAAAATTAAAAGATACACAAATTAACATTCACAATAACACATTACACTCGAAAGGAAAAATAAAAGCAAAACAGTTCATTGTTTCGAGATTGATAAACTGAGTCTTTCAAAGACTTGGTCGACTTTTTTAGTTTGTGTGGATATTTTAAATCAGATATGGTCTGCGTGCAGTGGCAGCAAATCAAGTGGAGTGACAAAAGCTTCTGCACCGAGAACTGAATTTGCGAGAGACAGTGCAACAACAGGGTGAACTGAAAGTGTTGATCATGCATACAATTAGGTACAATGTTTTGCCAATTTGATCCACACTGATAACAGAGCCGTGATTTTTAAATAGGAAGTTTATTCCTGTAAAATACAATTATGAGTAGATTCAAATAGAAATAAGATTCATTTATATATGCAAATTTACATAAAACAATAAATAACACAAATTTCAACAATTCTGACAAATAATACAATAACAATGAAAAACACAAGATAACCAAACGGGATCAACGTGGATCAAAATGGCAGAAATGAGATGGTGTGGAAAGCACGTAAGGGTACATCTACAACAGACCACACTTAGCATGCAACGGAGGAAGCAATAGCAAGAAGATATGGATTAGACAAGGCTGTCAGGAGTCAAGCTGAAAACCTGAGAATAAATAAATGCATGGTAATATCATTGATGGTGAATCATAGTTAATATCCTTTAGGCCACACTAGAAATTAATCACTTGTTCCTTATTGAGTTTTACCGGTGGAAATGATATTCTTATATGATGATTTTTGTTGCTGAAAAGTTTTACAAAAGTTCCAGGTAGATTGTGACATCTTTTCCGAAGATTGGGAAAAACTTTGTCGAAAAAAGAGTTACACTGAGTTAAACTTCCTGCCTTCTTGTGAATCTAGATCATGAGGTTTTTTTTGACATAATGTACTTTTGTGATCCATATTACACCTTATGAGAAAATCTACTCTCAAGAAAAATCTTTTAGAAAACGAGATGTGGCAATTCCTACAACAGTGTACAAGTAAGTACAATTTGACATGGCCCTATTGATAGTTTCTGCCGAATAAAAATTCTGATAAGGGGAGAAAGATTTGCCTCTTTGATTACACGTTGATCCCATATGGTTGCACAAGGAATGTACACATTTCCCATGATTCCTTGCTAACTAACGAACAAGGCTAAATATCTGAGGAGACAGAGTGACGGGCTAATGTTGATTCACTGCAAGAGAACAAGGATGAATGTTGTAACAGGTCAAGGATAGTACCTAGAGCAGATGTATTGGGTGGAGCAGGCTAATGAGTTCATGAATAATGAAATGATGATCAATTAATATCAGGAAATGCCTATTATGCAAAAGAACACGGAACAGTACTAACATGATGAATGGACAGAAAGAAGATCTGGGTGATAAAAACAAGTTCAACTTGTTCAAACATATTTGGTATAACATTTCCCAACCTACAACTTACTGCATAACAAGAGATCATAGAAGAGACATAAATGCTATATTTGGCACTAATGACAGTTGTCTTCACGACAAACATTCTGTGCCCAGCTAACACTGCAAGGAATCATGAGAGAAAAACTCTTGCTAGGAGCATCACACGAACAGATTCTCTGATCATTAACTCTGACACCAGCATACAGCGATATACAGTGAATGTTTGATTAGAACCATGTACCAGCAAGGATATGACAGTAAGGCAAAATATTCATCCAAATTTTTGGGCTGATATCTTGTGTCATAGCATTGTCTTCAGATAGGGGTAACTGTACAGTTTATTTAACTGACACAACTGAAGTTGGAGTCTAGATGGAAGGGGATCATTTATGAAAATTGTTTCTTGAAAGATCATAATAATTTCAGATGACACCTCCAGTCTTCTTTTACTAGTGATCGAAATTAAGGGGGATCTATGATGAGTCTTGAATTCAGAGTTGTGACTTTTATGCTTAATTTGTGGACACTGTTCACTATATCTCCTACTTTTTCTCCCGGGGAAGAAAATTGTGCATTAAATACATTTCTAGTAATTGGGTCAATTTTTTTTTAGTAGTGAGTGAGTGAGTATGGTTTTATGCCGCTTTTAGCAATATTCCAGCAATATCATGGCAGGGCACACCAGAAATAGGCTTCACACATTGTACCCATGTCGGGAATCGAACCCGGGTCTTCGGCGTGACGAGCGAACGCTTTAACCACTAGGCTACCCGACCGCCCCTTTTTTGAGTAAGTTCAATGAGTAAGTAACACAATCACTCCGATCTCTTTGATTTGATGCATGTAAAGATTCAACCACTGCCTTTTAAGGAAATGCAGACTGCGACTTTGAAGTGAGGTTTTGTCAAATATTCTGTGTCATGGGCTCCTTGCCAAGATAAGTAATTTAATTTAATATATATTAATATTGGTAACTGATGTCTGCTGGTCGGTACCAAAAGTACCTTTTCTGAATCATTACCAAAAGTACCTTTTCTGAGTCATAACAAAGTAACGTTATTTATAAAGATCCCAATGTTGCCATTCATATTTCATTTTGCTTATACAATAAGCACCTCTCAAAAAGTGGCAATCAATGCATTCCATTTGAAATTAATGTCAAATGCTGAATTTATGCTGATTGAGAGATTTTCAGCTGTGCTGCCTATTTTTTAATATCAGTGACGTTCTGGTATTGAGCACCACAACAGACAACAGTTGGAGTTTTACATAATATACTAGTCGACATCATCAAACTTAGCCACAGAATGCCCTGTGATACTGGATTGTATTTTGGACGAATATATCCCATACCATTTGAGCAGAGATTATCACAATAACTAGCCTAGGATAATGTGTTGCAACAGCACCAATATGTCAATATGTAAATATCTCCCATTCATCCCTCACATTACACACACATACATGGCATCTCTGGTATTTCAAAACTTAAAATTACAGCTTTAAAACAAAATGTTAAGATCGGTTTTCATTAAACTCAAGTGATAGTAAAGTCTCCTAAAAAGAATAAACAATGTATGTTAAAGCTACATGTAATGTCTAAAAATACCTTTTTGCAAATATGTTTGGATTTCAGATTATCTGTAAGCATTTTCAGTACCTTAGCGTACTGAACTGACTAGCACTCTATATTATTTGGTCTGTGAGAGATCCTTTGGTAAGTCAAATACAGATTTGCACCATTTTCTTTCAGAACATTCCGAGCACTTACTTTAAAAGATACATTCACACTAGAGCCATTTATATCACATGTAAGTTAGACACCAACCCGAGTTTCAGATTAGTATTGTGTCAGAGTCAACGTACACAGGAGCAGATACACAGCACAACTCCAGATATGGGCAACTGTCAATGAACACAAAGTGATACCCCTTATTTGGTCACCTTTCCCAGTTCACGTTTCCATCATTTTGAAGAAAGGTTTTGTAAATGTCTCTCATCAATGTTATTTCTTCTAAAACATGCAATGTGGACAAGATTTTCCATGATGATCGATACCTTTTGGTTCTGTCTGGTAAAATAATCCCAATTTTATAACATTAGGATGAAGATTGTCCGGATTATAAAGGAAGGGCAACCTTCCACCTTATCTATGCCACCATGGTTGATGTTGAGTTTGAATAATATGTCTCAAAATCTTCTGATAAAAATTTGGCGACCTGGTCAACTTTGAAAAGAACCAACTGATGAGAAACATTTTTGTCTAAGACCTAATCTGATTTTTGAAGAGGTTTTATCTAAGGCCTAATCATATTTGCAGGTCTGGTGTTGCCATGTGTGTCTGCTCTTGACAAGAGGTATTGATTAACAGGAACTAAGTTGAGCCTGTGCTATAAGTGATGAACACTGTTGGAACTGTCGGATGGCTTGTGCGGCCGAGGGTTTGGCTGTGGGAGGGTGGGGCAGGGCGGCACCAGACGGGGCTGTGCCAACAAGGGTGTTATTGGTTTGGGCCGAGGAGTTGTTAAATGGGGATGTAACGGACGAGGCTCAACTAGTCTTGGTTGGACTAACCGCGGTGAGTCTTCTTTCGTCTTGACATTGTTTCTCTTTTTTTCGGGGGATGATGGCGTGGATGGTTCGGATGAGGAGACAATGCTGCTGAAACTAAACATGCACACACAGTCAATGTCTGTCTGTCACTACTCGTAGGGATCTCATGCCAGGGGCTTCTTCCTACCAGAGGGACACGGGATGCAAAACTGCACCACACCAAAACCATCCATCCGATGATCACATACCAACAGTGCTTGAAGGATGAAAGTCAAGGGGTCCTCATCATAAAAATACACCATCAGTGAGTCCCTAGATCAAAATACTACAGACAAAACGGACCCCAGGACCTTTTTTCAAACACTGTACCAAAAAAAAGCACATTTCATGCAACAAAGCTAATAAATCTAAAAATTAATTACAACCATCTAAATATCAGGCTATTATCCGGATGACAATTACCATCAAACAGCAATGTATTTATTTTTTAGCAAAGGATAAAAATTTGTAGAAATGTGAATGTTAGAATTAGGCAGGTGAGTAGACTTATCTGTTACAGCATGTGTTATGATTACAATAATGTCAATATTTCAGCCACACGTCTGTGGAAGCAGGCATAAAGCAGCATGTCAATATGACCAAAGCAATGGCTGGCAAGGTACAAAATGGGCAAGCAGATGGATGACACAGTACACAAGTATACGATCACCATGTCTGTAAGGTTGATATTAATATCATTATTCATTGGACTTGTCATGTTTAATGGAAATCAGTAATCAATCATAAGTAAGGCTTATGGCACTGTCTTAACCTGCTCATTCTTCACAAAAGGAAAGATATACATAAGATAAACATGAACACTCTTAATCACTATTTTAGTGTGAATTCTCATGCCTTTGCAGGGATGCAAGTTAACCTGAAACACTAGCTTGAATAGTAAAAGCGCATGATACCCAATAATAAGCCTGAAATTCAACTTGCCTTTAGGATACCTTTAACATCAGACTAACTGACCAAGGCTAGTATCAATTTGCATCCCTGCTTTGACAGAAATCATTCACAGACTTGAAGCTGTCGTCAATACACTTAGCTTGTCCCTATCCCAAAGATGATGACTGTACTTCTAGCCAGACACTGTGATATAGACTGCTGGACACAAGACAAGACTGCACACGACATGTCAAATTCCAGAAAAACCACCACCAAATAACCAAACACCATGCTGCTCCCTTCAGCTGGACAAATCTAGATGGAAAACGCCAAAAATTCCCACGATCAACATACTTTTTTCAATCCTTCACACGATTCAGTAAAGTGCAAAAATATATATCAAATCTGAATGAACTGTTTCAGGGATTTTCAATACATGCATATATACATATGTGATAATTTTATTGTATGATTTCTGATTTGTGACTTTAAATCATTCAAATACTGTCAAGTTCCTTCCTACCATTCTGTGATAAAATGTTGTATAAAGGCATATTGACATTAACATTGAAGAATTCTTTTGTATACATAGAAGAATTCTTTTGTATAATAAAACAATATGACATACCAGTATGTTTCCACCTGAGTATGGGCCTATGTAATATATAGAGCCGTATTTGCACTCTTCTACATGAAATATAAAATTCGGAAGCAAGAATTAACACATAAAGCTATTACGATTTTGATCATGTCAGTATGGATTTTGAACCAATGGATCCAATAAAGCAACCTACTCAAACCCTCAGCCCATAACACAATCCACATGTTGTCTGTGCCCAAAATGTTGTCTATGAGACTACAAGCCCCAGCTGAATTTTGGACATTTTTGTCAGTAGCTCTAAAGGGTCCTGATGGGGTTCATCATTAGTTTTATGGGCTTCAGCACGTTTAGTGAATTCTAATTTTTCTTCGTCAGTCAAAGCAACATGAATGGGTAAAGGAATCGTATTCAGTCAGTAATTGGTGGCACACGTCAACTGTTATTCTAATTCTGCTTGTTTTTTTAATGGCAATTGTGTCTCACCAAATGGAAGGGACCAATTATTGAACATTACATGTAGGTTAGGGACGATACACAATCTGTGCAATCCGATAAGTATCACGATACATTTCTCACAATCTGATATGTAACATAATACTTGCACATTCTCTTATCTGTGGCCCGTAAGCTATCTTTTTCATAGAAAGAATCGACCAATTACCTGGCACACTGATGATTTAAAGTTGCCAGTGTCAAATATGGCGCAATGGATAAAATATTTATGTTTTCATGACTAATTTTCACACTAGTTAGTGATTTTAAGGTAAGAATCGATATTTATTACTTAGTGTGCGACTGATTCATACTTGTATTGAGAAGCAAAAATCCAGATCCACCGATGCATCGGTCTATCGTCCCACTACTAGTTACGAAGCTATTATCAACAATGCAGTGTAAAATGGACCAAGAACCAGTCTTCTGTCTTTTCTTCCATCAGAAGTAAATTATTATTTATACTAATAAGTAATTTGTCATCGTTTTAAGATATATGTTACAATAAAATCAGACACAATAAAATCCTTAAGTCATTTTACGAAAATCAATAATACCCATCAGGACCCTGAAACTACCAATGTTAGGTGAGTATATTATGTTGAAAGAACTTTTACAAGACTCGTGTCTTCAGGCACAGACTGACCATGTAACTGATAGCATGATTACATGGAGGTTATAATGTTAATCATTACTGAATACACACTAAGTCTTACCTAGGGTTATGTGATTTTATGTTTCAGTTTTGCATGTATGGAAGAGAAACACTTTTCTACAAAGCTAGTTAAAGGTAGGGAATATATATACACAGAAATGCAATAAACCTGGCTACTTGGCAAGCAACTACTGGATGACGACTGTTAGAAAAGACAAGGCCTAAACAGCATGACGAGGCCCAGAACAGCACGACAAGGCCGGAGACATACCAAACAGCCCCAACTAAACTCCATATTATGGTGTTTGAAAAGTAATCTCTGTTTGGTCATGTGAGCTGCGGCCGCCCTAGCACGGCATTCATCGACATAGCACCCGTGTCCAACACTACTCCGCTGACATGCAACCTTCAGCCGTCATAGAACTTGGAAAAGCTTGGAAAGAAGAAGGAAGAATGCCTACACTGGTGATTGAAGTCATGGTTGAAAGATACTTGAAAATATAATCACACCATTTTAGCCTTAAGTTTTTAAACTCAATGTTAACTCATCCAGGTTGCCAAAATAAGCACACTGAAAAGACTGCTCAAAGCAAGAATAGAATGAGGCTATGGCGCTAGTAAAGCTACTACTTTTCAGGAAGCATGTATTTCCTGAAATGTCTATGTACCTTGATTATCCTAATGTCTTGAGATTGTACTTTGGCAAGATTACATCAAACCATATCACAATTTCTAAGTCCCTGAATGAGTTTCAAGAGCAGCATAAGAATCACGATCACGACATATTTCTGTAACCGATGACAATAAGTCCTACATGATGTGTGAAAAGGGAACTGGATTCAAAAGCTTCTCAGGATTCATTCATAAGAAAGTTTGATCATATTTGAGCTGTTGCCGACTGTCTTGTTATGTTTTTAGCTTATCCATAATATCCAACCACTGAAAGAGACAGAAAGGATTATGTAACGGTATAACAGTAATACTCACAAGTTCCATATAGAGGACTTTTTCTTTGGCTGAAGACCTGATTCTGGATGTTCTCGTGAAGCTCGGATCATCTCCGTCCATCTGACAGCCTCCTGGAGCTCCATTAGCCTCTCCTTGTACTGATTCCGTTCCATCAACACCCGCGCCATCTCAACACGTGTGAACCGCTTCCGTTGGGCCATTGGAACATCGTCCTAAGGTTAACACACATAGTTTTTAACAATAGCGGTGTTTGCATTACAAGCTAAAACAGAAGCAGACCTATTCCCACTCTATCCTGGATGTCCCAAAACTTTCCACCACAAACATGCATCAGGAACCGATTCGGCTTAACCAAATCAGGTGAGGTGAAATTGGGTTTAACGTTGTTGAAAGGCATTTAGAAGTGATTCGCATAAGGATGAGAATATATGGATGTCAACTTCTTTATTATGAGGAACACAACATTTCGGAGTATATGCTTACTCCTCCATCACTTCATCACCATATATTCTCTTCCTTATGGGTTTAACGTCGCATCGAAGATTATTGCAACGTGTGTGCGTGTGTGCTTGTATTAGTCCGGACTGATGCCGAATCATAGTGCTAGCTTACTGAGATACCATGCTGCAGTTTAACATGAATACCCTACTCAGACACAGTATACTGACTCTGAGCCGACCAGTCCTTGTTTTAGCCCCTTAATGCCGAGCACCAGACAGGGTAACAACAAGTACCATCTTTTAACGCCTTTTTGGTATGACACGGCTGGGGATCAAACCCCGGACCTTCCGCTCGGACCACGGAGCCGGTCTCAGGTGAAAGGTAACCTCACCATTCTGTCTGTATTCATCTTTGCTCCCTAATGATGTCAACTGGAGTACAACTTTGTCCTATTTACATGGGGCTGCCTAATTATACTAATATTCTTTGACTGTACCCTTTGCCCTCCTTGACACACAGAAACAATAACACAGATGACAAAGTGTTAAAGATGAATCATACAATTTCAACAGTACAAATACCAGGGCTGGGACTATACACCAACTGTGTGATCCAATATGTATCATACCTTTCTCACGATCTGATACTTGCATGTACTCTTATCTGTGGTGCGTAAGCAGTCTTTTTCATAGACAGGAAGGCCAAATACCTGGCACATTGACGATTTAGAGTTGGGCGGGTCAAGTATGGCGCAATGGATGAAAATATTTAGATTCTTACTACTACCAGTACTTTCAACTACTACTTTTAACTACTCATTAGTGTTTGGTGAAACAGCAGCATTAGAAACTGGCACTGGTCCTGTAGTGCCCAATAGTTAAGGTATCCTAACGACCAGTAGAAATTAGCCATTTTGAAGGGTTTGCTATATGTTATCATTAACTAGTGGACGAAACATGTTAGTTTCTACCACTGTAACAGTTATTAAAGCAAACTCTACATCAGTGTTGGATGCTCACAAGGCCTAACACATCATCAATACATGTACGTGTACACTCCATCATCCTGAATACATGGCTGATGTGAAGTGCAGTATTTAAGTCAGCTAATGAAGGAAAACTTATGACAGGCAGGCGAGTCCTACTCTGTGCATCAAACTTTTGTAAACCCAACTACTGAAGCAATGTGCGCAACAGATGACTAAAACCCGATGTTGCACATGGTGTCAAGCTGTGTGTGTGATGTAATCTGAGTGCTCACTGGCCAGAGCAGTCACTAGAATCCAGCAGACATGAAGTAGGTCATGATTAGTAATAGCACCACACTGCTATGTATTCACTGGTGATGGACAGGTGAGTGAGTGAGTGAGTATGGTTTTACGCCGCTTTTAGAAATATTCCAGCAATATCACGGCGGGGGACACCAGAAATGGGTGATGGACAGGAGGAACATAGCGTACCTACACGCTTGTGAAGTACAGACAGAGAGGGACACGAAGTTAACCAGGTTTCACTGCATGTTCAGTGTTAGAAACTAACAGTTTTTGTCCACTAGTCCTTATAATGATAACATATAGCAAAACCTTTAAAATGGGCCAATTTCTACTAGTCCTTAGGATGCCTTTACTATTGGGCACTTTGGTAAAGACTACAGGACTAGTGCCAATTTCTAACGCTTATGTTATTCATAACAATCCAATGAAAGCTCTGCCTCATTCAACCCCTCAGACGTCCTCTGAAGCTCATTACCTCTTCGTCTCCTGTAGCCTGCTGCTTCTTCTGCATCTCTTCCTTCGTCTTCTTCAGTTCTTCCTCCAGCTGAGTGATGCGTAGTTGTAGCCGACCCTTCACAGTCTGCAGGGAGGTAATCTCCTCCCGGAGAATCTCCTGCTCACTACACAGAGTTACAGCTCAATCAGGAAGGGAGACAACATACAACATAGCGTCACTTACTCTGCAGCAAATTATCATGTAAACATAGGAAAACTTGAGTTAACGGTTATGATGGTAGAGACTAATTGCAGTCCCCTTCCAACATTAAGAGCCAGTAATTCCTTCTTGTACCGTGTATGCCTAAACCATTATATACTTTGGTTGTTTCTATGGGACAAATGCCTGTTTAAGATGATGATTAAATCTTTTGACAGCCTATTGTTAACGAAGTCACTTGATAGAATTTATAGGCTTTATTGAGCATGTCGTATCCCCCCAAGTTAAATTATTTCTATTTAATATGCAATGTGGACAAATAAGCACCATCTTTAAGTGTCAAATGATGACACAAACCATCTTTTCAGTCTTTTTTTCAGCTAAATGACAGTATGACAGTAAAATGACAGAAACATCCCTGAGTGATGCAGGTTGTAGATGGTTTCTACTTTGGTGAAACCACAAAGCATGGATGGTGCTGACAGAACAAGGATCATAGCAGGAGCATGACTCAAGTCCTTGACCAGCAGATCCTGCAGGAGATAAGGGGTGCAACTCCTTCATTTCCTAACATTATCAGTACCTTGAGAGCTCATCCACCTTGGCTATGAGATCATCCTTCACTATGTTCAAGGCATTTCTGAAATAGAAGTTTCCTTACTGTTAGTGTTACTGCATTTCAAGTTAAAAAATAAAACAAACAAAAGGAAGAAGTCATCTATATCCCCTGCAATGGCAAATACTTGTCATGGATAAATATATGAAACTTGTTGCCATGGAAACAAACAAACATAAAGTAACTATGAAGAGGCACTAGTTCACCACTAGACCTATGTGCCAGGTTTGCTGGAGAAATATTGTACGGTTTTCAAGATCTGTTCCGGAAACAAGCACTACCGCCATATACAGCCTAAGTCAAAGATGTTGCCATGGAAAGTCGATATACATTATATATAAAAAAATTTAAATCCTAATCTATCGAAAGGCACCAATTCACTACTAGACCTCTCAATGTACCAGTTTTGCAGAATGAATATTGTATGGTTTTCTACTCCAGAAACGAGTGCTACAGCCATTGCCAGCCAAAGGCAAAGTTGTTGCCATGGAAACTTGAAGAATTACCAGTTTAGCACTAGACCTAGCTATGTGCCAACTTTGGTGAAAAAATATAGTATGTTTTTCAAAATCTTTTTTCAGATGACATCATTATCAATGAAATAATATTTAACCAAGTCAACATTTCCAAAATGATCACTTACTTGGTAGCTAATAATTCTGTATTTTCTAGAATTAAATTTTCAAGCTCCTTGCCCATTCCTGAAAATACAAAAGTAACATTAACTAGTAGGCTTAATAATATTCAAATACAATTATTATGAGAATGAAGTGGATATTGCATTTACAAAGTAACATATGTACTCTTCTTCACACGATGATATACCAAAATATATTCCCTTATATACGCATTTATTTTTTCTTAAATATGCTCTCATTTTCATTACATCAATTCTGTAGAACATATTTTTCTGACGATTTCCATATAATTTATGGACTGTACGCAATGAAGTTGTGTGGATGATACAAGAGTACAAGGCTTACCAAAGAAATTGTCACTGACTGTAGATCCAGGCAGGTAAAAGGAAAAAGGTTTGATTAGTAGTTGACACTAGACATGCTTATATTAAAACACAAACACTACACATTCCCAAATATTAGTTATTCCACTTGAAACATCTTCATTGTCAAGACAAAACCAACTACAAATCCAAAATCAATGTAATGTGTGAAACATTTAGTTCTCAGACAATGACTTTTGAAAAAATGATGTGGGCTGGTGACCTGAGAGTATCAATTCCATGCTTCCCAAAATCACAATTTTCACATTTCAAGAATATTTTCAGCCCTTTATAAGTTAAAAAAATGCCAATGAGACCAATTCTATGTTTGGCACCCTTGATTAATAGTGCAGTCAGTTAGTGCCTAGTTTTTGTCATAACCTGTTGATGACCACGGTTATTTAACCTAATCCAACTTTCTACAAAATTTCCACTTCTTATGTATGGGTGTTCAAATTAATCAGTAGTCAGCACAAGTCTCATCATTGCTCTAAAACAACACAGTTCTCTGCTGCAATAGTTTGACTAAATCTCACTTCACTTGTGTAAAACTGGAATCTGAAGCCTTATGTTACCTCATGTTGAAATTTGGAAACGGGAATTTCTTGACATTTGTTTGTATTGCATTTGCTACCAGGAAAATAGAAGCCATATGGCTCCTAGGAACACAAGAGCTTGGCAGTCAAGGCTGTGAGTTAAATGTTGTGTTGATCATACTCTGACCCAGACAACATAAACTTTCGTTTCAGACATTTGGTCTGATACTGTAGTGTTATTTCCAGGTTGTTTTCTATCAAACCAAAAGGAAACTGTCGGTGATTCAAATGGCATTTAAAGTAATGTCTACATTTGTGACTGCTTTTTCGGCTTTTACTTGTTCAAGGTATAATATAACATCAGATGCCCTCACAGTAGTCATAGACATGGCCTGTAGTTACAGAAATAGCAATCACAGATGCTTCAAGTGGAATACACAATGCTGATGCATTACTGACGACTGACTGTGACCAACATGAGTTAACTTATACATATCCATATGAAATGTCATTACACAACCGTACCAATCTTCAAACATGTTCATTCATATCAAACATTTATCAATAAATAGATAATTTATTTGTTTGTTTTGAAGAATATTAATAATTGTGACCCAGCAGGAGACAAGGGACCTTATGGGTGAAAAATCTAATTTTGACTTTTCATAATATTTTAAAACTACAGTATCTTTGGCACACAAAAATATAATTTACAAGCTTCAATTCATATTTATTACAGAGATACATGACATCAAAGATTAGAACTCATTTTCCGACTTATGCAATCATTACAGTTTTTAGACATGTCTGATAAATTGAAAGTAGATGTGAATGCTGAAAGGTGTGGAAATGTTTTTATAACATTACGAACTAACGAGAGAAAAATAAAGATATTTTTGTACAGTCCACACACATGGCGATCTGCACTGAAGTAAGTTGACATCAAACGTCTTTATGACGTCACAGCACAATTGTATCCTAGCACCTATAAGGTTCCTTTTCTCCTGGTGGGTCATAATTACTTATGCACTTTGGAACAAATTTACACCAAATTATATTAATGTAGAATTCAAAATAAATTCAGAAAAAAATAGATAAACAAAATGCAAAAGCTGGAGTTTTAAGAGTTTTGTCGATAGAGTGTAGAGGAGACTGTTAAAGCTGTGTTCCATCCCCCTGCCAAGTCAGTGTTAGAGATGAAGCTGTGACACTTTGAAAAGCTCATCATGAATGGGGGAAAACAAGCGGCAAAAACCCTGGCCAAATGTACAAACGATTGGATTGCATCAAACTTGTTGATCGAAGTATTACATGTATTTACAAAGACGGCTATAAAAGGCGAGATTTGACAAACACTTAGGATCCTAAAAGATAGTGAATCTATCATTAACGATAATGAGAAGTCATCTGTCAGAATCTTTGCAATATTGACCGTGAAACTTTTAATAGTGTTTTGGGGGCCACAACAAACCTCCAACACTACAAGGATGGCGATGGAACAACCACTTCCAGGGTTGAAATTACATGAACTGGAATATCATGTCCCTATCAAAATGGTCTTGTCATGGAATATATATGTTCAAAATTAGAAAAATCACCTTTTTTTTTTTTTTTTTTCAAACAATTTTATTAATAGAAAGTTAATAATAGAAACTGTTACATTTCATATTTTCCCCAAGCCCTGCACATCTGCTCCTACCCAAAATACAAGATCCCCGACCCCTACACCTCCCACCCTCAAGAGCAGATAACTCAAACACTACCAATGACCCGAGAAATGTATTGTTACAGCAATGCTTCATTTAAAAAAAGGTTTCTCCTTGTTAGTCTAGCTGCATCAAACAATGTCATCCAACTGTCTCCTTGCAACCATGTTCGGTGAATTTCTTTCCCTGACTTGCAGAAATATCAAGTATACTATTCTCCTACCGACAGAGTCTTTGTCATTGTCCTTATCTCCATCGTCGTCACTATCTGTAACAACAGGTACAACAAACAACATTCACATGCTACACAACACATGCCACTAAATCAATGCAATCAACAGAATCAATGCAATTCAATCACATCTACAGGGTGAGTAAGAGGCTAGACAGGTGTCTCCGGAATCTTTTCTGCAACATTTTCAATCTCAATTCTTCTTTCTCCTATGCTGATCAATGGCTATTCTCAAACATCTATTTGAATACTGTGTTCAAAATTAAGGGGATTCCTGGGGTCACAGATGTTTGCGCCAAAATAATTAGTACTTCAGCAACAGAAACTAATAATTTTAGTCAACTAGTCTGTATAATGATAACATATAACCCATAAAAATGGCAAATTTCTACTAGTCCTTATGATACCTAAACTATTGGGCAGTTTGGCAAGGACTACAGACTAGTACCAATTTCTACCACTGTATTTGAATCAAAGGAGTTGAAAATATGGATCCATTAACATTTGAACTTTAACAATGGTTATGAGAAGGACCCCTGGACTTTTGACCTTAATTTCCACCACTGGTATTGTAAAATTTAATTCGGTTTCATCATCTTATTCGTACATGAGTGAGGGTTATATTTCAGTAATATTATAACATGGGTATTGAGGAATCAGCATCACACATAACACCCATGTTCACTTCTTTGAACCAGTATCTGGAGCTTGGTGAGCAAATGCTTTATCCACTAAGCCACCTTACACATAAGCAGCCCTTAATAATTACGTCAAAGGACTCAACTATACAAACATACTAGCAAACAAAAATAAGACTTTTTTTTACCATGTATTAAATAAATGTAAGAAAATGTATTTAATATACCATGCTTAAATCTCTCAATATTCCTTCACCATAACATATGCATTTTCATAGATGCCAAATCATAAAAAATCAATATGAAGTAGGATGTATGATGAATAATATTTACTGAACCACATGCAAACGTCAGGATAAAACTTTAGGTAACATGTCTTCATCATGCATTTATGCGTTTCTGATAACTTATAGTATTGACAACTTTTGAATTAACAGTTAAAACTAATCTTCAAGAGAGGGCTGTTACTCGTCTCACTGAACAATCATGTCAGTACCAATATGACTTAATTAGTGTTAGTTTAGCAAAATGATTGATGAAAATTATTTTGTGAACTTTGACTATGATTAAACTCAAATTAATATGAATTTAATAGGAATATGAGTAATCATGGTAATCACATCCGTAAAGTTTTCATTAAAATACCCCAGGCCAGGTCAGTCTATTATCCTTTTCTATTTTACACTCAACCTTATGAGTCACTGTTAAAACAAATACTGACGTTTTAATTAAAAACGTTTTTTCAAACCTATTCTAGTTGCAGGTTTAGAAATGTATTAGAGCCATAGGACCCTTATAAAAATGTTTCGGTGTGGCCATTGAACTAAAGAGTGCCAACTAGAAGAATAAGTTTAATCCATAAAACATATTGTCTTCTCACAAGGCCAGTCAACAAGCAGTTGTAATATTAAAAGTTTGCCCCTTTCCTATCCATTGAGATACATTGTAATACCCTTCATAATACATTTTTGAATACCCAAATTCATATCATTAATCATACTGTTTATTAAGCGTACACATGTTTATCATTTCCCATGTGCTTGTCACATTTATTTTGGGTTGTCACAAAGTATTGTTGTAAAATAAGTAAAATTACCACGTTTGAGCTTCAGGTCCCGGTAATTTATTTTAACTATGCCATTACAATTTTAACTGGGCCCATCAACACTACAATACAAGGAATGGTCAAACCTTATGTCAGTATTTAAGTGTCTACAGTCAGAGCTAAATATCAACACATATTTTAACTAAATTCAAATGATAAAAAAATCCAAAAGAAAATCTTGCCACATCTGTGATAGTGAAATAATATTAATCCTCGATATTTTCCTGTCTTTCTCTCTTAACACTTGATTATATCTAATGTTAAATGGTAATAAATGACAGGGGTAGAAATAAACAAAAGACTACTAGCTCAGTGATGTATAGAAATTATCATAAATCAACTAATCAGGAAGGACTAATGATATTTCCTTGTGGACCACCACTTATAGCATTATACAAAGGGCAACTCTGTAGATCAACTTTAAAATGTAAATATGTACCCATAATGTACCCATACATATATATTTTTAAGGATTTGAAAATCTGCTTGCTCTCAGTACACCTTTACAAATACTGCTTCAAAGCTAGCAGGCTAGTGCTAATTTCTGTCCCTGTGAATATTGATGTTACAATCTTGGATTCGAGTCAAACATATGAACGGCTACATAGTTTAAATGTGATGACTTGAATACATCCCGGGAGACACTTGTCACAAGATAAAACATGAAAGAATGAATAACGAGCAACATAAGAAATGATGAAGCCATGAGAGAGTTCGAGCGGTTAGAAAGGACATGACACAGCATACCAACACAAGTTCAGACATCATCTGAATGTGGCTAATGAATTCCAGTTACACAATTTTTAGACATAAGCCTGGGTGGGGGCTTAATGTTCCTATAGCCAGCCCCAACCCAGGATACAAAACATTCCTGCAGCACATGTTTATTTAATTGGAAGGTTGTTAGGTCAGCAGATGACTCATGGTGCTGGTTTTGCAAGGATATCAAAACTCATGTTGGAAATATGTTAAGTGTCAAATCTTAAGATTAGGGAGACACTCCCACAGCGGAAACTGAATGAACACACAAGAGAAACATCAAAGATGGCGGCTGCTAGTTGACTGAAACAGGCAATGAGGATGAAACAAGCAATATAATACAGCTATGAGGGACAGAGAGTTGCAGGTCACATGACCACGTGACTGCTGCATGCTGGGACTCACCGGAGGAGGCATACTCAGCTGGGTTCACCTCGCGGCCTGTTGTTGGGCAATGTCATATTACATTCCGTCAAACAAGTTAGTATTACTGGAGCAGCCTCTTGCACAAACAGTCTTAGCTACAGACCTTCATTTAACCTGAACATATATCACTATTACCCAATTCAGTTTGAGCTGATTGAATACAAATATGCATGAAAACCTATTTTTTTTTAAAAATAGTAAAACACGCTTAATTACCCAATGTATCTTTTTCAACTTATGCAGCTGTCTTTCTTTACAAACCTTTATTACTGGATCAAATGAAAGGCATGAAAAAACACCATGACTAATCAGCGGTAGAAACTAACAATTTGGTCCACTGGCCCTTATGATAACATATAGCAAAACCCTTAAAAAAGGCACATTTCTACTAGACTAATGACACCTTACCCATTGCGCAGTTTGGCAAGGACTACAGGACTAGTGCCAATTTCTAACGTTGCTGTTTGCTTATTGTTAATTAGACACGTGTATCGCTGTTGTGAGTTTATGCGGCATGTTACACATTTCGTACAGCCCATGAACAGACAAATTAGAATTCGAAAGACAGCATTTAAAGCCGATTTTTTTTTAAAACTATCTATTCATTGGTTTAAAATTACCCAAATTGACAGCGGAAGAAACTGACATTTTGGTCCACTAGTCCTTATAATGATAATATATAGCAAAACTCTTAAAAATCGCAAATATGTACAAGTCCTTATGATACCTTAACTATTTGGCAGTTTGGCAAGGACTATGGCACTAGTGCCAATTTCTTACCCTGATTGACTGGACCCAAGGGAGTAAAACTATGTTCAATACCCCAACAAACTATCAATACCCAATGTGAATGATAACTTGTGAACAAATAATCATGGCTCTAAACACTTTCAGGTGCCCTGTAGCTATCTCATTATGACCATGTCTGATTGGGATCAATAACCAAGACTTATTTGTGCAAGTAGGCGAGGTATGTATGGTTCTCGAATGAAAATAAAGAATTCAGACAAACATAATTCATATCACAATTTGAATGACATATGATCAAAAAGGTTTGGGGCTATTGTGAAAACATCCCAAAATGGCACAGGTCAAGATGAATGTACACTGAAGTTTCAAGCAGATGGTGTTGTGACAATTTGTCTTTAATCAGCACACTTACAAAACATTATCATAAGCAGACGAGACAGAGTCTGACGAGTGCTGCAAGTAGACATCACAGAGAACCACACATAGTCCTAGGTATGTAAAAATCTTCAGAATCGACATGCACAATAGCTGTGTCTCAGACAGATAGTCTTAGTGTTTCATTCATGCAGATTGTCATACAGTTAGTTTGTGTATCTCATTACTGTTTCAGTTGCAGCACAATGCAAGGAAACAAACATATTCCTGAATTTGCTAATTAAGTTTTGTGAGCTGGGCAACCAGCTTGATGTTAGTGTCTCACCGGTAATATCAGCACCAAAGTCAACTTCAGCAATGTCAGCTCCCTCACCAGCAAGCTCATCAAATATAGTTTTATCATTCCTTCTGAAACAAAAATTGTTCTTGTTCAAGTATATTTCAGACTTCAGTATGTTATATTGAGTCCAGTCATCAGGTTCATTATATCACTGACACAACAAACCTGCACAAGTATGTTAACATATTTGAAAATTAGAAGATAATTTTTTTCTGAAATCAAAATATTCAATATTAATGTCATGTAATGACTTACAAAAGTCCACAAGTGAATGAGTGAGTGAGTGAGTATGGTTTTACGCCGCTTTTAGCAATATTCCAGCAATATCACGGCGGGGGACACCAGAAATGGGCTTCATACATTGTACCCATGTCGGGAATCGAACCCGGGTCTTTGGTGTGACGATCAAACGCTTTAACCACTAGGCTACCAGACCGCCCAACAAGTGAATGAGTATGTTTTAAGTCGTGTTCATCAATATCCCAGATGGGGAGACACCAGAAATAGGCTTCACACATTGTACATGGTGTACCCCCGTGGGGAATTGAACCAAGTTGTTGTTTGTTGTTTAACACCACATTCCACAATATTCCTGCTATATGACAGTGGTCTGTAAATAATCAAGTCTGGACCAGACAATCCAGTGATTGATATCATGAGCACTGATCCACGCAATTGGGATACGATGACATGAATCAACCAAGTCAGTGAGTCTGACCCCCGATCCCGTTAGTCACCTTTTACGGCAAGCATGGGTTCTGAAGACCTATTTTTACACAGATCTTCATGGGTGGAATTGAACTAACGCCTTGGCCAGACGAACATATGCTTTAACCACATGGCCTCTTCAAAATAAGTGGCTGTGTGAATGGAAATTGATTGTCACTGCAAAAGAGCCTTCCAAGATTCTACACATCTGTTGTTAATTTCTAAAAAGGTGAGTGAGTGAGTGAGCGAGTCAAACCCAGCTTCCAAATCTTTGTTAAATGAGATAGCCGGGGAAAGCAGAAGTTCAGCTTTGGTTGCCCACGGACAACTCTTAAAGTTGGACATTCACTTTTTGATAAAACGTTTGTAATAAGTTCTACATATAACTTTGAAAAAGTGAAAACATCGCGAGTTTGACTAATCCAAATGCAAATAGCGTCTTGTTAACTTCCTCGTTAAGTTAACTTCCTCGGTTGCTCAAATCCATTGTATTAATAAAGAAGTCATGGCAGGTCGCACTGGCTGCTCAAAACATGGCTTTCATTTCATAACAGCCTATCAATGATGAATTCATTATACGCAGGGAGAAAATCCACAGAGAAACGAAATCGTTGTGGGTTTAAAAGATTTTTTTGTTGTTGGTAATTTGGCAAGGTAGATTTAGTCTCCAGACTACTTAATTTTACTGCTTACTATTCATTTTGATGTTTTCACACCCTTGCAAAGCATTTCAGCCATGTAAGCTAAATGTAGGAAAAAAAAACAAGTGACACAGATCAATTATGTCAACCACTTTGATGAAACCTTGGAACATAAGTACAGAGCTGACGGACCAATGACCAAAATAGAGACAAATCTGTGAGCAGCAGATCCTGGCACGGCTAAGGGACTGAACTCTGCACAGCAACTTACAGTGCCTCAGATGCCCGTGACTCCATGCCCCTGCTACATGGAAAATTAGCTCATGTAACGATGCTCAAAACTCCCTTACCTTGAAGCTCTTTTGGAACTTGGACTACCAAAAGAATCATCATCTAGTTCTGGTGTAGAAGCAACTATTGATCGTAAAGTTTCACCCAAACCTGAAAGAGGAAGGTTGTATGTCCTCAAGTTCACATTAAGCATTACAATACAGTATCATTCATGTTTGCAAACCTTACAGTTCTCACATTTAATAAGACAATTCAGAAAATATGTCACCATTCACACACAAAGCTGAACCTGGCTCAAGTCAGATGACTTTTAAACACAAATGAACATGTTTTGTTACAAACTTCAAATTTCAAACTACTCACCAACAGGTTGAAAACCAAAGAAGCAGCATTAAAAGAAAGTAACATTGTTTTGTTAGTTATCAATAAGACAACACATGTTCAAACATCAACAGCTGATTAACCTCTGACTAAGGTGCAGTGAAAACAACACATTGCAGGATGACAGAAATCTGAGCGACCTAACATGGACATACTGACATACTGTCATTGGCCCTTTCATAGATCCTGGAGCAATGTTAACCCTTCAGACTCAAGGAGCAGGACTAAAACTTGTATATTAATTCTAGAAAAGAAAGAATTAACAGTCCTGTGACTAGACATGAACTATCAGTCCAAATTTTGGCTTCAGCTCTCTTCTTCGAATTTTAATCTAGATTTCCGTTTGGCTTGTATGATAAGATAGACGATGTTTGAAGTTTCCTTCCATCAACGTCCTGGAAAATTAACTGATCTGAAACCCTTGGTCTCTACTTCAGATCTGAACCTGTCACTCTTTGCAGTTGTTTTCACTGTACCTCAGTCAAACCATGTAAAGCCCACTGCCACCAACACCCTCAACACATGTAGCTTCAGCAGCATGAGACATGACCAGCAAGACACATGACCAGCATGACACATGACCAGCATGACACATGACCAGCCACATCACTCCCCTCCCCCACTCACCCGATGGTAAAGAAATAGGGTCTTCCTCAAACGTGTCTTCTGATATTAAGCGTTCGACACCCTTGTTCTGAGTATGAGGCAGTTGTTGAGAGACACTACTGTCAGGATCACTAGACACAGTGTTATCTAAGTCTCTATCACTAGATACTGAGTTATCACGGGAACCTGTCTTTCTCCTCAGTTGGACTGGCGGTTCCTCGGCGGAATCGGGGGTTTGTGACTCGGGGGCGGATGATTTTTCTGACGAGCAAACAGCAACAAATGTACAAGCAAAATAAACAAAATGAAGACTGATTTGAACTAAACAAACAGCTCCCATACAACAAGTTTATAGTAAAAACAAAATAACGGATGGTTGGTAAGAATTATACAGTACAAGAAAGGTATTAGTAAGTAAAGAAGGTAGGAAGAGGTAAGGGATAAAAGGGAGAAGAATTCAGGGATGGTTATGGAAATGAGTAAATGAACGACAAATGTGATGACAAAGAGAAGTGAGAATTTAGAAAAAAATCTGCTGTTTGCAATTATCAACAACTACATGAAGACATTGTGCATCATAATGGCACAGCCTAATCTAAGAGAATAAATATTTCTTAAAACGTGACGGTTTTGTAGTTGTTCTTGCATGTAAGTGAGCAATCAGTTGGAAGCAATGTCAATTTTTGTAATTTCGCAATGAAGGGCAATGTGTTCCCGAAATAAAACCTACATGTGGATCCCATGACCATTCAGTCAAATCATCAAAGGTTTTATTATGGACATAAGCCAAGATTTGAGGATCAAAATGCAGAAGTGGTAATTGTGATTGGTACTTGAAATAGCAGCAGTTATGAACAGGCTCTGACTTGAGGTAGAACTTCATGACAGATCATCCAGGCATGGGTGCCAAATGTAAAATTTGTTCCCAGTGATATCGATTGGGAGGGCAGATCAATGGTCGCAATGTGTGAATGACATGATTCAGAAGACCTGACCAAGATTGCAGTACATTAAACAGACTTTATATGGTGTAATTACTATTGTTTGAGATGTATATAGGCCATAACCAAACGCCAATAAAAAGTGGCTGCTTCGTGGACATAAACCCCATGACAAGGTGTGCCCATCAACACCAGTCAACACATGTTTATGCAATACTCATTAAACTTTTGACACTTGCTACACAGTACCCAAACTGCAACAAACTATTACATAAGGAACTGCCCCATGCTCTGAGTGTAACTTGCTACCAACCAATCATATGTGATTTCTCTGTCATGTGACCTCAGTGGAGTAAAACAAGCCAATCAATGACAGAGGTCAGCTTGTAAGTGAGATGTCCAATATGAACTAGAGTGACCACAACATGCCTGTGTCTGGACATACAGTGTACAGTGTCTGGAGTAGAAATTCAGCCTGTAGACCTTTTATGACGTGTAAGGACATATTTCAAAAACAGTCCCTTTTCAGTGTTTCTGTGTATCCAATGACAGATTTCTAGAAATCAATGATCAACTGCAGTTCAAAATTTAGTTTATAGGAAATGGCAATGTTGACGTTAGGAAATCCTTTTTTGTTGATAATCACTCTTCTCAGGGATCTTTAAGGGTTCAGAGTGCGACAACAATACTAAGACTAATAGTACTTTGTAACAGTTTTTATATAGTTTTTAAACATAATTGTTTATGATAGTTCGCATCTAGGGAAAATAGAAACAAAAATGGCTGTCAGGTATATATATTTTCTTTAATGTTCCACAAGACAATCATTGAAGCAAAACATTCCACATGACCAGATACAGCTGTTCAAATCTTAGTATTCGTCTTTCATATAATATGATCCTTCAGCTGTCATTAATACATATCATATCATATCTTGGACAATCTGGAATGTCTGAACCTGGTGGAGACATCGAAATGGCCCTGTTCGATAAATCACTGATCATAACATGTTTAGGTCACTTGAAGTGAACAGGATTGGGGACAAGTTCTTCCAGCTTAGATTGCCCTCTCACAACATCCATGACTAGTTAGCACATATAAATCCCATAACTTCATATCAAGTCAACTATTGTAAACTCAAGTGGTAACATCGGTGCACAGTTTTATTCTATCTTCTTGCCGATTTAGAGATTTTGTCTGAGATGATGGCTTTGCTATATGATACTGCGATGTTGTTATGCTGAATGTAAATAATAATGTAACTGTAGTTATGGAAGATAATCCAGTAATTAAACACTTACAGAACATTAATTACCTTTAATGCCAATTATACAATGTAAGCTATTTCTCATGTCACTATCAATACATTGCTATTTGTATATGTATCATGTTTGGGAGAGGCACTCAGATAAGCAAAATGTGCTTGTTTGCCAATCCCTCCACTTTATGGAAATAAATATGTTTATATCAAGTGGTAACATTCAGTTACCAATTTGGATCCACCCACTTGAGCTATGCAACTAATACATGAATCACTGAAACACTAATGCATTCCTATTTTGTTTCATATCAATGATGTCTGTATGCATCTCGTTTCTGGAAACCATATTAATTTAAAAGATATGTCCCTATGGCAGTATTAACAGGCTTCATCAGATTCACTTAATTACTTCATACTTCTTAAATTAATATAAACAATATGTACTAATAGATGAACAGAAACTGCTGGTTCATTATTCTTTCAACAACAATAGAGAGTGTCGTTTCTTTTCTTTAAAGACAATAACAGAATTGTTTTTTTAACTATCATCACATGAACAGAAAATTGTTTTTTTTATCTATCAACACATGAACAGATTTTTGTTTTCTATAAACGGAATGTGAGTTATTATGCAGCTTGCACCTCATATAGGAAGAGTTCATAACAAAAGAATTGTTCAAACTACCCAGTGGCTGTGATTCCAATCCGGACTAGTGAGCAATGGACTAATCAACTCCACTAAGTAATCAGCAGGGGACTGACACCATAAGCCTAATTGTACGCCTTGCCTGAGCATTAATTGTTTATAGGGCCTATACCACAGCTTGGAAAACCACGGATACCAAACCCCCTGGGATTATTTCCCAGTTTATTACAAACCTCTGAGGGTGAAGGCATTCATCAGTACCAAACCTCACAAAGGATCATAAGGCCACGCTTTCTGAATTTTATGTTTCACAGATTTATTTCAGCTTTTCTACACAAGGTTGGTCGAAACAAAAATAAAAACAAATAGCTTTGTCAATTATTTATTTATTGATAGAAAGTAATTCTGCTGTGGAGGTAAAACTGCAACTGGTTTCTTGAATCACTGACAGTGATGAAGACATAGAATTAATTTATAACATGTTTAATTGTATAAGAGAGTCTCCATTACTAGAGGGAGACATACAAAAAGTAATTATTTTTATGTTTAAATTATTTTTGGACCGGCCGCTTTTCAGTAGGGGTGGCGGGCCCGTGAAACGGAAAATAACCAATGTGTGGCCTTATGTGATATATTTGACCAATGATGTATAAGAGTTTACTTCTAAACTGGAACCCTTTTAAAGTTTGTTGGACTTAGCTTATGTAAACTCCCTATCTATGACAAAATTCCACTTTCTAATTATCAACAAAGCATATACAACTCACAAAAACAATATCTACAATACATATCTAAAATACCCCAAAGTTTAAACAGTCTGCTTAACTTAAATCACTAAAACATTATAATACACCTATCTGAATTGATGTAATAGAGGAGTTTTGAACAAGGAAGCAATTGGACACATAAACCAATCATTTTTAAAGGGAAAATCCAACATACAGCTACAAGTTCCTCTTCTGAACTTATCAAAGTGTATTCCCTTTGGAAAGAGGATATGTATTTCACTGATAACAGGACCCCCAAAGCCAAATTGGCTTTAATATTTAGTTTTACAGCATATAATATAATATAATATTTAGATTTTGACTGTATTTGAAGGTAGTGCCACGAATATTAGCTAAAGATAAATGTTCCCAGGTTTGAATTTGATTGGACTCCAACAATTGTGAAGACAACTCACTCAACACACACTTTTCCAGATGCTCTGAACATAATCTCAAGTATCTACCCCAAGATATCATGTGATATAGCAACTAGTTGCCATCCATACAAAACTGTTATGATCACCAACTTTAATATCATATTCAAGAACAGGGGTTCCTATGAGTCTGAACACCCTGTGGCAGTCAAATTTGGCCCAAATTGTGTACTGTTTTAAAGAATTTCCTTCAAGTCTAGAATATTTTAATATTGTTTGCAATGCAAAATGAAAACGCATTGAAGCCTTTTTCTCTTTATTGGTTTAAACATATTTAAATACTTATAACCTTAAATTGGATTTGTTTAATTCCAATTTGGAGTTTTACGGACATCAGTTGTAGACAAGGCTTAAAATCAGCCTCAGAGAACACCAATAAACCCCATCAAGGACTTGATAACAAAAACCATAATGGCCCCTACTGACAAGGCAGATTTACCAGGGACATGTGACAGAATCTCCAGCTGAGTTCACAGTGGCTGTAGCTCACACAGACATCAGTGGTCATGTGTCCTATCATTCGGCCCAAGCTGGGTATACTCTCAATCAATACTTATATGATTAGCAGGAAGTGGTAATTTATTAGTATCCTGTCATCAGGTCATGTTAAAGATTCCTAACACTCTGACAGTAACACAATCAATACAAAAAGGCTTCCCTAAAATCTCGTCTTAACTTCACAAAACCACGGGAACACAGAGGTTTTTGTTTAAAATCTATTCAATATATCTTTTACAAAGTCCAATAAAATTCAAACATAGAGTGCCAGTATTATGATCATGATGATACTGTGTCAGTATTATGATCGTGATGATACTGTGTCAGTATTATGATCATGATGACACTGTGTCAGTATTATCATCATGATGATACTGTGTCAGTATTACGATCATGATGCTACTGTGTCAGTATTACGATCATGATGATACTGTGTCAGTATTACGATCATGATGATACTGTGTCAGTATCATGATCATGATGATACTGTGTCAGTATGATGATACTGTGTCAGTATTATGATCATGATGATACTGTCAGTATTATGATCATGATGATACTGTGTCAGTATGATGATGATACCCACTTGAAATGAAAGCTGTCATGAGAACATCATAATCCATTTTTCTACAAATCCAAGACAATTTGTCCGAGTGATCTACTTCTAATGTATTTCTTACTAATGATTCAGACCTCCAAATTTCTTGATTACATCACTTGTAATTCGCCTTACTGAAATAAGTCTTACACAATAGAATGATTCCATCCTCAAAGACGCTTTTCTATTTCAGTCAGTTTTAAGATCACAGTATGTTGCCTGTCTAACAAAAGTAACATGCTTAATACCCTGATTGCCAATAGTTATTTAATTAACAAAGCAATTAAAAGAACTCAAATACATAGACTCATTACTAGACACTTGACTTGCCTTGGGTCATTAATCACACCACCACAATAGAACTAATGAGGATCACATCTTTGTTAAATGTCTATTAAAACATCATTAACTGGAACGGTGCTTTCACAGTACTCATCCCACATCAACTTATGAATGAGAACTTGGTACTTATAATGTCAGGCCTGGGGCAGTTCCACTAAAACCCTTTGTACTCGTAGTCCCCTCACACAGGGGATCACAGTATGCGGAACACAAAGAACAACTTAAGTAATCAAAGCTGCATCAAGATGACGTTTCAATTCCAAGCCATCTACCCATGTACTATCTCTCAATGAGGTCCTCATTTGTCAAAGCACTGTTCCTCTTACTAAGTATCAAAGACTGTCAAGACTTACGTCTTATTCAGTGATTAATGTGTCTTTTGATCTAAGTTTAGGAAGTACTGAGAATCTAATCCTTACAAACCATTGATCATGCAGGGTTCACAGAAGGAATTTTCTGACATGCGCCCTTTATGTGAAAATTTCAAATATTCCAGAGGTACACACACATTTGTCCATACAGTACAATGTTAAAATGCCCCATTGTATTGGATAATGTGGGCCTTTTTTCAAATTTAGGGGCAAAAAGCCCCACCCTATAATTATGCCTGATCATGTGTTGTAAATCATAATGACGTAAGGTAATGGTTTCAATGCATAAATGTATGCATGATTTATTTTTATGTTTGAATTATTTCATATCATATGTATGACATGGTTCAATGAAACAATATGACAGTGACAAAGAAATGGCAATAAAGGACATGCCAGTGATGTTACAACATGGACAGAATGATGATGCTGCTGCTGTTGATGCTGACTTCCGACAACTTATTATAGTTTATAAACACAGCACAGGAAATACTTATTTTTAAAAAACGACTAGATATCACAATACAATGAGTAATGAAAAGAAAACAAGAAAGATCCTAGATGGGCAAAGGTCTATTTGATGGCTGAAGGGAGATTCTGGAGAAGAGAGGAGTCTAGGAATATGGAAAAGCAAGCACTGGTGACCAGGGAGGATGAGTGAAAGAAGAAGTGGATGAACAAAGGAGAAAGATGAGTGGAGAGAGAAGTTCAATGACAATGATAACCATGTTCACACAATATACAACAATTTTTATTGAAATGAATCTTTAAAAAAAAGATAATTGACAACATGCATCCCAAATGGGACATTTACCAGCAGATAGAATCCTTTTCATTTCTGAAGTACATTTAGTTTACCATCATTCAAATGATATGGTGATGATATGGGACTCTATCTGCTGACAAATATACACAAGAAGATGGAGACACAACACTGCAGAATCCCCCCAAAAGCAGTGCCAAGGGTCGGAGTCAAAACAAATTAGCACTATAAATGGCTGAACAAACCAAAAGGAACTGTTCAGTTGTCAAAGTCAAATGCCATTTTCATATAGTTCAAACAAATCGAGAATGGACAAACCAAATTCGTGATGCATTTTGTCACTCACTGGACAGAAATCTCAGCCCACTCAATGTCTTTTATCAAGTAAACCCTACTAATGATAAGTCATTATGTAGACTAAAATCAACCAAAAAGAAACCAAACCAGCAGCCTGGGCCGGTAAATATGGCACAAACTTATCATGAATGGTGTATTTATGTAAATGCATCTGACTTTGACATATAACCACAACTTAACCAGGAGTCACAACACATATCTCTTGCTTCCAAATAAAAATATGACAGCTGAAAATAAATCAGATCACAGGAACACAAAGGAAATGTGTTGTGGCTTCATAAAAGCACTACAAAGGAACATTAACCAAACGTGGAGAATACCTCCAGCTGCTCAACACTCAAAGCAAACACTGAGGGTGCACAATTCCACACAGGAGTATGCTGCCATGTGCTTTCACTACATGCATGCTTCACTCGATTAATCCGCTTGACTGGTTTATAGCTTGTACCAAAACGCTTGGGACGTTTAGCGGTACCAAATTTGGAACGTGTAGGGGTCTTGTCTTTAGAATAACTAGGCGACCCTTTAGCCGATTTGGGGGTTACCAGTTTGTTATATGTGCTTGTGAATTTGGGCGAGTTTGGTGTACCAAGTTTGTTAACCGTACTTGTGATTTGAGCTGATTTGGGGGTGCAATGACTGGTAACTGGACTTGTGAATAAGGTGGAGATTGGTGTACCAAGTTTGTTAACTGTACATGAGATTTGGGCTGATTTGGGGGTGCAGGTAACTGGACTTGTGAATAAGGTGGAGTTTGGTGTACCAAGTTTGTTAACTGTACATGGGATTTTGGCTGATTTGGGGGTGCAGGTAACTGGACTTGTGAATATGGCTGAATTTGGTGTACCAAATCTTTTTACTAAGCTTATGAATTTGGCTGAGTTTGGTGTACACACTCTACGTATCCCATGCTTTGGGGTACCGAGTTGCGGGCTATGGTTGGCGTATAGTGGAGTAACATGATTCCTACTTGTTCCTGTTGTGGTGCTTCTTTCGGTCACATTGATGTTGTCAGTCAGCTGTTCCTTGTCGTGGGTCATCTTGCCCCGGCCAGGTTCTGGGGACTCTAGGTCACTCAGTTCACTCTTGATGCTGACATTAGAGTCACGGCCACTCTGTGGTGACATCAGGTCAAAGCTCATGGGAGAACTGTCTGACTTTATGGGAGTCTCTCCGGATCCCTGCACGAACATACTCACGGGACGCAGAGATGGAAGCTGGAACCCACCCCTGAAAGAAATCCACGGTGGTCATGAGTTTGAGCATCACTAAATGGAATTTCTATGCAAGATGTTTGCAAATCATCTTAAGTAGTACAGCACTATTCCACCTAGCCTTGGTTGACAAGCAGTTGCAAGCAATAATACTAGCTTTAGTTTTGTTTCTTTGTTGTTTAACGCCACACTCTGCAATATTCCAGCTATATGACAGCGGTCTGTAAATAATCGAGTCTGGATCAGACAATCCAGTGACTCATGAGCATCGATCCATCCAATTGGGATACAATGACATGCATCAACCAAGCCAGTGTGCCCACCCGCCCGACCCTGTTAGTCGCCTCTTACGACAAACATAGTCGCCTTTTACAACAAGCATGGGTTGCTGAAGACCCATTCTACCCCAACCAACCATGTGCTTTTGAGGTATGCCAATCAGCCATGCCACACAAACAAATGTAAACATCTGACCCTTAACAGTTAGCTATCTGTCAGCATAGAGTATCTGGTAAGGGTAAGAAAGTAACAACACATGCATTTTGTTTCCACAATCTGGTCTGAACTTACTTAATTCTGGGGCTGTTTCCAGTCAGCTCAGACAATTTATCAGTTCCCATCAGGATCTTGGTTCTCTCCATGTAGTCCATGTGAGTCTTGAACAACTGTGAATATAGATATCCCTTTAGTGACACAGAAAATATATGAAATCAAAACAACAATGTTATTTTCACTTAACTACAAAAAGAATTTCAGCAGCACACTTAACATGTATAAGTGTTCTACTTGCATGCCAATCACATGTCAGAAAAGCAATTGAGATGATGTAATTAATGATTCCTACCTCGGTGTAACGTTCATGGAGTTTGTTGTACTCTTTCTTCATTTCTGATTCTTTTTCTTCCAATCTTGACACTAAAAAGCAATGAATAAGTAGATGAATATATATTCTGACTAACTGATTCCACAATTACAGTATCAGAGTATGAGCTCATGTGTAGACTCAAATCTAAACATGTATTCTGGAAAGCAAGTCATATAATATGAAATATTATCTTTGTCAATTATATTGAGTTTTTATAAAGATTTCTGGAGGTAATATTTACTGTATGTTTTGTTTTCTTAGATTACTGAAATTGGAATGTGTCATCTTAAAATGACAAGTGGCAAAGTCTTGATGCTGCATATCTTGCATTGAAACCTTCAAAATTATGGTTTAAGGTTTGCCCCAATATTATATGAATGTCCCTAACCCATTAATCTAAATATTCAACATTTGATTATGACAAGGAGTCCATGATGCTTATTACGATTAATCTGAAACACTGATGTCACACAGTTAATGCACTGTACATGTACTACTATTTTTCAAATGCACATCAAAACATCCAGCTATGCAAACCTTTATTGACATACAACAGTGTAACCATAGCTCATATTTGCAACAAAAATCAACAGATTACTGAGATTAATACTCACCATGATCTGCTGAGTTCTTAGACTTGAGTTCCAACATGCGGACAATGGACTCGAGGCTTTCCACTTTATCCTGGAGATCTTTCTTTTCTCCCTCCACAGCATCTTCCATCTCCAGATATTTCTGGAAAGGCACAAATATTGCAATAAGATCATGTCAACAATCAGTGCCAGACACATGTGAGTGACCCATAAAAATCCAGAAGACATTTACTAGACTCTGACTTGGGACATTTTGGCTAAACATGCTAAAAGTTGCAGAATGTCATCTAATTTTTTCACACGGGTGAAGGGGGACTAGACTTTGGCACTATTGCATCATGTATATATCTGCTGCAGTTAATGATTCTTTTTTAGTCAGTGTCTCACTTTCAGATTTGATAGTAGTAATAAGGTCTTGACCTATTAAAACTAGAAATGGGTTGCACTGTGAGCAAGTATTGTTTTATGCCACTTTTAGCAATATTCCTGCCATATCACAGCCAGGGACACCAGAAATGCACTTCACACATTGTACCCATGTCAGGAATCGAAACAGGGTTTTCGGCAATGCGAGCATACATTATGACCACTGGGCTACCCCCTGGCCCGGGTTGCAGAGTGACACAAAGAAGTGTTTGAAAATAACATACGCCTGTAGTCTGAGACTAGTCACATTCATGAAGAACCAGTGACATTTCCCTGTTGACAAGTTGGAGTTGAGTATCACTTTCACCATTCGAGAGATAGCAACACTGTGTAACTTTCTTTTATAAGATCATTTTTGCAGGCCTGCAGACTTCTAAACTTGCATTGTCGCTCTTTAACCATGATTACCACTGATTGCAAGGGTGATATAGATATGGCATTACATCTTCCTCGCGCCTAAGTAAAGGATAAGGAGGTTTGACAAGGTGAGCTGAACTCTGACATCACATCAAATGTAAACAAAAACTTGACCTTTAAACTGTACATTCACACTGCAGTGACTATCACTGTGAAACAGGTATAAACATATGTCATTATTACATGTGTCTTACAAACAAACATGGTATATTCATGTATGTTAATCAGGGTCATAGAAACTGGATGTCATTGAATGGAACGTACATGACACTTACTGTCATTGACATTTTACCTGTCGACCCATTAGCGATATAGCAACTGGAATTGTCAGTGTTTCTCCTTACTTCCTTGACCAAAAACAAAGGCATATTGACAAACTTATTAAACGTACTGGCAAACAAAGGATTGATTTAAATATCTCACCTGTTCTGAGGCTTTACGCAGCTGTTTTTCTCTTTCATATTGGGTCAGTAGCTGTTCATTATCGTCTCTTAATAGCTCACATTCAACATCACCCTCTTGTTTTTCGGAATAGGCGTTATCCAAAGCCTCCAGAATACCAACGATAAGTGGCATAAGTCCCTTTACCACATCTTCGTCGTACTTTTTCATCATACGTTCAAACTCCTTATAAATAGTCGCTGCAAGAGACGACACTTTCTCAGACATGACATGTCCTTCTTCAACCGTTCCGTACACCGTTTCAGCCATTTTGACGAATGATCAGATGATAAGACTGGGTCAAATGGAAAGATCAACAACGTTCCTATCAAAAAGATTGGGTTAGTCTACACCCCACGAGGGCCTGTGCAAAATAAAGGGTTGTCTCTTCATCCCCTCATAATTATTGACGTACACCATCCTCCATATTGCAGAAGCAAAATTTGTCGGTCATGTGACCGCGCATGCGCAGACGATCGTCGACGTATTAAGAACTATTATCTTTACAACTATTGTGTCTCTATCAATGTTAATGAGCCTTTGCAAATGCGCCAAGAAAACTATGCAAAGTGTGATATACGATTTATTTTCACAAGGTTTGTGTTTCTTCTGCATATATTTCCACCCCCATATTGCTGAATGGTATATGTCACGCGAAGATGTTTTTTTTTTATTTTTAAAAACAAGACCATGCGTAAAACACATCGACGAACTGACCATAGAACAATACAGTTCAAGTTTAATTGTACATAATAAAGTACCACCTGGAGAGTGATCAACCCCTTGGGCTCTTTCTACCACCATTCAGACGTCTGATCTCCCCTCGGGCTCAAATACATCCACATTATAAGCAACAAGTTAACGTGTTGTTGTCAACATTTTCTCATAGGCATCCGTTTATTAACGACACTATTCCTTCATATGCATTGAACGTTAATCACGGGCTCAAATGTTTGCTTTTAAGATGAAGAAAAAACATATACCTCTTTCGTTATTTCTGCAAATTTGTACTTCCATTGTAACAGGTAGTGATATAGTTATGAATAAATACATATTTGGAAAATAAGTAATGGATCATCTTTCAGTGATTAATATTTATCTGAGTCAGATAACGTTTCCCATAATCGTGTCACTTGGCATTTGTATATATTAGTTTTATACATATTTGTAAAAGGAAAATGTCGCGGTCAAAACTAGTTGAAGAAACATGTAATCATGAAAATGTCAAGTGTTGATGATGTTGTGAATAGTAACAGATATTTCTGACTTTGTATCGAGCTGAACTATTGTTCATATGTCTGTGTACGGGTATGGTAAGTGCAATTCATGATCACATGTATGTTAAATAATAACAGCATCCTCAAAACCAACATAAACGATAACCGTTACGATTTTGACAGAATAATTATTACATACAGAATGAAAGAAAAAACGACTCTTTTATCTAAATATGTAACCTTTGTGTTCGAATATATATGTTTGCTGCGTGAATCAAAATCGATTTTATGATAATAAATTTAACTAAAGGCACATTTCTTTCTATGTTATAAAATCAAGTTGCAAATATTTATGATAAAGATCGTCCCAGTGTTATGAGACCGAGTCAGCCGTGTGCAGGACAAGAGTGATATCATAACATCATAACGGATCCATATGGCTACAGATACACGCAGGCAAACAGGATGTGATTACTTATGCGATGTTGCAGATAATGTTGTAGTAGTCGTGGCAAAGTGTAGTTGTGACACCAAACGTTATATAGACTTTGCGAATGTGTATGTATGCTCAAGTTTTTAAAAATCAAAGTAAGATGAGACTTTCTACTGATGCAGAATTTCAAATAATATTACGTCCCCGACGATGTGTCAAGTTGTTTTTCTACAACCGTAAGTATACCTTTCAAAATGCATTTAGCAATTTCTGACAGCAAATAAATATTAATAATTTATTTGTTAATTCCCCCCCGTAAAATCGGAATATGGGTCGATTTAAAAGTTGTCAATTTGTATTGTTTCGAAAGCTGAAACATATCTCCTCTTTGAATATTTTAATTTATCATCAAGTGGTTTCTTAAGATGTATCAGCTTTGCTAAGACAAGACAATGTTGGATTAGAAAAAAATGAGATTCGGAAGAGCAATTACTTGATCTGTCGTGGTACACACCTAAATAAATGTTAATGGAGATATGAGAGGTGTTTTTTCTGCACATATGGACTCTGCTAACAGAACTATTCAACACATACGCTGGTATGAAACACCTGTGTGCGCTAGCTATTGTGCTTAGTTCAAAAGATGCAGGGTATTGTATTTCTATATGCTTAAACTGAATATATTGTTTAGAATGAGAAATAAAACCCATGTTTGTCACACCCAAACACAGTCTTTACAAGAAAACGCTTTTGATTTCACTTTGAAAAGCCGCATCTGTTTTCTACAGTTTCGCATCTATAAGATGCGAAACTGTAGAAATGTTATAATGAGGTTAAACATATTTCCATTTAATTGTATATTTTGGTCAACTAAATCAAATATACATGTCAGATTGTATGTACTCTACACCTCAAAAAATTGTTATTGTTCGATCCTGTTTATGAAATACAACACAGAATATTAGTGAACATTAGTTAAACATTGGAATAAAGAAGAGAAAAACTTTCGATTCTAAGTATTATTAAAATTGTATTCTTGAAAACACTTTCTTTTACAAGGAAACAAAATGAAACGTCCTTTTTACTTCCTTTAATAACTATGAATACTTCTTATGTTTTGACTACCATTTGCCATAATGTCACTTCTTTTGTTTCCTTATAAAGTAAAATATAAATATGTATTTATTGCCTTCAGGTTGTCAGCGTGTCACGGGGAGAGACAGCTCAAACAGTTTCACCTTCCCGTCTCCTTGGGCACGGTACGTAGTCTAGATGAACAAGTTAATGAAAGCGCACTAATTAAGCACTTTAATTAACAGGTCAATGGGTTGAAGACCGTCGTCTATCACCTATCGATCTGCCAATTAAGAAGGATATTGGTTTCTGCAGCTACTAATCCCTATCAAGCGTTATATGCACACATACATCAAGAAGTGTAGCTATTGTAAATAAGTTGTTATCCATAATACTACTCATTGTCATGTGTACCAACAAGAAGCTCTGTCTTTTCAAATAATCATGACATACATGCCATTAGACTCTCAAGTGAAATATGTTTTTATTGGCCGTGTTTACAAAAATTATGTTTTTGTTTGAAAGGCGGCTCTTGTGTCAACATGTGCAATACATTTTGGGAGTTTTGTTTAAAATTGAAATTCACGACATTACCCTACCATAACTGCTTGTGATTCAAAGTATAAAATTCGTTATATATCAAGCACATACCATTTTATTGATTCGTTTTTCTGTTTGTATGCAAGTAAAAGTTTCCTTGATCACTACTTGCTAAACATGAACAGACCTATTCAAAGATTGATTAAATAATTAGTGAGTACGAAAGTATCACATTTTCCAATATTTATTATAAGATGGCGGCGTCCAGTTTGTGTCACAGGATCTGCAGTGTGCGAAGGCTGTTAGCAAGAGCGCACACGCATTTGTCAAGGGATGGCAACACATCTATGCGTTATTACAGCCATCTTGTGAAAGGCAAAAGTGTCAAAATAGGATGCGCCAGTGGATTTTGGGGAGATACGGCAGTAGCCGGTATGACAGACGACAGACCAAAGTTCAGAATACCAACAACAATATACCCGAAAACATTAATAAATGATCTTAGTCGATCCCATGTCACTTGGTCTTGAATGAAATTAATTTTCATATGAAAAGATCCAAATAATCAAATATGATTAAATGTTATTATAAATAAAGCATAATATGCCGACAAATGTCAGGTGACAGGCTATAAATCAATTAGAGTTATCTCCCTTTGAGCTGGGTGTTATTTAGAATTTTTTTCAAAATATAAGGCAACACTTTTTGGTATATTTTTCAGTCCAAGGATTCAACTAGAGGCATAAGCCACAATCAGAAAATAAAATATTTTGAAATATTTTTATTCACTCCATCTGAAACATCAACTTCAAAGTCATACAAACTAGTTTTAGATGCTACAAATTGTAATTAATCAAATGCTTTGTCGTCTCTGGACACTGCAAACCTCCTATTTAGAGAAAAAAGTCTTCTTGTAAGTTAATGCATATATATGTTACTGTTTTATCTCATCCAAGTGATCTGAACAACTTTGTGCCAAATATAAATATATATTTAGCTGCTAAACTTTATTTTGGTTTAATACATATTTAAAAGTGTTTGTAGTGTCAAATGTCTACTAGATATGACTAGATTTGAATTTTATCTCATATATGTAAAACATATACATGCTATCCATACAGTTGATTACTATGTATCAAGTTTGTTATAGCACAAGCTGGGCATTCGTGGAATTTTATGCTTGTAATGAATTGGTCGTGGCTGGGTGTTTGTGTAGTGTAGTTACCAGGAGAGCTTCAGCCACTGCAGTAATTGTTATTCTCTACATACAGCGCCCCAACTTATCTATGGATCGAAGGTGGATTTCATCGTGTTTGACTACCTATCTGAAATCACAATGTCACTCCTCACAGCAGCAAGGAGGAAGGCACCGGTACGTGAAATCAGGATTCAAACGTCAAATAAGACCGCTAGTCCAAGAGTTGTAAAATTCAGGAAGGGATACAAACACAAGGGTTTTACGCGATTCACAAATGTGCATCCAGTACCAACATATGTTGAGAATGGAATCGGAAAAAAGGTTATACTGTGTCCCGAGGGACGCACAATAATATCCAATGTACCTATAGCGCATCTTGTGGGTGTCTGTCATTTCATCCATCAATCAGAACCACTGTCCACTGGATCATTAATTCATTCCAGGCTCTAAAGTAATTATCAAAACGTACAGTGCGCTGCACCATTTCTTTTTCTACAGGACCTCATGCTGCCATTATGTACCCTCATTCTTGTTATAGCTTGTCCCCAGGACCCCCACTTTTTAAGTCAAACCTTGCTAACACTTTTGTGGACTACCATTATTACTATAGGAGACAGCAATTATAAATAAGGTGGTTGTAAAGTTTTTGTCTCTTCACAGAATCTTGGCTACGCACCCGACTTTGTTCAAGTATCCATGGCACCTTTCATTAAAGACATTAAGAGAAAAGGTAAGATGAAAAAACTTTGGAGATTACCATTTCAAGCTTTGCAGTACATTATGCTCAAGAATGACATGATCAGTTGAATATGTGAGAGAAATGTTGAAAAAAATCAAATATCCCAGATATCATACAGATATGAATTTGTATTGGTTGTATTGTGAACTTGAAGAGAAGACCTAAGAGTGAGTGAGTTAAAATTTAATGTCGAATCAGCATAATTTCAGCCACATAGCGACGAGACCAAGTTAATATATTTATAATTTAACCTAAGAATATATATTGCACACCATGTTGTCTTTTCTGCTGCTATACTTTATCGGCATCCTTTATTTCTGTGATTACTGCTTTTACTTTATTGGTTGTCTTGTGGGGGCAACTAAATGATTGAATGGTCAGGCTGTGATTTGGTTGATTGTATTGCTCATAATATCAGTCACTGGTTTAGACTTGATTTTGAAGAGTTGTATAGCTTGAATATTGCTATGTGGCATTAAAAACAACAAGCACTCCTTAGGCAACACTTTTTTTTTGTAATGGTGTACATTTTTAGGTGTTATATATTATTTTTTAACTTTTTCTCCAGGCATTAAGATAATCAGCAATGCAGGGGGAGTTAACCCACATGGATGTGCTGCAGCATTACAGGAAGTGTGTAGCAAGGAAGACATCTCGCTCAACATCGCTGTCGTGGACGGGGACGATCTCATGTCACAGGTAATTTATCCACAGTATGATGAAGACTGTTGATATATGTCTCAGGCTCATCAGACAGTATTAGAAATAGGCACTAGTCTCGTAGTCCTTGCCAAACTGCCCAATAGTTGTGATATGGTATTATAAGGATGAGTAGAAATTTGCCATTTTGAAGGGTTTTGCTATATGTTATTATTGTAAGGACTAGTGGACTAAACATGTTAGTTTCTACCACTGTCAGATATGACAAATACATTATGGAGGATGTTAAAATATCAATATCAACTTTTGTCAATATACCCTAGCCCAGCAGATAATGAGATACTTTTGGTTCCATCTGAATCCAAATTTATACCATCAGTTGATTTCAGATATTCACTGTTGTGGAGAATTTCCCGATTTTTCTTTCAAATTTGTGATTTGGTGTAGACTTGGGGAAAACATTATACTCAGAGAATGCCGAGATAAATCCTTGCTTAGTAGATAAACTGAATGTTGTTACAGAGATAATGAGGTTGTTTATCCTGACAGGAAATTGTTTGAACAATTCGGTGATTTATTGTTACTCAATGGCTGCAAAGTGATCAGCTTATGAACACACACACATGTCAACCCTCGTCGACATTGATTGCTAATTGCAATGATAACATGTTAAGCAAGTATATTGGGATGTTTACTACGCATGTTGTTTCTAATGAAAAGGTTGGAATGACCTTAAGCAGAACTCTGTATAAGTAGATATGTTCGATTGCAGGGTTGACTTAACAATTATACACCATGTAGTATTTACAAACTCGTGAAATTTCAATTGGCTGCTAGCGTTCATTATGTCGTTTTGCCTGTCAATAACTTTTAAATTATCAACATCATTTGCAAAGATTAATTTCTTATAAATAATTAAATTCATTGGCAAAACATGGCCCAAAAATTAGTGCAGAATGCATTAAACAAAATTCAAACTAAGGGAAATAAGGGGGACTTCTCCCTAAACACTGAAAAATACAGGGACAGTATTCAAACACAGAAATATGCATGCAACAACCCCCAAACTAGAACTAAACAATAGTTCCATAAACTTCCAAAATGAAACTAAATTTCTGGCATTTATCTTTGATGAACACCTCACCTGGGATGCTCACATTAAAAACCTAATAAATAGATGACCTAGAGACCTAAACACATTACATGGCTTGACTGGCGCCAATTGGGGAGCCTCCAAAGATACCCTTGTATCATTATACAAATCACTCATTAGATCCAAAATAGGCTATGGATGTCAAATCTACAACACTCTAAACTCAAAATTAAACAATAAACTAAACTCCATCCAATAGCAAGCACTAAGGTTAATCACACACACATAACAGGGCACACTGCGTACAACACTGCAAGCTTTAACAGGTGAAATCCCTCTGGATCAATGCCGAGAACAACTTACAATAAATTTTTAGGCCTCCAAGGTTGATAACCCACCAATCCAAAGAATACTTAAAAATAACATAAGACCCAGACTCCAAGCGCCAGCTCGGAAAAAAACCCAACTATTAGTCCCCAACTCTCTGACTTGGATGATGCATATCATCGTATCCCAATTGCGTGGATCGATGCTTGTGATGTCAATCACTGGATTGTCTGGTCCAGACTCAATAATTTACAGACTGCCATTGTATAGCTGGAATATTGCTGAGTGTGGCATTAATCAATAAACAAACAAAAATAATGTGCTGAAATAAAAGAAATACTTGTGGTTTTACTTGAAACAGTTAATGCACAGCTAGACTTTTTATTGTCCAATTCATCACACACTCGCATCGGGTAAGCCCTGAATGTGAAGTAGAATAACTTTGACTCACAATGATGGCTTGCAGTATTATACGAACCTCACAAATATAAGGTTGATGGTATGTGTGGAAACTAGTTAAAAAATACTGTTTTGTCTCATTACACAAATATTCATCCCTAAGTATGAAGCAAATGTCAGTAAAAAATATCCAAACTGGAATTAACCATTTGCAAACCATGTTGTCATTTATATATGTTATATATAACTAATGTCATTGCTTTGCTGTGTTGACTTGCAATTCACTGATAACAGGACCCAAAACAACAAGACACTTTCATGTTTTGCATTAAATGAAATATTAATACCTGAATTTATAAAAATATGGAATTTTTAGAAAATTCCTATATTGAACAAAATTGTTTTTCCAAATTTGTTTGCCAAGGGGACATTGTTTAATCTGTGAAATGTTCTTTGTGATATATGTTATTGGGAATGTGATCAATTGTTACATACATTCTCATTTCTCTATGTTGAATGAATGTCAAATTATCAGCATCATATCATGCTATTTCAGCTACCAGAGTTACAGAAACTGGGAATCACGGAAATGGACTCTGGAATGGAACTGCCTAAGACTGTCCACAGTATGAATGCTTATCTAGGGTTAGTGTATTGTGGTTCTTAGCAGTGTCTTATCTGTAATGGAGAAATCTTGAGAATCTGGTCATTCTAATTCTTGAACAGACTTCTCTGACTTAAACCATGTTATTGTTGATATACAATTTCTCTATCATTATGCATAATGACCTATAATTGTGTCTATTATACTTGTAAAATGCATTCAGAATGCATTCAGAATGGCGGGGGGGGGGGGGGGAGATGGGATATATTGGTCGATGACATAGTAATCAGCTTGTCTGTCCACCCGTCCGTCTCTCTGCCTCTAATCATTTTTTGTCCAGACCATATCTCTAAAACTATTGGGTATTCTTTCATGAAACATTGCACACACAGAGATCAGGTTGTCAACTGGTTCCTTTTGCTATTTTGAGATTTTAAGATGTTATATTTTGTCTGTTTTCATGTTTGTATGAAGCTGCTATATAGAAGATTCACGTTTAATGTGAAAGGTTAGCTTCAGTGATTATTGATAACTACGGCTGGTAATGTAACAGGTTACAGCATCAGCCATGTATCAATTGTGTCACATCAACTGACTCCTACCTTTGCAGAACAGGACCTGACATACAAATACAAAGTTCCGTATCCCAATCCCATGCTATTGTTTGCTCCAAAAGTACTCTTGTATATGGACAGACAGAATAGATAGGAATACTCTCATCAAGTTGGACAGATCACTCTTGTCGGACTTGTAACCAGATGATTTGTTCTTTCGAATTTGTGGGGGCTGGGGGGATTTGTCATTTTCAAATGACTCTTGTTATATTTAATTAAGAAAATTACCAACTGTCTTATTATGGTTCATTTCAGAGACTAAGAGTTACTCTTCCCGAATCATACATTAATTGAATCTTTGCAAATCTGTTGAAGACATTGAGAGCTATATATATACATACAGTATATATAGTCTACTACAAGAGCTGCTGGCTGTGTCACATATGTGTTGAATCTTTGATGATTTTGTAAACACATTGATAATTGTTTTGTAAACACATACATTTTGGTAGACAACAGAAGTAACACCAACAAAATTCTAGTATTCCCGTTGAATACAGTGCTTTCTTTATTTGTAGAAGTGGCCCCATTGCTCGTGCACTTAACCTTGGAGCTGATGTGGTCATCACTGGCAGATGTACTGACAGTGCTTTGGTGCTAGGTCCTCTTGTACATACGGTATGACACTGCACACATTGTTAACATACCTATTACTTACAGCTGGCATGGATGGCCACATTGTGTAAGGTGCAACAGTTTGCTGTGCATAGTTGTCTCCCTTAGTTGAACCAGCATCCTGTGAACAAGGTTTGAATCCCAGATGTGCAATGATTGTATGACACTGCACACATTGTTAATATGCCTATTACTTACAGCTGGCATGGATGGCCACGTTGTGTAAGGTGCAACAGTTTGCTGTGCATAATTGTCTCCCTTAGTTGAACCAGCATCCTGTGAACAAGGTTTTAATCCCAGATGTGCAATGATGATGATTCTTGATTGATCAGCACCACACCTGTGTCTGTGGGTTTCATCAACATGATAAGCGTCTATGACCTACATCATTTTGGGTTTCTTCCCCCACCAGGCTGACATGCCCTGACATCACTGTCCAAAGAAGCCATGACCCCAACTCACTCACTGAAAGTGTTTACCTAAATACTTTCAGCTTTAAGAATGATGTTCTTGCATGTGTCTTTGTGCCGTGTGATTAGTATAAAGATAACATTCTGTTGATAAGTTAATGATTCTTTACTTCTTAAGGAGTAGAATGTCTGTTTCAGGATATGTAATTGTGGTATGTGTTAAGGTTACATACTACTGCTGGCTTCATTTCTCCAGGGATGAAACTCAGTGGGAAACATGAAGTGTGTTGATGCATGTGTTTCAGTTTGGCTGGAAAATGGACCAGTTTGATCTGCTGGCGAGTGGCAGGTAGGTTGGTGGATCTTAGTACAGCAGTAGAAGTTAACAATTTTAGTCCACTTGTCCTTATGATGATAACATCCCCCCGAAAAGGGCAAATTTTTACTAGTCCTTCTGATACCTTAACTATTTGGCAGTTTGGCAAGGACTATAGGACCAGTGCCAATTTCTAACGCTGTAAAAACAACAATTGTAAATCTGTGTTTGATATTTAGGGCTTTCCAGAGCCCTTGAGGTTTTCTGCTATAGTTATTTAAAATAGGAACCCCTTAAATGTTTAAGTTTTGACATTAGGGTTGTGACAAAGAAGATAAGAACCCCTGACATTCATGAATCTTGACCAATGTAACCACAGAACATATCTGTTGTTTCTGAAAGCAGAGTGATGAAGCACTTTAGTATTACTCTGGAAAGTGCTTGGCAGTAATGTCAATCTCTCATTAGTTCCTTGTCAATAGAGAAGTCATGTTTTTTATTCTGTATGGTCACTGACAGTGAAATGTTGCTTTACATCATGTCACAATTAGAGTGAGTGAAGGGTTTAATGCCACTTTTAACAGTACTCCAGTTATATCGCGGTGTGTCAGCTTAATGTGGGAGCAAAGCCTGAAGTGATGCAGGTCTCAGATGTTTACCACTTCTGTGAAACCCACGAGCACAGGTATGGTGCTGACAAACCCAGAAACATAATAGGAGCGAACCAGGATTCGAACCCACAATCATAGGTTTCTGGCGTGCCCAAGGGACGCAACTCTGCACAGCGAATCGCGGTGCCTTAGACGACTGGGCCACCCGTGCCCCCTGTCACAATTAGATATAATGAAGGGTGAATATATCAGCATTTATCTCTGACTCTATCGGATATGTCGGAAATTTCCAAGATTTGTGACCTATACTTCTCAAAAGAAGTTAAGGACCACCCGATTCATTCAGGCCATCAGAGATTAACTATAGTGATATGAAAGTATCCTTAAGCGGTCCTTAACTTCTTTTGAGTAGAATATTTACTCCCAAATGTGTAATCCATCATGGTAGTAGGTTCATCAATGCTCAGTGAAACATTGTCATGTCATCAGGACCATTAAGAATTGATTTCAATATTTTATGCGTTTATGGAGATATATAGATGTGAAAAACAGTGTGCATACTGTGTAAATCTGCATACACACATATATAAGTGTTTATACTGCTTATTCGCAAAGTGTTTATACTGCATATTCGCAAAGTGTTTATACTGCATATTCGCAAAGTGTTTATACTGCATATTTCGAAAGTGTTTATACTGCATATTCGCAAAGTGTTTACACTGCATATTCGCAAAGTGTTTATACTGCATATTCGCAAAGTGTTTATATTGCATATTCGCAAAGTGTTTACACTGCATATTCGCAAAGTGTTTACACTGCATATTCGCAAAGTGTTTATACTGCATATTCGCAAAGTGTTTACACTGCATATTCGCAAAGTGTTTATACTGCATATTCGCAAAGTGTTTATACTGCATATTCGCAAAGTGTTTACACTGCATATGCGCAAAGTGTTTACACTGCATATTCGCAAAGTGTTTATACTGCATATTCGCAAAGTGTTTAAACCCAGCCATTTTATGGCGGAAATATTGCTGAGTGTGGCGTTACACAACTAACAAGGTTTGTGTGTTCAGTCTTGCAGGCCACCTGATAGAGTGTGGTGCCCAGGTGACAGGCGGGGTCTTCACAGACTGGCACTCAGTACCCAACTGGTGAGGGAATTTACCTTGTACTACAACACTTTATGTTGTGAGGATTTGCTTGCACATGCAATTGAAATTTGAAAATGTCTTTTTCTCTTTGAAATATTTACGATTTGGTGATTGCGGGATTTCAGCCCAAATAAATCTCAAGTAATTGTCATCTTGGTCTGGTTCCTGCTTTTGGAATATTAATGTGTAAAACATTTATTTCATTCATGAATCCCATTGTCAGCTTGTGCTTTCGTTCAGCCAAACTGGTTTGTTTGAAAATGAACTGTTTTACTGTTTGGTTACGAAAAAGTGTCAATAAAAAGATTGTTGAGAAAACTAGTCAGTTTTCATGGTGTGTTCTTGTTTAAAACCCTTTATTTAGTAAACCTTGCACACCTAACTATTTTTTGTTTAGTCCAGAGCAATTTTAGTCTCCATGGCCCCGTTCCACAGTTTGTAGCTCAGGTGGTCGTAACTCCAACACAGGCTTACGATACTCATAGTGCTACGATCACTTTGTGGAACATGTCCCAGTACCTCAGTAACAGGTGAAGTCAACTGATGGTCCTGCTTGTCTTTGATAGTCTGGTGTAATAGTGGTTAGATGGGTGTGCCTCTTTATTCAGGTGTAGGGGCGGTCGGGTAGCCTAGTGGTTAAAGCGTTCGCTCGTCACGCCGAAGACCCGGGTTCGAATCCCGACATGGGTACAATGTGTGAAGCCCATTTCTGGTGTCCCCCGCCGTGATATTGCTGGAATATTGCTAAAAGCGGCGTAAAACCAAACTGACTCACTATTCAGGTGTATGCAGGCCATCGGCCCATATTACATTGTTACAGCAATTACAGCCGTTCGTCTGCAAGAGCGAAGACGACAAGCATGAAAGATAAACATTGCAATGTTTCTTATCATAACAGGATTGGTGATAGATATTAACAAGTTAAATTTAAAAAGGGATGGATATGTAAATTAGTTATCAGGAATATAAATTTTACATAGGTTATCATTAGCAGTACATATCAAAAGGAAATGGTATTCGTTTTCTATGTATCCACAGGAACACATTTCGCATAGTCTGAGTCTCTAGAGTTATTCGTATATCTACCCGTTTCTATATTCAGTTGGTGTGAGTTACACCTAAATTGAGCCAAAGCAATTCCAGAAGTGATGTCATGGATTGCTGCTCATGCTATCAGTCACTGGTTGCCTGATCAATCAGGAAGTTAGCATCATGTGTTTCCTATGTGCAGGAGTTATTGGTAGTCAGTGCCTGGAAATATCATTTGGAGCGGACAGTCAAAGCCAAGATTATGATGTTAAAATGTCCTCACATCAAATACTCCATACCAGCAATGGTCCGCAAATGTGAAAACACAAGCTGTTTTTAACTTTGTAAGATTCATGTTAGTGACCAGTAAGTTTCCAAAGCACTCTCTTTTCTTACTGAACTCTCACATCTTTGAGCGACAGACATGACATCACACCGGAATGCTGTGACATTATGATACAACTGATGGGAGTCACATGCTTCTGTGCTTCTTTCTGGTAGCAGAATGTGAAGGAAAAACAACTAAATCGTAGTTGTTCTAATAAACATACATATTCACACATCTAGTGAATGTGATATCCATTTTGCCAAGCTGAATTGCCATTTTTGTCAGATTTTGGATTGGTAAAGAAGCGATACCTATCCAGAAAAGTCTTTGAATGCAATGAAAAATGAAGATTTCTGTGTTTCGAATCCCATTTAACATCATTGTGGCACACTCCCATTTGTTTTACAATTACTGACTACAGTTTGTCTCCCAGTGCATGGAGCATTGTGAAACCAACTTCTGTGTCACTGTGTGTTTGAGGATGACAGTCCTATGTTCATGTTGCAGGGATGACATAGGATTCCCTGTTGTGGAATGTGGAGAAGATGGGGAATTTCTGGTCACAAAACCACCTAACACTGGAGGATTGGTCTCCAAGGCAACTGTTGCCGAGCAACTGCTGTATGAGATTGGCGACCCTGCCCACTACTTCCTCCCAGATGTTGTGTGTGACTTCAGTAATGTGACACTTGATGAAGTGGGAGAAAATGCCATCCATGTCAGTGGAGCAAGAGGAAACCCGCCGTCAGGGGAGTTCAAGGTGAGTCACAGGAGAGTTCAAGGTGTCACAGGGTAGCTCCAGGTGAGTCACAGGGGAGCTCCAGGTGAGTCACAGGGGAGCTCCAGGTGAGTCACAGGGGAGCTCCAGGTGAGTCACATGGGAGCTCCAGGTGAGTCACAGGGGAGCTCCAGGTGAGTCACATGGGAGCTCCAGGTGAGTCACAGGGGAGCTCCAGGTGAGTCACAGGGGAGCTCCAGATGATAGCTCAAGGTGAGTCATGGGGTAGCTCCAGGTGAGTCACAGGGGAGCTCCAGGTGAGTCAAATGGGAGCTCCAGGTGAGTCACAGGGGAGCTCCAGATGATAGCTCAAGGTGAGTCATGGGGTAGCTCCAGGTGAGTCACAGGGGAGCTCCAGGTGAGTCACAGGGGAGCTCCAGGTGAGTTACAGGGGAGCTCCAGATGATAGCTCAAGGTGAGTCATGGGGTAGCTCCAGGTGAGTCACAGGGGAGCTCCAGGTGAGTCAAATGGGAGCTCCAGGTGAGTCACAGGGGAGCTCCAGATGATAGCTCCAGGTGAGTCACAGGGGAGCTCCAGGTGAGTTGGGATGGGCTCATTGGACTGACCTGTGATCTGGCTGTCAGTGTATTGCAGTGGCAATAACAAGGACATAAAACCTCAGTTGCTCATATACTAGTTCAGGATTATTAAGTGGAAACTACATAGATGTGAACTGAAGGAACTGCGGGAGAAACTTGAGGATTATGATATAGGTAATATTTGTTCTTCTTTGAATAATCCGAAAACTAGAATTCCATCGTGTCTGCAGGTTAGTGCCACCTACATGGATGGGTACCGCTCGACCGCAGTAGTATTTGTTGGTGGCCCCAGAGCAGCAGAAAAGGTGGAGAAGACAGCTAATGCTGTACTCAAGAGGTGAATACACTTCTAGATACACTGTTAATAATATACATTTGTAAGTATCGCTTCTTAGTAATAGAATTTACAAACTTGTCTTGTCCTATCTATCAAAATATTTTACTCATTTAAAGTTACGGAAAATCTGAATATAGTTTACCAAATTAATGTTACTTAAAGTCTCATGTTAGTTAATTTTTGTTTGTTTGTCTTTTTTGTTTGTTTGTTGTTTTACGCTGCACTCAGCAATATTCCAGCTATATGACGGCGGTCTGTAAATAATCGAGTCTGGACAAGACAATCCAGTGATTGACATCATGAGCATCGAACCACGCAATTGTGATCGATGACATGCATCAACCAAGTCAGCTAGCCTCACCACCCAATCCCATTAGTCGCCTTTTATAAAAACATAGTCACCTTTTACAGCAAGCATGGGTTGCTGAAGACCTATTCTACCCCGGATCTTCACGGGCCTCATGTTAGTTAATAATTTTGGTTGTGAGCACCTGGTGTCATCACTGATTTTTATTCATCTATTCGTATAATTTTTACTGCTATTTTGCCTTTTATGTCTTAATGGAGTCTGTTTTGGCGGATAATCAAGATTGGTTATTCCCTGGTGTTGATGTTGTATATGTTCAGGTCATATATAACATGTGGATTTATAAATTACATGAACATGTATCCCAAGAGGGCACAAAACCCTGTTGTGTAGTTGTCAGTGTGTGTTGGAAGGTGTCAGAGGATCTTCAGTCAACTCCAGCTTCAGAACTTCTCCGACATCAACATGGAAGTGTTCAGCACCGATCACCTGTATGGCCCACAAGCTAAATCTTCCAAGGTACAATCAAACCTGGTTATCTCGAACTCTGTTATCTCGAGTATACCGATATCTCAAGCCTTTTCTCTGGTCCCAACCGCCTCACAATATAAATACATATGAATTTGCTTGCTTATCTTGAATTTGAGATAAAAGTACACACTGTCTTGAACCTTGGACTCGGTCCAAACTTCAACTTTACTGTAGAATTTGGTACCTTTACTTTAAAGTTGTCATTTGCCACATTAACAGTTTACAAAAGAGCAAGTATATCTTGTACCTTTCGCTACACATCTAACATGGCAGTAAAGGAACAGTCAAATTTAGACCAATTGTGCACCCAATTATTACTTATCTTTTAATCCAATTGTAATAGTAATCTTTGTTACCAAATAAAAGGGGGCACGGGTGGCCCAGTCGTCTAAGGCACCGCGATTCGCTGTGCAGAGTTGCGTCCCTTGCGCACACCAGAAACCTATGATTGTGGGTTCGAATCCCCGTTCGCCCAAATTATGTTTCTAGGTTTGTCAGCACCATACCCGTGCTCATGGGTTTCACAGAAGTGGAAAACGTCTAAGACCTGCATCACTTTGGGCTTTCCTCCCACATTAAGCTGACACGCCGCGATATAACTGGAATACTGTTAAAAGCGGCGTTAAACCGAACTCACTCACTCACTACCAAATAAAAAACATTGTGAGTAGACATGAGTAAAAACATGGCAGTACTTCCTGGTCACTTAAAAAAGTGCTAATCAAAGTCAGAATCAAAGCCCTGTGACACTCCTCAAACTTTCCAATCAGTGAATGAACAACCTTCAGTTGAGAGTGGCGCTTTGTTGTTTTCGTCAAGTGGACAGACTATAAATAGTTATTGCTGCTGTGCCTAAGGTACATGTACACTATACATAATTTGTCACAGTTATTATCAATCATTGCTGCAAAAATAAACATTACAATTTGACATCGCATTGTGATTTGTTTTTAATTTCTCATGTATGCAAAGTATTCTATGTATCTATAAAACTGTTACTTGACCATGTCCTGGATATTCATGTCTATTTATCTCAAATGTCTGGATATCTTGAAGTTATAAGACACTCCCGTTAGGTTTGAGATAAAAGGGTTTGACTGTAAATACTTCACTGAATAGACAATTTATGGTCAGTATGTACCCTTATCATATAGTTATTAGCCCATATAATGTTATTATTTACCGGATGCCATTATATCAGTAGACTATTGCTGACTGCTGAGATATATTTTGCTTTTAGTTCAGTTATAATTTTCATTATGCTTAAGTGTTATACACCATCTAGAAAGATAAGTATGGAACACACAATGCCATTTAGTAAGTGGTCAAATGTAACAAATGTTATATTACTCTGTGGAAGCCTTGGTGGCTGAGTGGGTTAGATCTCTGACTTTGTGTGCTGGCGATTAGATGCCTCACTCTGGCAGTGTGGGTTCGAATCCCGGATGGGACTCAACCAAAAAAAGTACTAGAATCTGTACTTTACTATGAAAATGTTATCCCAGATATAACATTTGTTACAAGATATCTATTGTTTTATGTCACAATCAGAATTGATGATGAGCAAAACTTCACTGATGAATACTTTATAAATAAATAAATGGACCATGATTCTCCTGTAGAATGTGCGAGAGGCAGTGATGTGGCTGGCAGTTCATCACTCACAGAGAAAGGCACTGGACTTTTTCACCAGGGAGGTGGCGCCTGCAGGAACAGGCATGGGTAAGTGAGAGTGATGATAGTTAAGGATGGAGATGGGTAGTGTGTGTGGGGACGGAGTTGTGGGAGATTGTACCTGTTAGTATGGGTGAAGGATAAGATGAGGAATAGATAATCTGTACATGATTTATATTACCTTAGCTATAGAGATTATCTGCAAATAGTTATTTTCTTACATTTGTATGATTTAACGTAAAAATGACCTTTTCAGCTCCAGGATTGTGCAATATTGCAGGAGGTCGACCGAAAGTGTAAGTGCCTACTTTTTCACAATTACATGACATTTAGATTACCCTTTATTGAGTAAAATGATAATAACATTACACATTGTTAGATATAATTATTATTTTCGCATTTCCGCAGAAAATAATCTGCTCCAGAGCTGCCATCGACCTGTAAATGAAAAAGTCGTAGTCCACTAGTTCCTGCTAAATTTACAAGTCTCAGAAATAATTTAGTTAATTTGGAAAGTTGTTGCCACAAATGCTGTAGTTAGAAATACTGAGTGTATACGGATTCCTTACAGATCACCAGTGCTCAAGCTGTTCTCGTTTCTCTATCCAAGAGACAACTTTAATGTAAGTGAATGGACATGACCACAGAAAGAGACCTACTGATCAAAGAAAGAAATTCCTTTATTTAACAACATACTCAGAGGTAACAATCTGCAGAATTTTCAGCCCTTTCCATCCCTGAGAAAGGAAATTTTTTTTTGAAGTGCCGTAGTTCATTTGTGCGCAGAAGATTGTGGGAATGTTTTTCTTTTGACCTTGAAAAAATTATATACATATATATACAATCTCATTAAAATCAGATCTTATTTTTCGCTACTGCTAAACAAAGATCTGAGGACATCCCATTACGGGTCACGTCAGAACGACCTTTCACGAACTTTGACTGATCAATGAAATGACTGACAAGAAATCAACATTAGCCAATCAGAAGGCAGAATCTCGAGCTTTACAATACTAGTTTCAAATTGGCAACTATGTTTTGAAACATATTTTGACGTATTCTCGATTAATTTTTGTAAACTGATCAAAAGATCATTCTGGAATGGCTACTAGAGGGCCAAGATTGTATGGATATAATCATAAAACCTGTAACTGTCGTTCGGAATACCCTCTGTTAAATATTTCGAGGTTGCATGATTAGTAATAACATTCCGATGTCACTTTTATGATCTGGTAAGCAACGCTCTGACTGATTGGATGAAAGGTCGTTCTGACATGACCCGTAATGGGATGTCCTCAGATCTTTGTTTAGCGGTAGCAAGAAGTGAGATCTGATTTTAATGAGATTGATATGTATACTACTTAAAAGAAGTTAAGAAAACACCTGATTCTTTCATATTACTATAGTTAATCTGTCATGCCATGACAGATGGATTGCACAGTTGGTGTATCGACCAAGCCTTCATTTTCATATGACCGTAGTTAATCTGTCATGGATGGTTGGTATTTCAAACACAGTCTTCCAATTGTGGGTGTTCTTTAACTTTAGTATATGTTATCAATATTCAGGCTAGTAAATGATTCAGGTTACGTTGCCTTTACCATATGATACAAGGCTTGCAATTAGCGGACTTGTGTATTGTCGTACTACAGATCAATATCAGCATGAACGGGGAACATGTGGAAGGCTATGTGGTCCCTACTGGGCCCACTGCTGAATACCTGAAACGAGCCTACCCACCTCATTCTGCGGATGAGCAAGAGATGCCGAAGCTACCCCAGGGAGAGTTCTCTTACAGGCTGGAAGACCTTGCCTACACCAGGAGTGGCGACAAGGGAAACAGTGCCAATATAGGTGCGTATACAGAACAGCATAGGCCTTGGCTTGGTTTGTTGTTTAACCCTGCCCTCAGCACTACCACTACAAGATGGCGGTTTGTAAATAATCAAGTCTCGACCAGACAGTCCAGTGATTGACATCATTAGCATTGATCTTCCCATTTGGGATATGATGACATGCATCAACCAAGTCAGCAAGCCTGACCACCCGATCCTGTTCGTTGCCGATCTTAAAAGACAGTCAAAAGTGGAAATTTTAGTGTTTTCTTTGGCTGAAAACAAATCACATGAACAACTGAAAAATTGTAAATGCAGAGATAAGAATTGTGGTACACTCATGAGGTACTTGGCTCATTGGTGTGTGCCAATTTCAAATTGAGGTCTAATGTAATTAGTGCCCTGCGTGAAACTGAGATTTTCTGAATAATTATGAAACTACAAGAATGATATACATCATAATTTTGCAAACAAAATTGTATTTAATGACTTGATAGGCTTTCTGGGCTACCATTTGGCCCATTTTGGTCCTCTTCTTGAATAGACGATGCTGTTTCAGGAGTGATCGCGCGCCATCCTTTGTTCCTGCCGTACATCAAACAAGCCCTGACAGCAGAGGCTGTGGAGCAGTACTTCTCTCACCTGTTCCCTGACAGGATAGGGCCAGTGTGTAGCCGAGTCAAGAGGTGAACCGACTGTGTGTGTGTGTGTGTGTGTGTGTGTGTGTGTGTGTGTGTGTGTGTGTGTGTGTGAGTGTGTGTGTATGAGTACATGTGCTGAAGTAAGGTTTAAAAAGTGACATGATTATGATTGAGTGATTGTGTTTTAGCAGTTTGAAATGTGATATTAACTGAAATATTTAAGCCTCATGTCTAGAATTGTCTCCCTTGGGACACCAAGCACCTTTTGGTTGAATTGTTTGTTTGTTGTTTAATGCCACTCTCAGCAATATTCCAGCTATATGATGGCAGTCTGAAAATAATCGAGTCAGAACCAGACGATCGAGTGATTGACATCATGAGCATTGATTCAGACAAGTGGGATACGATGACATGCACCAACCTTTTGGTTTAAAGTTGTTCCAAGTGTTCATATTACAAAAGGGTTGTCGGGTAGCCTAGTGGTTAAAGCGTTCATTCATCACGCCGAAGACCTGGGTTCGTTTTCCAACATGGGTACAATGTGTGAAGCCCATTTTTCTGGCTCAACCACTAATAGGGGGATGAGTAAGTTTGGACTCATCCCACTTTGACAATTCATCTTCAACTCATCGGTGTCTACCAGTAGTCAAAGAGTTGTTGATGATACGAGCTGTTGACTGATGATGATGTGAACTGGATATCTAGTTGTCACAATGCCTAATGGCTGTGGAGTTAATACTTGCATGTACAACCACCTGGGAAAATCAGATTCATTCTGTAACATGGACTCACCTTGGATGGTGTAGGTTGAGGCTCACATGCTGGACTACTGATATTTCTATTCCAGGCTTCTAATACACTTTACGGGGCAACATCATGTAGTTTGGAGGTTGTATGTGCAAACGTTATATTTTCTAGTGGCTACACTTTGCAAGACTACTGATTTATCTCCCTTTGCATTCCAAGAGATATTACTTCTGATTGTTTGAGATGCAAGGTTCGTTAGCATCCTTGATTACTTCCTTTGTTGTGATTGTATATTTATTTTATCGTATTGTGATCTAATTGTGTGATGTTGGAGGGGTTTCGGGGTAACAGGTCTGGAGAAAACATCTTTTTTCTCAAGTCCAGGAGGGCTCAGCATGTATGGTCAGGTCTGGAGGAGGGCTCAGTCTATTGTGAAATTGAAGTCAGTATCTGTTGTGACATGAATGCAACTGGAATTAATGTACAGACTATATCTATGTCCTGTGTTCCCGGGTTAATGTCTTTACAGGATACACTGACATGACTCTCCTTGTAATGTTGCAGGTTTGATGCCCCAGGCATACATGGTATCAACTTTCTGTTGACTAATGCTCTGGGAGGCGGGGGTATTGCATCTCTGCGGAGTGATGCGCAGGGTAAAGCTCTCGGCCAGATACTCCTAGACTTTGAGCTCACAGATGTCCCTGACTTGCAGACAATGGCCCAAGAACTACAAGCATGAAGTCGGAAATGGCATCATCTTCAGATTCTAACAACGACAAGTGATAATCAGAAAAGAACATTATCTCAGGACTGGCATCATGCCGTCAAAAATGAACTTGGATATATTTTCTATGCATTGTCCTTTGTTTGTGTGATGAGATTTTGATTGAAGTGAATTCCACAATTACAACATTTCATCCTGATAATCTACATTCATTTGTGAAAGAAATCAAAACAAAGAGTTCATGCTTAACATCATTTGTTCCTGGAGGAAGTGTGCAATATGGATCATGTTAAGTATTCCTTGATCATGTTGATTTTCAAGACCTGTATCAGAATTCCTGAAAATATTTGTTAATGAGTTGACTGCTGATAAAATGATGGTCAAAAGCCATGTGACTTTTAAAATTGACATGGAATGAAGACACATTTTTTTAAAGATGAGCCATGTTCCATAATTAGCATGACAGTCAAGGGTAATTGTCATTACAAGAACATGAGGGATTCTCTACATTCATGTACCAGGAGCAAAACTCAATGACCTCAGGAACCCCCATAATTTTGAACACTGATAAGAATGGCACAATTTTAGAAGCATTTTCTTCTATAAGGATTGAAATGAGTTTTACAGTGTAATTTATTCATTCACATTAAATTCCATTCCATTTGTTTCAGTGAGTGAGTGAGTGAGTTTTGTTTTACGCTGCTTCTAGCAATATTCCAGCAATATCGTGGCAGGGAACACCAGAAATGGGCTTCACACATTTTATCCAGGTCAGGAATGAACCTAGGTCTTCGACGTGATGAGCGAACGCTTTAACCACTAGGCTACTTGACCGCCCCTTGTTTCAAATATGTACTTAATGTTCATAGTTATATTGTACATATGACACTAAAGAAAATCGAGGTGTAGTTTATGCTAACTTATGTATTCAAACACATTGATGTGTGGAATCGATAAAGAGATCAATCAAATAAATTGTTATATCTCTGTACATTGTCTTTGTTATGCTTACTGACACTACATCATACCGTAGCTTACTGGTATGTAGATGTATGTTTGTGGTTGGCCTTGGCTCACCTGAACAGAAATTGAGGCGGAGAACCTTTGATGGAGGCTGTGTGTACTTTGGTGTATTATTTAAAAATAGATTTCACATCTCTGAAACCATTGGGCCCCTGAAGCTGAAACATTGCATGGGTGGTCCTGGAAATGGTGTCCCTTACACTTACTCAAAGAATGTTTTGTGGTCATAAAATATGGCCTCAACAGCAGCCATACTGAATCTATCATTTTTCACCAACGGTTAGGCATGTAAGAATTATGTTTGACATGCATGAAGTATGTGGTATGAACAATTACAGAAGTCATATTAATTTGTTTGTTTTTTTCACCCTGCTGCCACCATTCAGTACTGGTTAATAGTCAGTGTAGTGAATAGAGAATCTGTCCGGAGAGCAGGTCAGTGGTTTGATCCTTGGCCGCTATAAAGCTGGTACTTGTTACTGCCTGGCGCTCGGCATTAAGGGACAAACACAAGGACTGGTTGGCTCATAGGCAGTATATTGTGCCTGAGTGGGGGTATTCTTGTTAAACAGCGGCATGGTATATCCAAGTAACACAATCTGACCATCGGATTCAAATTTGCAAGAAGCATGAGTTACTGGTGACCTGCTATGAGCCAGAACTTCACAGAAGCTTTCTGTCATGAACAAATCTGGCTCTTATTGTTCTGCTGTGTACATTCTACACGAGAACAAACCATTTTCATTATTATTTGTCAATAGTTTGTTTGCTTGTTTAACGACTCACTCGGCAATATTCCAGGTATATGACAGTCTGTAAATAATCGAACTGGACCAGACAATCCAGAGATTGACATCATGAGTATCGATCCATGCAATTGAGCTACGTTGACATGCATCAACCATGTCAGCGAGCTTAACCACACAATCCCGTTTGTCATCTATTACGAGAAACATAGGCGCCTTTTACAGCAAGCAGAGATTGCTGAAGACCTATTCTAACCCAGATCTTCACAGGTATTTGTCAGTGGTAATGTTAAGATGATGATATACTTCTCAAAATAAGTTAAAGAACACCCGATTAAGCCCTAACAGATTAACAATAGTAATATGAAAGAATCAGGTGTTGTTGAGTGGTATGTGTGTCAGTGAAACTGTGGTACCATGCCAAATCTCTGGTTACTTCTGTTGTTAGATACTGTGCAGTCATGGATTTCTTGTGAAAAAAGTGATTCTTAATGCTCTTAAAACTCCCATCAATGCGGTTCTACCATCCCTGAAAATAAGTCCACTGCCATGATAAGTGAGAGTGAATTAGTAGATATGACATCCGGTTCTGTGTTTACAATGTAGAGCAAGGTTACCTGTACATTTAACTGTTCTAAATATTAAATTTGGAACTGAACAAGCAGTGTTAAGTTTCAAAAGTTAAATTCAGCACAGTCAAATCGACAGGTAAGCTAGCAAAGATACTGTGTGAAGCAGCATTGTCCAAAGTTTTGAGTGGGTTTATGTGAATAAAGGAAACACTGACAATAGCCTATTAACAAGGTATGACGCTGCATATATTCAAAACATAAGTTTTTCACATCATCATACTTTCCATGCATATAGCACAGGCATTGTAATTGTACAGAACTACTTCTCATACTTTATTAGCTCGATAAGCGAGGATGAAGTGGACACCCCTGAAGAGTGAGTGAGTGAGTGAGTATGTTTTTTTGCCGCCTTTAGCAATATTCCAGCAATATCTTGGCAGGGGACACCAGAAATGGGCTTCACACATTGTACCCATGTTGGGAATCAAACCCGTGTCTTCAGCATGACGAGCAAACACTTTAACCACTAGGCTACCCGACGGCCCCCACCCCTGAAGAAAACTAAACAAGCCTTGCAAGGTTTAGTTCTACACAAGTCACTTCGCTCGTTTTGATGCAAAATAAAAGATGTCAGTCACAAGAAAAGCATAAACTCTCAGGCTCTCTATTATCACGTAAACTTGAAATACACTCTTAGTTTCTATTGTGTTTACTGTCCACAACTTATTGTCACAAATACTTTGAATATCGTTGTAACAGCCACTCTACATTTTGTAACCTATAATGTACATATGATTCTAAATGCCTACAATGATCAGAAAGCATTTGTTTTTCAATAGTCTCTACAGTAATGTGTCTATCAAACCAGCTGTTTCAATAAGAGGTAGTTATTGTGATTTGAAACAAATGATTGACCAATCAGATTCAAGAATTTTCAAATTCAAGGTAGAATTTGGATTAACACTGCTATGAACAGTATTTCAGCAATAATGACTTGTCACCATAATGTGGGAGGAAACCCAGAGTTATGCAAGCCCTAGACTTTTACCACTTTAGTGAAACCCATTCGCATACCCATAGATCATACCTGGAGTCAAACTGGGAATCAAACCAAATACCAGATTTTTGCAGGTCAAACATGGCATCTCTGTACCTTGGTCAATATGATCACCCATGTCACGATAAAGAGGTATGAAACATGACACTACAAATATAAAATACCTTATAATTGTATTTGGTCATAGTGTTTAAAATACCAAAACAATGTCGTGGAAAGAAAGTTTCAATCTCATAAAAATCAGATCTTAGTTCTCGCTACCGCTAAACAAAGCGGTAGCGAGAACTAAGATCTGATTTTAATGAGATTGAGAAAGTTTAATATCATTATCCATTATTCCTCTCAATAAGAATGAACTACACACATCTGTTTCAGACTGAATGTTTTAATACCACATACTGTCATTCATTCACACATATAGTACACTAGTCTCTCTTCACTCATGAATGCATATAGTTCAATGACAGGGAATGTCACCATTCTGGTGTCCAGCATCACAAGCTGGTGTCTTTCTCCGACAATGTTCCTAATGCTGGCTTAGTCCTGTTTCTTGCACACAGAAACTTGTATCTGGGTGGTGACCATGAATCTGGCACGTCGTTCATCGGACCATGGTTGTTTCCCAGCCAGCTGGACACTGGTCTCCTCTTCATCCTACATGATCTGCTGCATCACCCATGGCACTGAAGACAAGAAACAGATATAGGAAAATTAGCTCTTCTTTGGTTGTTAAGCTCTCTATTCTCTCTAACTCCAAGAGATACACCATGATTGATTTTACTGCTGTTTAGCATACCATGATACAGGAAGAACCAGTTTTGTGCTGCACTGTTGAATGGATCCTCCAATGGTAAAACTCTCGCCTGTAACACCTGGATTTTTTTAATAATCTGGATTTTTTTAATAATCCAAATTCCTGTCAAGAAGTAAATCAGTTACGTAGGGTAAGACTAGGTTTCTGTACACTTCTGAATTTTTATTTCAGCCAGGGTACATTTCCACATACAAAGGTTAATTTATGCAGTACCCTTTTGGAACATACGAAAATGTCCTGGAAAGACTTCCGTCCGAATACCCTCCTAAAGATGTATAAGTATGTATTACCTATCAATCTTTTTAGTCATATACATTTTTAGGGGGGATAAGCAGGGTTAGAAACTAACAGTTTTTATCATCCAAAACTGGCTCCCACAGGAGATATCGCTTGGATTAGATGAAATTACATCACAATGCTTTGCAGACCATTGTGACATCACTGGTTACCATGACGTCACAATCAAATGACATCACTAATGGCTCTGCTACTGAAGCTGTTAGCAGTACTTTTTACACTGAAGACACTGCTAATTACTGTCTACAAATTGAAAAAGAATGATGTTGGATGATAAATAAAATCTCACCCTCGTGTCTTTTGATACCAAATATATCAACACTCGTTAATAAAAGTGACAAAAATCCTCGGCAAGCCTCGGAATTTTTCCACTTTTATCAACTCGTGTTGATATATTTGATATCAAAAGACACGAGGGTGAGATTCTCTATTTGTCCACTAGTCCTTATAATGATAACATATACCAAAACCCTTAAAATGGGCCAATTTCAACTAGTCCTTAGGATACCTTTACTATTGGGCATTTTGGTAAGGGCTATAGGACTAGTGCCAATTTCTAACGCTGATAAGGGCGGAAGTCTTGCCAATGTCCCCTTTAGCTACATAAAATTGACATTGAATCACCTTCAAACTTTAAGAAGAAATTCCTTAACGGCAAATTCTGTTCACACTTGCTTTTAAGGCAGTCGGAAGACCGAACTACAGATTCAAAAGTAACCTATATGATGAGCATCACTGCAACATTTATTTACCCTACACGAGCCACAAGGCTTGATTCTCATCTCCAAAATATAACGAACTTATATGCATGTATGTTCCACGCGGACTTGTTTCCTTACATCCTCTTATTATTCCACACGTGATGCCGAACATGATGACATTTTGTATCGTCATGATTCTAGCTTGTTTCAGCTCCATTTCTGCCTTCTTCTTATCCTCCTCGGGATCTCCGCGAGCGGCTTGTTGCAGACGAATCATGCTCACACGTGTGTACACTGGTGAACGGGCTTTGTAAAGTCAAGGGGAGGTCACTCTGAATTGCTGTGCTTCAGTGATGAAATTAAACGTGTAAGAATGAATACTCGAAACAGTGGTTCAAACCCAGCAACGTCATAATTTTATACAAATTATTTCTATCATTCGAGGAATTAATGGCTGACTCTTTTTTCCTTATGCTTATTTTTATCATGTCTCAACTCTAGAGTTAGCTAGACCATGGTTACTTGAATCTGATGTAACACCATCGGAGCTGCTTGTGCATTTATCCTGAACGAGATCTTAAACCGCGTTTCACTTCACCTTATAATATCCCTTGTATAATCTCCAGGCCGCGAAAGGTTTCATCATGAGGATAAAAAATTTATTCATGTTTTCACAACAGATTGCACTGGTCACTGCAGAGACCAAAGTAAATTGATAACATTGGTTAAAACAACAACACGTGAACTCTACTGGAAGATAATACATTGTAACAGAGACCATATATTTTTCGAGTTTCCATGGCAACGACTTTGCTTTAGACTGAAAATGGTGATAGTCCTCGTTTCCGGGCAGATCTTGAAAACCGTACTATATTTCTTCATCAAACTTGGCACATAGATAGGTCTAGTTGTGAACTGGTGCCTAGTTTGGGATTTTTATATGGTCTCTGATTGTAACAACACATCCTGTTCACATTGGATATTAATTCAGAATCAATAACATCTAACATGTATATTCTGCACACATCCTTCTGACATTATGATTATTTTTGTTGTTGTGGCTGTTATGATATTTTTGTGGCCGTTTTGACTTAACCCTTTGAGGCCGTTCTGACATGGGGCCGTTTTGACACGTTTGCGCGTGCGTACCCGAAGTGATGCAGGTCTCCGACGTTTACCATTTCGGTGAAACCCACAAGCACGGGTAATGTGCTGACAAGCCTAGAAACATAATCGGGGCGAGCCGGGATTCGAACCCGCAAGCATAGGTTTCTGGCGTGCCCAAAGGGACGCAACTCTTCACAGCGAATCGCGGCGTCTTAGACGACTGGGCCACCCGTGCCCTCGATATGAGTTTTAAGCGTGTATGATTTAAACTCTAGTGTTGCTGCACAGAAAGGAACCAAGTATATACTATGTACTAACCCAGTCAGGTGTTTGCACCCATATTAATTTAATCAGTTGAGCTGATAATCTAAAGATTATTTCAACACACCCTTGCGATATTATCTTCGTGTTGATTGTTTGAACTGTTTGCCATGTTGCCAAAGTGAAAGAATAAGACGCCTTCACATCTCCCTTGATTTCAGTTACGAGGGCTACGAACGGGTTTGGACTATTGTGTTGAGGAGTATCTTGCTCCGGATGATCTGGTTCCAGACTAACCGGTTCCGGATTAACCGGTTCCGAAATATCTGGTTCAGGACTAACCGGTTCCGGAATTTCGTGTTCCGGATTATTTCGTTCAGGACTAACCGGTTCCGGAATATCTGGTTCAGGACCAACCGGTTCCGGAATATCTGGTTCAGGACTAACCGGTATCTGATTCAGGACTAACCGGTTCCGGAATATCGTGTTCAGGATTATCTGGTTCGGGACATCAGGTATGTGTCTTTGAAAAGGTTTTCAAAATGGAAACAGGAAGGATGTATGAATATATCCAGTTATTAGTTGACGTGTCATAAGGTTTATAAATTCAAAGTCAATTGAGCATGTGCATTTAGTCAGGTTCCATTTCACAAACGTGCTCTTGTATTTGCACTCACACATAAATGTACCAACGTCACCACGCATATTTCCTGTGAACACTGTCCATAAGTGTCTATATCAGATATATTTAAGAAATGATCAACTGGATATCAGTGCTTAGTTGTTTTAGAAGGGTGATTGATTGACCAACTGAGAGTATAGTGGCACCAGGCCGATCGTGCCCAGGCGTTGATAGAAAATTACCCCGAAACTACTATCCAAACAACACCCCTTATATCAAGGGGAAATGAAAAGATCACACCATATCACATTTTATTTTCATATATTAATACAAGCATACAAATAGGAACAGACTAATCTAATCTATGGAGGAAGGGTTAACATCTCGGTGATTTGGTTGACTGTTGTCATCGTGCCCTATGACGTGGATCGCTCATTCTCATTAATAGCAGATCTTAGTTCTCGCTATGCTAAACAAAGATCTGAGGACATCCCATTAAGGGTCACGTCAGAACGACCTTTCATCCAACCAATCAGAGAGTCGCTTACCAGATCACGAAAGTGACAGTCGAAATGTTTTCTAATCATGCAACCATGAAATATTTAACACGGGGTATTCCGAACGACAGTTACGGGTTTTATGATTATATCCATACAATCTAGGCCATCCAAAAGCCATTCCAGAATGTTCATCTTATCAGTTTTAATTTTTTTAATCGATAATACGTCAAATTATGTTTCGAAGCGTAGTCGCCAGTTTGAAACTAGTTCGAGAAAGCTGCCTTCTGGCTGGCTAATGTCGATTTTTTGTCAGTCATTTCATTGGTCTTTGTTAAGCGGTAGCGAAAACTAAGATCTGATTTTAATGAGATTGTGGATCGCTGCTCATACTATCAGTCACCGGTTTATCTTTAGTATTTGTTATCGTTCCGACGTGAAACAGCACTCATTCACTCCATAACAGGGGTCTAACACTTCTATTTTGAACATGCTTAGACATTGCAGATGTAGCATAGCAAAAACATCGAGCTCACATCGAGCAAGCCATAAAGGTAGCTATCGAATGCTCATTTCAAGCGCTGCTTAATTTCAAACCGAGGCTTACATTATTGGGATATTGTAAGCCTCCTGGGGGTCTACTCACACGTCCTTGTTTAGAGAGATACATTCAATCAATTTTGGTGGTTGTAATTACGCTGGTGTCGTGTGCCAATAGGGAATTCCATTGTGACATCACATGTTACTTTAAGTCTTCCTGCCTTTGGGCATCGCTCGATGGATTCCTTTAACTTCACGAGGCTGGTGTAGCCACATACATAATGACACCGGTAGGGTTCACTCTGACTTTGATGCTGTCTGATGGTTTGACCGTGCCTTTAGAGCTGCCATCGAAGGGGTCCACCAAGTTGTAGCCCTGGGACGCTGTGAGCCCTAGGGCCCGGGCCTGGACGGTGGTAATCCTGGGGTAATGGAAGCCATGGGTCAGGACGTCACTGTGGAAGAAGACAATACCCACACTACCGGTAGGGAGGAGGGGGCGTATCCACACGTCGACAGGACCAACCTGAAACAACGGAGTTTATCATAATACGTTCGGTTCTAGGTTCAGTTTAGCGCGGTTAAATAAATCTATAGGTAACTTCCTCAAATCCTTTCATAAAAGATGGAGATTTTTACCGGACAAAACCAGAAATTATTGATCGCCCCATAAAATTTAATATCCGATGTCCCTAAGAATAATCCATAAAACAGGTTTATCTTGTGTATTTTAAACTTTATCATTATCAGATCATTTAAAAGGAAACTATATTTTTCTCAGAAAATGGTTTCTTTTTCCTGTCTCCAGGAAACTTGTACCGTCATGATCTTCTTTCCCTGGACTCCCAGCTTGTCCTGGTTGATGGTGATCAGCCTCCTGTTTTGTAGAAGAGCCTTCGAGCTGTTCCGAATGTTCCGGAGATCCGTGGACATGATGAGTGGTGCCGCCAGTATTCCCCACATCGCCATCTGTGTCCTCTCCATGTCGGGACTCAACCCGAAGTTCCCCAGAATCAGCTGCAGAGTGAGTGAGTGAGTCAGTCAGTCAGTCAGTCAGTCAGTCAGTCAGTCAGTCAGTCAGTCAGTCAGTCAGTCAGTCAGTGTATAGTTAAAGCACAACAAGCAAGTCATCATCGATGGATTGTAATCAAAAGTATGAAGGTAAATTCGCTAAACGTCATCACAGCTTATTTATTATATATTATTACATTAATCTACCGCAGGTATCCAGGTACTAGTATCTGCTCAAGTACGGGTTTATTCGTTGCCCGACCAGTGGATCCGTTTGCATTCCAGTTATCATTATCAACTCCCTGGGGAGTATACAGATGGGACGAATTCAACCTGAACCGTCATCGTGGTCACCTGATCCCCAATTGTCTCGGCCATATTTTTGAATGGATGGATAGGCGGTAAAAATCCCCGAATCATCAAAAGGCATCAGTTCACTTCAAAACTGATAGTAAAGCAAGTTTTATCAAAAAATATTCAACGGTTTTAGAGTTCTGATCCGGAATCTCTCACTGTCCGCATTGTCAGAATAATTTCAACATGTCGCCACGAAAACAAAACAAAATTAAACAAATTTAAATCCCAAATCACCCAAGACACCAAGTCACCATCCGACTGATATGTATAGCTTTAACGAGAAATATTCAACAGATTTGGAGTTCTGCCCCGGACACAGAAAGCGGACGGAGGACAGACGGATGGGAGGGTGGTATATTAATCTAATGTGCAAATTGACCATTTGGTGTTGACAGTAACGTTGATTTGGTCAACCAATTAATGATAATCCAAGCCACAAGGATGAAAATTATGCACACAGGTCGTCCATCCAAGACTTATACACACTAAGATGCCACTATAGATGCATTTGCGGCCTTTCAATTCCCGTTGTTTCTACTCTGTTACGACAAACCATCAGGTACCCGGGCCCCGTTCCACAAAGCGATCGTAGCGCTAAGACGATCGTAACTCCCCTACTTTAACATTGGCTCCCGACTGTCGTAGGGCTACGATCGCTTTGTGGAACGTGGCCCTGGACCGTTCCTCTCAGAAAACCTTCCAATGCTAACTTCCATTGTGATTGATAGTGGTGTGCCAGTATATATTTTCTGCCAAGCACTTAAACCCGATTGTGAACAAACAATCCCCATTTTATCTCTATTTCGACAAACATGAATTAAATGGATACTATTCCTCCCGTAATACCTTTCGATGTTAAAATCTATATTGATCAATGAAGCCCATTTGTGGTGTCCCCCGCCGTGATATTGCTGGAATATTGCTAAAAGCGGCGTAAAACCTCACTCACTCACTCACTATATTCATCAATGATGGGTAGGCCAAGAACCAAGACGCCATTGTGGACATGCGATCCCCTTTGCTTTTCTATTACGACAAGCATGGGCACTTATCCTTGGAATTCATTTCGATGTTAAATTCTGAGAATATTATATGGGTACAGAAGTAGTCTGTCACGAGTCTGACCATGTCCGGGTCGTTCCAGCCTCCAGGCCCCGCGTACTGGCTGAAGTTGCCCTTGTCCTGGTCCTGGAACTGTATGGTCTGCAGCAGACTGTCCCAGCTGTCCTGCATGTCTCTGTAGTTTCTCCACATGTTGCACGTACGGCGGATCGCTGCGAAGTCAGGCTGAAACAGTAACTCTGGTATGGAATACTGTAAACTCGAGAGTGAGTGATTATGGTTCTACGCCGCTTTTATCAATATTCCAGCAATATCACGGCGGGGGACACCAGAAATAGGCTTTACACATTGTACCCATGTTGGGAACCGAACCGGGTCTTCGGCGTGACGAGCGAACGCTTTAACCACTAGGCTACCCGACCGGCCCTCTGGAACTATGAAAACAAGCAGCATGCAAGGAAAACGCAATGTCGCTTTCTCGCGATTGCCTGTTTTTTTATGGACTGATTTGCACTTAAAACACGAGAGTATGAGATTCTGTCCAAATCGGCCACTCTGCATTTTCTCGTGATCTCTAAACACTGGACCATATACTATAGTATCTGTCATCCCGTTTTATTTGAGATGATATTTTAAGACGTGAGTCATTTTTACTTTACTAATATTTTATTTAATTTTATATTGTCTTAATCAAGTCGTAGTATTCATCATGCAAATAAGTTTGAATAGAATATATTATGTTGATTATTTATTGAGCAGCTCGACATCTTGGCGATATCTTAGTGTAGGTAAAATTCCTTACAATCTTGCCTTTCAGCGATTGATAATTCGGCCATTCGCAGGAGTAGATCATAGGTCGGCCCGTTTTGTTCAAATACATCCCAAAAGCAGGATAACCTGCGAAAGAAAGAAACAATTGCTTTTTTTAAATTCACAGAAATGTAGTCTTGCTGCACGTTGCGTGGATGTGACATCTGATTGATTCTCACCGTAGTCCATGTCGTCGACGTCGGAGTTGCACCCGTCCATCTTCACAAAGTCTACGCCCCAGTCCGCAAAGGTCTGAGCGTCTGTCTGAAGGTAGAACTCGCTGCCTGGGTAATGGCTGCACGTCTCGTGACCAAAGTCCTGGTGGACGCCGAACTTTAAGCCTTTGGAATGAACCTGTGAAAGTAAAATATAAAAATAAAACAATTATATTAACTACAATTCCAAATCGACCGTTAATTCTTGTGCTGCATTATTAGTACCCCGGCCAATGGATCAGTGTGCACTTGCATTTCATTCTCAGCTCCCTGAGGAGTATACAGCCCAAGCTGCCTTATGATACACTAGAAGGTTTGCAGGCGCCATTTCATCCTAGCGAGTATACATTCACTGCTGGGATAACAAAGCCACTTGCCTAAGGAGATACCACATGAAACCTGTGTTTCAGAGTGGTCAGGACCGAAGAACTGTTAAGTCATCTCAGGGGCGGTCGGGTAGCCTAAAAGTGGTGGTTAAAGCGTTCGCTCGTCACGCCGAAGACCCGGGTTTGAATCTCGACATGGGTACAATGTATGAAGCCCATTTCTGGTGTCCCTCGCCGTGATATTGCTGGAATATTGCTAAAAGCGGCGTAAAACCATACTCACTCACTCACTCACTTAAGTCAGCTCATGAGTCAATATTTCCGAACACGGTCACCCATTCACCTTGTCTCCGCAGCCAACGTGTTCATATTTACATTTTACAGATTAAAATGTGTATAAACAATCCAGATATTGAACTTCAGAAGAATCTCAATCTAACCACACGCACGATCGACACTCCGTGCCAAAAATAATAATCACACATCAAAGCCTCAAAGCCTTAAATCATAAGAAAGGATGTTTCTGGTTGCAAACCCAAACGTACGTAATCTGCCAGCGCCTTCATCCCACCAGGGAAACGTGTCGGATCGGCGTAGAGACGTCCGTCACTGTCGCGACTCTCAGCCTCCCAGCAGTCGTCCACGACGATGTACTCGTACCCCGCATCCAGCCAGCCGTCAGACGCCATCCTGTCAGCTGTCTGTTTGAACAACAACTCCCTGCCAACACAGACGAGATATATCTTTCTTTTTCTGACGTAAACAAACGGAAACTGCGACGTCTGATGCAGGTCCAAGACGTTAACCACTTTGGGGAAATCAATATTAAGCAAGCCGACAAACCACGAATGCGATGAATGGACCATCTCCAAAAAAACTGCAGCCCAAACCCAAACCAACCAGACCAGAATCCGCCCCAATCACAATCACCCTATCCTACACTGGCAAGACCTCTATCAAATCAGCAGATGACTTAAGCACCAAGTAGACATCGATACCATCTTCACTGGCTCCCCATCCCTTAGAATCATCCTCCACAGCTAATGGCCGCAACACCCCCCCCCCCCCCCCCCCCCCCCCCAACCCCCTCCAACAAGCAGCCATCAAAGGAGTAATCTTTCAGATTAATTGTGCGAGGCCCCCCGCCCAGTATATACCCGCATCAAAGAAGATAAGACTTCAACAGCCAAAGCGGACAGCAAATCAGCCCTCTTATACCACCTGCAAAAATCCCCTAGCTAACAAATTCGGTTTGACAAAGTCCAAAGTTAAGGGTGAACTAATCTTCCCGAGGCAGGCATGTCCACTAACCTGTAGCAAAGCCATGGGAACAAGATATTGATAAATAGGCTAGCGGACGCTCTTGCCTCTGGAAGATGGGGTGTACAATACAACTTTCGTAGTTATGCGCAGGGCTTTTCAGCCACCAATCGTATTTGATGTTATTTTTATGAACGTACCCGATACAGTTGTCAGGGTCATTAACACAGTCAATATTACACCGGAATCGCTCCCAGTCTAACCAGCCCATGGGAGGGGTCAAGGCCAGGCCGTTGTCTAGACCCAAGGTCAGGGTCGCGGCATTCAGGAAGAGGAGAACGAGCGCAAACATTTCTCTGGTGAATCTCTGAAATAAACAGTATAAAGTAAACCAAGGACATGTTGAAATATACAGTATCTTGAGATTGGCTCAAACACAGGTTATAGGTGTAAAACACAAAACAGATGATACAACCTCGCGGCTTCAGCGTCCAAACTGTTGCAGATGCTATCACTGACCGAGTTGCACACGCTTTCCTTCAGATATCAGACCTGACCTTCTTCGAATACTCTCTCGATAACACTCACGATATGGACATGGTTATTAGTCATTGTGTTTCAGCTACACATTCTTCTCGTCATATATCTCCGCGGGCGGCTGTGCTACAAAGAAGACAATCGTGTGTGAATATATGGGTCGAACCACTCTGTCAAGTTTTCATACAGGCTTGATGTCATAGCTGTTGCACATGGTTACATCTTTCATCAAAATTCATTTAGAAGAAACTTTGAAGGTTATAAAAATATAAGTTAAAAAATACGTCTTTCGGGCGCATGGCATCTTCCAAAGACAAGGGCATTAATTGACTATTAAAGTCCCGTTTCCACCCTTGCCGAACTTGGCTGGAGAGAGGAAGGTCCGGGGTTCGATCCCCGGCCGCGTCATACCAAAAGACGTTAAAAGATGGTACTTGTTGTTACCCTGTCTGGCGCTCGGCATTTAGGGGCTAAAACAATGACTGGTCGGCTCGGAGTCAGTATACTGTGTCTGAGTGGGGTATTCATGTTAAACTGCGGCATGGTGTCTCATTGAGCTAGCACTATAAATCGGCATCAGTCCGGACTAGTACAAGCAGCCACACAAACACACACACACGTACATGCACGTCGCTATATAAGTGCAATAATCTTGGACGCGACGTTAAACCCCATTTCACCATTTCACCTCACCTCACCAACATAAGCCAGAAGTCGAAGTGAATTTTAATGTAGGTCACGTGTTTCTTTTGGTCTTCTATCCTATGAATATCGCATAATGGCTTCCTTTACACGTGAACTATGACCGAGCCAACTGGAAATCATTCAAACCACTGTGATTGTCTGCTAATTACATTAGTCTTTACTGAGGTCACACATCATCTAGCTAGTAACGAATACCCAAATTACATTGAAATAATATGTCAGTATAACCCTGTCACAGCCTTTAGACCAAGGCAGTAAATGGGAAAATGACCCTCTATACGTTTGCGTGGCCTTGACCTACATGGCCTCGATGACCTTGATACTGACGTGTAACTTCACTCAAGGGCTGATTGCATGATATCAACAATCTATTATAACTATATCCGATGTACAGTGTCAGTGGAACAATAACCGCACGTAATGGTATTGCTTACTTTGCAAGGTAATAGCATGTGTCGATAACAGTGAAATAAACCCACGCTTTCACTCACATACTCACACTGGTTATAGCTGAGATATTGCTACCTGTAGCGTAGAACAACACGAAGCCGTATTAAGGCCGCAAGGTTGACTTTCCCTGACTAACGGGTTCCTGACGAATGGGCTCCTGACTTACGGGCACCTGACTAATGGGTTCCTGACGAATGAGTTCCTGACTAATGGGTTCCTGACTAATAGGCTCCTGACTAACGGATTCCTGACTAATAGGCTCCTGACTAATGGGTTCCTGACTAATGGGATCCTGACTAACGGGTTCCTGACTAACGGGTTCCTGACTAACGGGTTCCTGACTAACGGGCTCCTGACTAATGAGCTCCTGACTAATGGGCTCCTGACTAATAAGCTCCTGACTAATGGGCTCCCGACGAGTGGGCTCCTGACTAATGGGCTCCTGACGAATGGGTTCCTGACTAATGGGTTCCTGACTAACGGGTTCCTGACTAACGGGCCCCTGACTAACGGGTTCCTGACTAATGGGCGCCTGACTAATGGGTTCCTGACTAATGGGCTCCTGACTAACGGGTTCCTGACGAATGGGCTCCTGACTAACGGGTTCCTGACTAATGGGTTCCTGACTAACGGGTTCCTGACTAATGGGTTCATGAGGCTATCGGATTCAGGACTAATGACGTCTCTACCAAAACGTTTTCAACAACTTGCAAATAGGAAGGATATGGGGTATGTCCACTGATTAGCCGACGTCTCAGAAAGTTAATAAATTCAAACACTGGAAAATCAGCATGTGGTTTCTTTGAATTTAGTCAGGTTCGTATGTATTTCATGCAAGTGTACCAACGTCACCAGGCATATTCCGTATGAATACTGTCCGTTATTGTCTTATATGTATCAGATTAATTTAAGAAAAGATCGGTTGCATATAAGTGATAGATAGAAAATCATCCCTTAACTACTGTCCAGACATAACATCCTTATAGCGATCACACCGAATCACCTTTTATCAGTACAAGAATACAAGTAGGAACAGACTTTCTGAACAGACTGTCTGCATTTATCTACTTAGATGAGAGTTTGTAAATGTTGGAAGAGATTATTAAAAATGAATGAGTTGAGATATCCGCATCAATGTTATATCATGCCAATGAAATTGGATGGAAATGGAAGTGATAACCTATTCTCTTGTGGTTTTTCACGTGCATAGATTGCACACGATGTCGGTGATGATAGACAAATCTTATATACACAACGTATTTTTGACATCGCGATCTTCTATTCCCCTGCGGATAATCACATGAATGGATGGTACAAGACCAGACGTCGGTACATATACAACTATTGACATATCTGTACATCCAGACCTTGCAATTTTAGAAAATCTCCCCGAAACTACTACCCAAACAACATCCTTAATCACACAAAAACACAACGTGTCACATTTTATTTTCATATATCAATACAAGAATACACACAGGAACAGATAAACTCATCTATGGAAGAAGGATTAACATCATGGTGATTTGGTTGACTGCTGTCATCGTGCCCTGTGACGTGGATCGCTGCTCATACTATCAGTCACCGGTTTATCTTTAGTATTTGTTATCATTCCCGGCTCGAAACAACACTTATTCACTCCCTCACGAGGGGCTTACAATTCTGTTTAGCATTAGGCATGTTCAGACTTTGCAGATGTACGTGGCAAAGCAAATACATTGCTAAGTATAGCACAGCCTCGATTATCCAGTGTGTCATATCGCCATTCCATTATGGCATCTACGCTGAACCAATAAAGTTAGGGATCATGAATTTTTGGGGGATATTTTATTTATGAAGACTGAGCAAAATTTCATGGCTGGGATGACTATCACACGGTACAATCACTGCGCCAATATGGGCATATGATCAGAATAGGCATAGTCAAGTAATTATATGTTTTTAATCACCTGGATACAAAAAACAACAACATTAACACATCGTGTACATATTCGGAAAGGGATAAAGGTAGCCATCGAGTGCTCATTTCAAGCGCTGCTTAATCCCCCAAAGGAGGCTTAATGTGACGTTTTAAACGTCCTTGGAGCCAACCCATACGTCCTTGTTCAATCAGGGTTTTGCATTGGTTGTAATAACATTGGTTTGGTGTTCATATAGGGAGTTCAATTGTGATGTCACGTGTTACTTTAAGTCTTGCAGCCTTTGGGCATCGCTCGATGGATTCCTTTAACTTCACGAGGCTGGTGTAGCAACATACATAATGACACCGGTAGGGTTCACTCTGACTTTGATGCTGTCTGATGGTTTAACCGTGCCTTTAGAGCTGCCATCGAAGGGGTCCACCAAGTTGTAGCCCTGGGACGCTGTGAGCCCTAGGGCCCGGGCCTGGACGGTGGTAATCCTGGGGTAATGGAAGCCATGGGTCAGGACGTCACTGTGGAAGAAGACAATACCCACACTACCGGTAGGGAGGAGGGGACGTGTCCACACGTCGACAGGACCAACCTGAAACAAAGGAATTAATCAGTAGTTTTTTTAAAGCGATGTGGTTATGAGAGTTTAGGTCATGAATAAAACGCATAAAACCAGGTCATGTTCTTTTGTTATTCACCTTTATTTAATCGGTCTGGAGAAATATCGTCAGGGAACCGTTAAAATCCGGATGTCATTTAATTAAAGATGGACGTTGTTTTACCGGATAAAACCAAAAATTCGTTCATCATTCATGCTTTCAATGCTTGCACGATGACGAGAAGCAACTTTAAAACTCTTCATGGCAATATTTAATGTCAAAAAAGGAATTTCCCGAGTTCATTAATATATTCCATTCAAACAGGTTTTGAAAGTCTCACAAAGACACTATCGTCATCAGGTAATGTGAAATATAACTACATTTTCCGGGTTCTAGTGTCTTTTTCCTGTCTCCAGGACATTTGTACCGTCATGATCTTCTTTCCCTGGACTCCCAGCTTGTCCTGGTTGATGGCGATCAGCCTCCTGTTTTGTAGAAGAGCCTTCGAGCTGTTCCGAATGTTCCGGAGATCCGTGGACATGAGGAGTGGTGCCGCCAGTATTCCCCACATCGCCATCTGTGTCCTCTCCATGTCGGGACTCAACCCGAAGTTCCCCAGAATCAGCTGCAGAGTGAGTGAGTGAGTGACTATATAGTTAAAGCACAACAAGCAAACCATCATCTCCGATTGTAATCAAAAGTATGAAGGTGAATCCGCCGAACGTCTTCACAGCTTGGACCAATTCAAACCGAACCGTTATCGTGCTAACCATTCGTGACCCACTCGTGTTATTCCGTATAGCTTCTTGCAGGTTACGGAAACTGGCGAGTGATGACGAATGTTTGGCCACCTGATTGCCATTTTTCTAGGCTACGTCCACATTAATGAATGGATAGACAGATGGCGACCCCCTGTCTTAAAAATACGTGTCCTTGACGACAAACATGAATTAAATGGCTCCTTCTCAGACTTCTTTTCGAAGTTAAAGTCTATATTGATCAATGATGGGTAGGCCAAGAATCAAGACGCCATTGTGGACCTGCGATCCCCTTTGCTTTTCTATTAGGACAAGCATGGGTCCTTATCCTTGGAATTGATTTCGATTTTAAATTCTGAGAATATTATATGGGTACAGAAGTAGTTTGTCACGAGTCTGACCATGTCCGGGTCGTTCCAGCCTCCAGGCCCCGCGTACTGGCTGAAGTTGCCCTGGTCCTGGTCCTGGAACTGTATGGTCTGCAGCAGACTGTCCCAGCTGTCCTGGATGTCCTTGTTGGTTCTCCACGTGTTGCACGTGCGGCGGACTGCTGCGTAGTCAGGCTGAAACAGTTGAGATCTCGAACTGTTAATTGTTAAGCCTTTATTTGCTAGTGCCACATTTATTGTTAATTATGAATGTGATAATATTCTTATTTGTACATATGCTTGTGCTGATGTAACCTAAATTAATAATAGATAATAAAGTGTTATCTTATCTTAACTTTGAAAACTATCTAAATATGTAACGTATACACAATGTTACATTCTTCTTGAGCAGCTAGACATTTTGACGATATCTTAGAGTACGTAAAATTCCTTACAATCTTGAAGTGTTTCACTGATTGATAAAACGGCCATTCACAGGAGTAGATCATAGGTCGGCCGGTTTTGTTCAAAAACATCCCAAAAGCAGGATAACCTGCGAAGTAAAAAACGATGTCCTTTGTACAATTCACAGAAATGTAGTCTTGGGGCACATCTGCCTATAAAAGTGGTCTTTTCTACCCAAACATCCGACAGCCTTGAAATGACATCTGTCTGATTCTCACCGTAGTCCATGTCGCCGAGGTCAGAGTTGCACCCGTCCATCTTCACAAAGTCTACGCCCCAGTCCGCAAAGGTCTGAGCGTCTGTCTGAAGGTAGAACTCGCCCCCTGGGTAATGGCTACATGTCTCGTGACCGAAGTCCTGGTGGACGCCGAACTTTAAGCCTTTCAAATGAACCTGTGAAAGTCAAATGTAAAAATGATAATAAAATAATAAGTCAAATAAAATGCGCAAATCCAGTAAGTCCGCTAACAATCATAGGTTGATAATGAGTGGATGTTCAATCTGTTGTATTATTGTCCCGGTCAATGGATCAGTGTGTGTGCACTCGAATTTCATTCTCAGCTCCCTGAGGATTATACAACCCATTTTGCCTTTTGATGCACTGGACGGTTTACAGGTGCCGTGATGCTGGGTGAGCTAAGTCGTATTTCGGACATAGAAACCTGTGTTTTAGAGTGGGCAAGACCGGAATTCTATTTAATCGGCTCATGAGTCTACATAACCGAACACGGTCACCCATCCACCTTCTCTCCGCGATCACCGTGCTCACATCTGCATTTCACAGATTCAGATGTGTGTCAATGATCCAGAAATTGAACCTCAGAAGAATCATTCTCTAACTACACGCAAGATAGACATCATCTGCCAAAGAGGTCAAAGAAGAAAATCGGACATCAAAACCTCAAAGCCTTAAGTCATAAGAAAGGATGTATCTGGTTGCAAACACAAACGTACGTAATCTGCTAGCGCCTTCATCCCACCGGGGAAACGTGTCGGATCGGCGTAGAGACGTCCGTCACTGTCGCGACTCTCAGCCTCCCAGCAGTCGTCCACAATGAGGTACTCGTACCCTGCATTCAGCCAGCCGTCAGACGCCATCCTGTCTGCTGTCTGTTTGAACAACAACTCCCTGCCAACACAGTCGAGACATATCTTTGTTCACCTGACGTTAAACAAACGGAAACTGCGACGTCGGATGAAGGGCAAAGACTTTGGTGAAATCTACAAGAATAGGTATGGTGCTGAAAAACCAAGAATCTTTGCGATTTGAACCCATGGGTTTCTGGCTAAGGGACCCAATTCAACACAAGATGCCCCCCATTAGACGATTGAACCCGTAAGAGCAAGGTTAAAGCATTCAGGAAGAGAACTGCCACACAAACATTTCTCCGGTGAGGAAATATGTCAAACAGCTGACATTGAGTTTGTAGGACTGTCCTACGACATTGTAAAACTACAGATGGCCTTATGCTGTTATTTTGAGACTTAATATAGAAATGCAAACAGAGGTGGCTGAAAAGTTCTGAGCCAAACTACGATGGACTTCGTTGAGGAAGTTAGTTGCTAATTATCTTCCCAAATGATCCCCTGCGAGGTCCACAGACTTCTGCCAATGATTCTGGAGTGTTTGGATCCTAATGCAGAAGGCGTCCTCCTGGTGTAAAAAGTCATCCACACAGAAATAATGTCATTTGCATAATACTTGCCCGAAGTTCTTTTTTTCAAGTTTGAGAAGGGGAAATGTGAGGGTGCCAAATCTGCTGAATACGGAGGATGTTCAAAGAGTTAAAAGCCACAGTCATGTATTTGCCGCCATAGCAAAGACAGACGTATGCACAGATGCATTGTCCTGGTGGAACACACACGCCTTTAGTGAGTCTTCAACGATGCTTAGCCTTGATATTCACGATCAGTTGTTTTAGCAGATTGGCACAATATACGGTCTTACCTTTCGGAAGGTAGTCCACCATTAAAATTCTTTGGAATCCCAGAAAACCGAAGCCAGTTGATGGAACAGACTTTGCCTTCTTCTTCGGCGGAGACGTTAGATGTATTATGTATTAATGCACTGCATCCCAAGACTCATCCAGGGTTACAATTTGCACAATAAAATAAGCGACGTAAATTTTCACGATAGATGATGGGCCTGGAGCGTTTTTTATCTGGATTCTTGGAGCCCAGCGTGCTGAAACCTTTGTCATGACCAGTTCATTCATCAGAATATTCCCAACTCTCCCTTGAGACATGCCTACTGTATTGGCTATGTGACATGTGTTAAGTCGTCGATCATCCGTAATATTATCATCATTTTCCTCAGTCGTGATAGATGAAGACATTCCTAATCATGGAACATCTTCGAGGTTCTCCCGTTTTTAACCCCGTATCCTTTTCCTAGCAGTGGAAAGGAAGAAGCATCATCATGTAAAGTTGACACCATGTCTGCAATGCTGGCTGTTGGAGTTACCCTTTCAGTTGGAGATTCTTGATGACAGCTCTGTAGCTAATAATAGTGTAGCGCTATGAGCATCCACTGGGTGAATGGAATCTGGCGCATTATAAATGCACTTATTATTAGCCAGGGTTGTCCATTCTTATCAACAGAGAACACCTGGTCCCTTTGATACCTGCAGAAATATACTGCCTGGTTGTGTATTTGGTTCAACTGTAGTCTGCAAGAAGGGAAGTATTGCACTTAATACATGAAAACTGTTAAGGGTGTAAGAACTTTTCAGCCACCTTTCGAATTATGAACGTACCCGATACAGTTCTCAGGGTCATTAACACAGTCAATATTACACCGGAATCTCTCCCAGTCCAACCAGCCCATGGGAGGGGTCAAGGCCAGGCCGTTGTCTAGACCCAAGGTCAGGGTCACGGCATTCAGGAAGAGGAGAACGAGCGCAAACATTTCTCTGGTGAATCTCTGCAACAAACAGGATATATGAAGAAACCTTTTTTTTGATGAGGATATCTGAGGATATGATTTTCTGGAGAGGTTTTAAACACTAAACAGGTGATACAAACTTGCGGTTTTAGCGTCCAGACTGTTGCAGATGCTCCCTTTGACCGACTTGCACAAGCTTACCTTCGAATATCTGACGTGACCTTCCAATCTTGATAACACTCGCGATAACGACATCGTTCACAGTCAGTGTGCAACACTGTCACTGTGATGTATTTGCTGCCCAATTTGTAGGAACACTTATGACACATTATTATTATTATTATTTTCATTATGATGATGATGATGATGATGATGATGATGATGATGAAGGGCTGTATTCCTGGTAGCAAAACCGGGTACTCTCCCAATGTCAGTCAACAGATTGGGAGGTACCAAACCTAAGGCACCGAGAACAATTGGGAGTCGGACAACTTGGTACTTGGAATGCAAGCGTGACATTTCGAAAGCGATGTCTGCATATTTGCCATGTTTTTTTCTGAATCTTGTCAATCACATTCGTGTCAAAAGAGGCTGAAAATTCAAGGATATAAATAATTTCATTGGATTTATCAAAAAGGACAAGATCAGGTTGGTTGGCCTGGATAGTCTAAGGCTGTATACGACCCTATTCCAAAGAATTTTGTATCGATCATTTTCCATGACGCCCTCTACATATTCCGGGTCGTACCATGGATGGACCTTTGTGTCAAAACCACAAGCATGGCGAAGACGGTAATAAAATGATCGAGCCACTCCATCATGTCGCTTAAGATACTGTTGTTGTTATTATTATTATTATTATTATTATTATTATTATTATTATTATTATTAAGTTCATTATGACTAGACACACACGAACCACCGGTTAAGAAGCTGATCTATGGCGTGAAGGCGTTGCTTGGTAACGTAATATAATTATAGTATATTATTAGAAAGGATGCGAGTGAAAGTAAAATATGACCTAATGCATGTCCATGGACTAAAAGTAATAAAACAAACTACTTTCACGACAGTACTATTTTCCACACACAGTGTTTTTGGGTGCCAAGGGATCCTACAGCAGTTACCTGAGCGTATTTCCGTCCAGTGTCACCATGGTCAGCCCAAGACATTACTCCTCGCATGGCCGTGAGGTTTCGCTAAGTACAGGATCAATGGGTCCAATGACAGTTCATTACCAACATGAACATTCAAGTACCGTCGCAAACGCATACAAGCATAAACACAAGGTGTGATACTCACATAAACTTTACTGAGCTTCAATCCATCTCTGAATACTCAACTCGGGTTCGACTCGACCGACTGGTTGTAAAACCCGCACCACTCTCATTACGATGAAGCCATCTTTATCAATTGTTCGCGCCCTTTGTCACATCACTCACATGTCCTGAGACATCATTTTAATTTGTTAAAAAACTTATCAGACCACGATCACGCGTTTGTCTCGTGATCGCAAATTACTGACAACCATTTACTGGCGATTCGCCGTTTACTGATTCGCGTAATGATCTTATGTCTTCTTTTTATCTTGATTTATCCAAACCCAGCTATAACATCGAAGCCACCGCGACAGTAGCCGCCATTTTGAATGTTGAATTTGTTAGAATTTTCTGAGATTTTGGGATGCATTTTTACATTTTGTCATGTATAAAGAAATTTAAGAGGTTTATATTCATGGTCCCCAAACACACATCTTCGAGGTCAATGTAAGCACATGTGTTATCTGAAAGTCAATTGTTTTATCAGCAATTGACCTTGGCTCAACCATCACTCAACGATCAAGTGGGACAGTCATGTAGATACTAACTGAACGTCCTTGACACTTTTTCCTGTCACTGTGCTAGGGTAATTCGTATCAATGCTCAGATATCTGAGAAATAATTTATAATACTCGGCTATCAGATACTTGCCTTCAGTTTACATTCTTGTACCGGTAGGAGAAACAGCTATGACGAAGGTAGGTTTCTTTTCATGTGCAAACTATGAACTCCTAAGTATCTGTTAATTTGTATGGATGTAGAGATTGTACGAATATAAAGATGATTCTGTCCAAAGATTGTGTTTGTTTGTTTGCTATATGACGGTGGTCTATAAATAATCAAGTCTGGACCACACAATCCAGTGATTTACATCATAATCATTATGAGGGATACGATGACATGCATCAACCAAGTCAACGAGCCTGACCACCCGATCCTGTTAGTGGCTCTTACAACAAGCATAGTCTCTACCAGTTTCGGCAAGCACTGGTTTTAGAAGACCTGTTCTAACCCGAATCTTCACGGGTCCTGCCCAGAGGTACATCTATCCAGATCTCCTCCTCCTCCTCCTTCTCCTTCTTCTTCCTCTAAGAACATTAGTGTTGATTATAAATTTGTTTTGGTTTATACTGTCATTCATACTGTCTATACCAGGTATCTATGTGGATAGTTGTCTCCCTTTGCGTTTCTGCGGTTACCTTAACTGCAGCCCTAGACAACGGCTTGGCCTTGACGCCTCCAATGGGCTGGTTGGCATGGACACGCTTCCGATGTAATATAGACTGTGACAATGATCCAGACAACTGTATTAGGTAAGAAATAAAAGTGAAATAATAAAAAGTGCCGATAGAGATTTTGTATGGAGACTTGATACTGCAAAACCAGATATTTCTCAAAATTAAAGTATGAACCTAAATATGTTTTGAAAAAAATACACCCCTTGCAACATTGTAAGTTTTTGGGCATACAGTTTCCTGTTTTCAACAGTCTAAAGCATTTTAAAGTATTTTCTGGGACACACATATTTTCAGTAGAAACAAAGGTTCCATTAGCTTACTTAACATAGACACAGATGAGAACTACACTGCATAACGGTCGTATGAATTGATTGGTTTGTGTAAGTAAAGTATTAAAATCGTGAAGTATTGACGATGCATACCCTGATGAAGAGAATTTTGTTGATTCATCCATTTATCAATATTATGTTCTGTGATCTATCTTGACGAACAGTGTCTTCTTTGATTCACCTTGATGAACAGTATATTCTTTGATTCACCTTGATAAATAGTGTATTCTGGGAGTGATACGTATCTCAATAAACAATGTATTCTGTGTTGGCCTCAGCGAGAGACTGTTCCGGACGATGACGGACCTGCTTGTGTCCGGTGGCTACAAAGACGCCGGGTATGAGTACCTGTGTGTTGATGACTGCTGGCTGGCCGAGGAGAGAACGGCGGATGGAGCTCTCCAAGGAGACCCCAAACGGTTCCCAAGTGGAATGAAGGCTCTTGGAGATTACGTTAGTATATCATTATATGTCCTGGGCGTATTTGTCCTGAAGAAAATGCATGCAAAAAACAACCTTTGTTCAACGTTGTGCGTCTTGAAGTTGTGGCCCAAACAATGCGTCTTCAAGTGGTGTCCCACACAATGTGTCTCGAAGTAGTGACCCAAACAATGCGTCTTTAAGTAGTGGCCAAAATAATGTGTCTCGAAGTATTGGCCCACACAATCTGTCTCGAAGTAGTGACCCAAACAATGCGTCTTCAAGTGGTGGCCCACACAATGTGTCTCGAAGTAGTGACCCAAACGATGCGTCTTTAAGTAGTGGCCCAAATAATATGTCTTTAAGTAGTGGCCCAAATAATGTGTCTCGAAGTATTGGCCCACACAATGTGTCTCGAAGTAGTGACCCAAACAATGCATCTTCAAGTGGTGGCGCAAATAATATGTCTTTAAGTAGTGGCCCAAATAATGTGTCTCGAAGTATTGGCCCAAATAATGTGTCCCGAAGTATTGGCCCAAACAATGCGTCTCGAAGTATAGGCCCAAATAATATGTCTCGAAGTAGTGGCCCAAATAATGTGTCTCGAAGTATTGGCCCACACAATGTGTCTCGAAGTAGTGACCAAAACACTGCGTCTTGAAGCGGTGGCCCAATTAATATGTCTTTAAGTAGTGGCCCAAATAATGTGTCTCGAGGTATTGACCCAAACAATGCGTCTCGAAGTAAGTCTAAGGCGCCGCGATTCGCTGTGCAGAGTTGCACCCCTTGGGCACGCCAGAAACCTTTAATTGTGGGTTCGAACCCCGGTTCGCCCCGATTATGTTACTAGGTTTATTAGCATCATACCCGTGCTCGTGGGTTTCACCGAAGTGGTAAACGTCTGAGACCTGCATCACTTCGGGCTTTCCTCCCACATTAAGCTGACACGCCGCGATATAACTGGAATACTGTTAAAAGCGGCGTTAAGCGGCGTAATTCTCGATATTTTGTCAGATGTTCAGTTTAAGTTTTATTTAAACCCTGAAAAGCATGACATTTGTGAGAAAGTTTACCGAAATAATGAAGACAGTGCTAACATCCCGGTTATTCACAAGTGGAATGAGGAATCAGCCTGTGAGGTAATCAAAACAAGGGTAACTTTAAAACGAGAAATGAATTGAAACCAATATGGTTCATATGGTTTTAAACATGACTGTGTTGATTATAATTATGTTCTGGGAAATTATTTTATTGTAAATAAAATTCGACGAACAAAGAGTTTGCCGCAGTGTTGATGTATCGCATCAAACGTTTTCTTGTTACACATTGCCATTCATCTTGATCAGATGAACTGGTGACTGTCATACCTGAATACAAAGTTATCTCATACAACGTACAATGTGTGTACTTTTCTGATTTGGGTTTTAGGTTCATTCTAAGGGACTGAAGTTCGGCATATATGCAGACTTTGGGAAAACCACGTGTGAAAAATATCCAGGGAGTGAGTTCTACTTGAAGCAGGATGCCCAGACATTTGCTGACTGGGGGGTTGACCTCCTCAAGCTGGATGGTTGTTATGGCGACGTCCGGGACTACGACTACGGTAAAGTTGTGATTTTACATATGTCTTACCCAAGACACAGTAAAATGGGTTCAATCATACTCTACAATTCCGCATGTCCAGATATGCTTTAAATTGCATCTGAAATATATATATAATATATGGGGAAATACATGTGAACCATTACGCAACGAGTTGATAATTGTTTTCGGTATGCCCGTTTGCGCTAAGACGGAACCCGGTCGCAAAAATGGTGACGAGAGGGGCACGAGTCGCTATTCGCCTTGTCCCGGAATAACACGAGTTGGTCACGAATAAACCTATTGATCACTCTCCTACCCCAGTTCCATGCCTTATAGGGGGTATATATTCTTATTTACTGACCAATAACGAGTTCCTGTGCATTCAGCATGTGTCATAAAAAAAGTTAACTTGCATTGGGAAAATCTCCTAAAACGTGAAAAAATCCATTTTGGGACTACTTCGACATAATTTAAAGAATTTTTTTAAGACTGGGATTTGCTTAAACTGGCACATGCGCTCCAAACCATCGTGTCCTACGTGATTAAAATCCACGAATATCCGTGTCGGGGAAACGGTATCGCTGTGGCGAGTTTTAAGCCGGAAGTCAAGATTAAACTGGTCATGGGTTTCAATAGCGATATCTGATGTGCGCCTTAACTTCTATTCATAGGAAAATATATATCACAATCTTCCCGAGGCAAGAGAGTTAACTGACTTTAAAAGTCCAGTTTCCACCCTTGCCGAACTAGGCTGGAATTACTGGGTTCGATCGTGGCGCCCAGTCAGGACGATCTTATCGATAATCAAGATCAATATTGTGTCTTACATCGCGAAATGCATCAACTCACGTAAGCACCTTGATTAAAAACATGAAAAGATTTGGAAAATATCTGCTGACGAGTTTGCAGTGCAAATGCTTTGCAAATACTGCAATCGCCCGAAATCTGCACGACAGTTTACGAACCGGATTTCGATTTCGGTGCGCGATTATGATTAGACTATGCATAGACTCGTTAGTCCAGCCAAAATGTAACTCCATAATACCAGCCTAGTACGGCAAGGGTGGAAACTCGAATTTTAATAGTCAGTTACCTCTCTTGCCTCGGGAAGATGATAAATCACCTGCAACTCAACTGACTCAGTTGACTCATTGCGACTCAGCTGAGAAATCAAAACCTCTCTAATGTCCTGTTCACATGGACACTGATACTTACATGAGTATTTATTGACTCCCAGTAAGCAAATGAGTCATGTGAACGCATTTACTCACGTAAGTAACTTTGCTCAAGGAGTATATTCACACGAGCAAATTGGTGTGCAAATTTGGCCATGTGAACGGCCACAATGTTAGATTACCGTGTAAAATGATGGCATATGATCCAAAATAGCTGTGCATTGCACCATGTCTAAATACACAACATTCTGCAGGAAGAAATGATCGGATCTCTTGTTTCAAGGGAAGGAAAACATGGAGTTTCCCCGTACTAAGTTAGAGCAAATGCAAAACTTTAATGAAACCTCTTACTCTTGTTGTCACGCAACAGGCTATCCAGCCATGACCAAGTTCCTCAACGAAACTGGACGACCCATCATGTTTCACTGCGACTGGCCCAAGTATCAAATACTAGCAGGCATTAAGGTAAAATGTATAAAATTTACATTTTACAATTAAGTGAGTGAGTATGGTTTTACACCTCTTTTAATAATATTACAGCAATATCATGGCGGGGAACACCAAAAATGGGCTTCACACATTGTACCCATGTGGGGAAACGAACCCGGGTCTTCGGCGTGACGAGCGAACGCTTTAACCACCAGGCTACCCCATCGCCACTATAAATCTTCACATAAGCATAAACTGAACAGTAAATATATAATTTCGAATTCTTCACAACAGTGATGATGAAATATAACAAGTGATGAAAGTCTTTCGGGTAGGTAGCATCTTCCCGAGGCAAGAGAGTTAACTGACTTTAAAAGTCCAGTTTCCACCCTTGCCGAACTAGGCTGGAATTCCTGGGCTCGATCGTAGCGCCACCAGTGGCTATTACGAGTTATGTCCTTTCTATGCCTCTCCTATTGGCCAATCAGATTCAACCTCTCGTATCACTTGCATTTGCTTCAAACAAAACGGTGGCGCCCAGTCAAGATGATCTGATAGATAATCAAGATCTATATTGTGATAAAACGAGTCTCACGTCGCAAAGTGCATTAAATCACGTGAGCACCTTGATTAAAAACATGAAAAGATTTATAAAATATCTGTTGACAACGAGTTAGCGGTGCACATGCTTTGCAAATCCTGCAGTCGACCGAAATCTGCATGACACTTTACGAACCGGATTTCAATTTCAGTGCACGATTTTGATTGGACTATGCATAGACTCGTTAGTCCAGCCAAACTCCATAATACCAGCCTAGTTCGGCAAGGGTGGAAACTGGACTTTTATAGTCAGTTAACTCACTTGCCTCGGGAAGATGGGTAGGTTGGTACACAAGGGTGACAGATTCCCGGACATCTATCTGACAGTGTATACCTGTATTTTCAGCCTAACTACACCGCCATCCAACAATCGTGTAACCTGTGGCGTAACTACGATGATATTTGGGACAATTGGGATGGTCTGAGCGACATCATCAACTACTACGTCAAGGACGACGACGACTTCATGTCTTACTCGGGGCCGGGGAGCTGGGTAGACCCAGATGAGGTATGCTTTACATTTGTTTGGGTGCTGTTTTCCCCCGCGCTCTGACTTATGTCGGCGCTTATCTCTGGTAGGCACAGGGCCATGCACGAACCACCACGTGTCACACTAATGTATAACCGTTAGCAACAATACATACATTCATTCACAATCAAGTGAGTGAGTAAGTTAGGTTTAACTCCGCTTTTAACATTATTCCAGTTATATCGCGGCGTGTCAGCTTAATGTGGGAGGAAAGCCCGAAGTGTTGCAGGTCTCAGACGTTTACCACTTCGGTGAAACCCACGAGCACGGGTATGGTGCTGACAAACCTAGAAACATAATCGGGGCGAACCGGGATTCGAACCCACAATCATTGGTTTCTTGCGTGCCCAAGGGATGCAACTCTGCACAGCGAATCGCGGCGCCTTAGACGACTGGCCCACCCGTGCCCCCCTTGACAATCAATAGGTTGAATACATGGTTCTAGTTTCCTGCTATTTCTGATGTTCGCCTCAGCAAAACTATTGATATCAAGTTACATATTGTGTGAGTGAGTGAGTGAGTGAGTGGAGTGAGTGGAGTGAGTGAGTGAGTGGAGTGAGTGAGCTAGTGAGTGAGTGAGTGAGTTAGTGAGTGGAGTGAGTGAGTGAGTGAGTGAGTGAGTGAGTGAGTGAGTGAGTGAGTCAGACACAATAATAGTTGATATCATGAATAAAGGCTGAAAAGTGTCATCACAGTGAAAGTAGTTCAGGTATAAAGGCTGATTTCACTTGAATGACATATCAAGCTCATTAAAATCAAATCTCGTAAGATGAACTTTCTTATCAACCAATCAGCGTCGAGTCTTTTAAACCGCGCATTCAGACAAGCATCTGATTTCTGTATCTCAAAATTGAATATGATCGAATGCAAAACAATAAAGCGGAGCTATTATATTGTTTCGGATATTTGATACATCCTGTCGTTTCTGTGCGTCGTGGTATCTGCGGCCAAAAGGTTGTTCTGTGGACGGTATACTTCTGTTCTGCGGCGGTTTTCTTTCGATAAGATCGAAAGTTTTGAATCGAGGCGGTAAAGGCGAATCGTTTCAGAAAGCTGACATGTGATTGGCTAAAGAACCCACACGTCCTTCATTTAGATTGGGCGGTCAAAGTTTAGCGTAGAGTTCACCTGACGCGACTTTCTATGGTGGTGTTTTCAGATCTTCAAACAGAGATATAAGACTTGATTTTAATGAGACCGGGGAGATATGGCTTTAATGTTATAGATGAGTGAGTGAGTGAATATGGTTTTACGCCGCTTTTAGCAATATTCCAGCAATATCACGGCGGGGGACACCAGAAATGGGCTTTACACATTGTACCCATGTCGGGAATCGAGCCCGGGTCTTCGGCGTGACGAGCGAAGGCTTTATAGGCTGCCCGACCGCCCCTGTTATAGATGAAGGTACTTATCATCACCAAATATATCCGTATTAAACTTACTTTTAGTCTAAGTATACCTTTCCTACAGTTGATTATCGGCAACTTCGGGCTCAGTGATGTACAAGAACGTGTGCAGATGGCGCTGTGGGCGATGCTCCCCGCCCCACTGATAATGTCCAATGACCTAAGGAGCATCCGCAACCAGTCAAAGCAACTGCTGCTTAACCCACGGGTCATCGCCATTAACCAGCAACAACTCAGCACCAGTGCACGAAGGATAACCACGGTCAGAAAAGATAACTGCTTTTTGAATAATTAATGTTTGCACCAAGAAAAAAGCAAACTACCAGTCCTTTTTTATTTTGATATATCCTGAAAGTTTACATTTACATATGTCATTGATCTTATTTTAATAAATGTCTGAGACACCAACGATATGAAGAATTGGTAATGTGACACTGTATGTTTTACTCGAGGGACACAAATTATCGTTCACATCATATTATATACAGAAGCAGAGGAAGAATTTTAATGGGTAGTCAAATAACTATTGGCATGGAGCTGGTATATCATCGATAATCGATTTCAGTTTCTGTACCTCACTCATAGTATGTCGACCCCTGAAGATCCGGGGTAGAATAGGTCTTCAGCAACCTATGCTTGCCGTAAAAGGTGACTATGCTTGTCGTAAAAGGCGACTAACGGGATCGGGTGGTCAGGCTCGCTGACTTGGTTGATGCATGTCATCGATCCCGATTGCGTGGATCGATGCTCATGATATCAATCACTGGATTGTCTGGTCCAGACTCGATTATTTACAGACCGCCGTCATATAGTTGGAATATTGTTGAGTGCGGCGTTAAACAACATACAACAACCATCACAGTATGTCATATTGTGAACATTACAAAATGAGTTTCGTCGGAAAATCAATACGGCATTCTTTAAAATATTTTGCTGTTTTATGTGGAAACATATATATATATATGCAAAGTTATATAATTAGGTCAGCGCAACCGGGAGAAACACTCTGTATTTGCCGATTTGATTCGATATTCAAATCTCATTGCCTGGCGTACCGGGACAATTATTTATTTATTTGTCCAGGTTGGTGCAGTTGACGTTTGGACTCGATCGATCCTGCCTACCGGAACTAAAGTCATTGCTTTAGTTCACATGAATATCACCAGAAACTACGCTGTCCAAGCCCGCTTCATCGCCCAGGCAAAGGACATCGGACTCACCGACGCAAGCGGATATGACGTCATAGAGACATTTGACGGCACAAGTCTTGGTCACTTCAATCCCGGTGATACGATTGGTCCGATTGTTGTGGATCCGACGGGCGTGTCCCTGATGACAGCCACGCCCACTAGTTCTCTCCCGGAACAAAAACTAAATTATGATTAAATTTTTATTTTTTATCACATCTTTTCTTATTATGTTCAGGCTTGGCCATGACTTCCTATGACGTGGTCGTCTGCTCGTGCATTCAGTCACTGGTTTGTCTGGTCGATAACGGTATTTAAAGAGCGCCGTGATAAAGCTGGAATATTGCAGAATGCGGCATTCCCTCGCTCATTCCCACATTCAGTTATGAACACGTGATGTCAATACCCATGCGAAGTGAGTGAGTGAGTTGGGTTTAACGCTGCTTTGAACAGTATTACAATTATATCACGGCGTGTCAGCTAAATGTGGGACGGGTATGGTGCTGACAAACCAAGAAACATAATCGGGATTCAAACAAACCAGCCAATCAAGTGATGGACGTGAAAATCCAGTGACATAGCGCCTTTACTGTTTTTTCTTAAAACTGAAAGCAATACGTTAATCACAAACATCACGTTTGTATGAAACACATGCATCACTCAGTCTTTTAAAAGTAGCTTCTGCGGAACAAATATCGAGAGCTTACTATATACCTGGTGATTAAATGGCGACCTCTCATTGGACGATAAGTTCCAGGCCTGTTTCTGAATATTTAATAATCACCGAAACGTGTTCTCCGTGCACTTGATTCCCATAGATTGTGTCCAGGCAGCTTGTAAGGCAGAACAGCTGATGGCCTCGAGCGGAGTAAAGGTGAGAGATGGCTGATTGAGAGATTATATTGCTATTTGTAGCTCGAAACTGTCCCACATTCTTTGTGGTACATTGTTGTTCTGAGCGAGTGAGTGAGTGAGTTGGGTTTTACGCCGCTTTTAACAGTATTCCAGTTATATCGCGGCATGTCAGCTTAATGTGGGAGGAAAGCCCGAAGTGATACAGGTCTCAGACGTTTACAACTTCGGTGAAACCCACGAGCACGGGTATGATGCTGACAAACCTAGAAACATAATCGGGGCGAACCGGGATTCGAACCCACAATCATAGGTTTCTGGCGTGCCCAAGGGACGCAACTCTGCATAGAGAATCGCGGCGCCTTACACGACTGGGACACCCGTTCCCCCCATTGTTGTTCTGGCTGACATGTTTACATTCTACATGATGAGCATGTTTGTTTTTGTTTGATTGTTTGTTGTTTATCGCCGCACTCAGCAATATTCAAGCTATATGACGGCGGTATCTGTAAATAATCGAGTCTGGACCAGGCAATCCAGTAATTGACATCATTAGCATCGATCCACGCAATTGGGATACGATGACGTGCATCAAACCAAGTCAGCGAGCCTGACCATCCGATCCTGTTAGTCGCCTCTTACGACAAGCATAGTCGCCTTTTACGGCAAGCATAGGTTGCTGAAGACCTATTCTACCCCGGATTTTCACGGGTCCCGATGTGAATGCACATAGCATATGGATAATAGTTTAGTTCATTTATAGTGTGTTTCTGTCAAATCACACAGAACTACGGAAGCGTAGTGGGGTCACAGTGAATATTTTTTTGTCTAAGTATGTCCTACGTAGGACTTAGTATCTTCTACGTAGGACTCAGTATCTTCTAAGCAGGCCTTTTTATCTCCTACGTAGGACTTAGTATGACGTAAAACCCCATTTCACCTCACCTGTCATACGCGCAGAACGATAGTCAAGAACATGGGCGGTACGATGTCGCCAAAACGCAACGCTCCGGTTGTTCATTTACACGGAAAAACACAAGGTTGACTCAGTGTCGTGTGACTGGAGAGCGAGAGAGGTGTTCAAAAGTTCAGCATACTATCTTCAGTACACGCACGTGAGATCTATCTTATATATTGTCATAACATACTTTTCCAACAAATCGGTAACATATTTACTTAAACTCATTGCTGAGAACGAGCTATTTACTTGGGATCACGGGTTTCACTTCCGGGTGTGTTGATGTTATGATTTCTGTGTGTGTTTGTATTAACACGTGGTTGTCGTCTGATTGTAGCTATGATATACAGCAATGTGTAAATTATGCTACAGTGTATAAAACACCATGGATGAACAACTTCTTTATTACAATTAGTGCGGCTTTTCGGTGTACATCCTAACACCTTTATCAAGCAAGTGATGGATAGTGCTGAACAACATAGGTATATATACTTATTAACATCAATGTTTATACAGTAAATTGATTGGTGGACACAGAGCTGATTAAGATGATCCTAATTCACTGGCTTCCAATCATCCCAATCAGCTTCCGTGGTTCCCTGTCCCATTAGTCATTCACTGGCTTCGAATCATCTTAATCAGAAGTTGTTCATCCATAGAACGTGTCTTTCTTCATCACACCAACTTCTAAATGCCACTGAAAGAAGTTATAAAACACCAGTTTAGGGATTAAAATGTCCCTCTGACGGTGAGAATATATCGATACCCTGCAACGATTGTCAAAGGACACGACTAATGTCATCGTCATCGTCACTGTCATCGTCATCGCGTCAGGGCGTGATTATAATATCAATCACGGGTTTGTCAGGCCCAGACTCGACATGTTGCAGGTCCCCGTTGAATAGATGGAATACTAAGTTTTGATTGATTGTTTATTTGTTGTTTAACGCCGCACTCAGGAATATTCCCGCTGTATAACGGTGGTCTGTAAATTAATCGAATCTGAATTGTCAAATATTTCGAAACTTTAGCGACCCTTTTGCACGGATTACTCGTGGACAAAGAAGTGTTTATCCAGTGCATAAGTCGCAGTTACGACACGTAATGTACGTGTTGTGTGAACGTGCAGGTGGCGCACATTAAATCCACGTGGTTGTTACTATTTGTTTGTTTGTTTGTTTGTTTATTTGTTGCTTGACGCCGCACTCAAAAATATTCAAGCAATTAAAATTATCGAGACTGGACCAGACAACCTAGTGATTGACGTCATGATCATCGATCCACGCAATTGGGATCGATGACATGCATTAATCAAGTCAGCGAGTCTGACCACCCGATCCCGTTAGTCGCCTCTTATGACAAGCATAGTCGCCTTTTACGGCAAGCATGGGTTGCTGAAGACCTATTTTACCCCGGATCTTCACGGGTCACTTATTTTTGAAAAGTTGCACGCCCGATGGTCGGAAGTTTCTAAGATGATAATCCCCCACCTCATTGTTATTTTCTGAGAACTATCATTAATCGGTACTATTCTGATGTTTACCCTTTTGTTACTTGTGATCGTTAGTCATGAAAACTATGGACTGACAACATTTTATCTGGTCTGGTTTCCTTGCAAATTTGCCAGTCTGGTTGTCTGACTGAAAGTTAGGGGAATTCTATACACTGCAAATTCACAAAACAATGTACTGAACACGACTATGTTCAGTCGTGATGTACCTAAACTGACAGATCCAAGCTGAGGCTATCAATACGACTACTAGACTAGTGGGGGCACGGGTGGCCCAGTCGTCTGAGGCGCCGCGATTCGCTGTGCAGAGTTGCCTCCCTTGGGCACGCCTGAAACCTATGATTGTTGGTTCCAATCCCGTTTCGCTCCGATTATGTTTCTAGGTTTGTCAGCACCATACCCGTGCTCGTGGGTTTCACCGAAGTGGAAAACGTCTGAGACCTGAATCACTTGGGGCTTTCCTCCCACATTAAGCTGACATGCCGCGATATAAGTGGAATACTGTTAAAAGCGGCGTTAAACTCACTCACACACTAGACTAGTTTAGCTCTCATTATACGCCCGCTTTAATTAACGTTAATGAATGCAGATTCCGGATTTGGTGGTTTATGTCACAGGGGCTTGTAACGCAAATATAGCAGCTACAAAATATATGGTCACACCCAGTGTCAGTATACTATATAAAGGATCCTTTTATATAGTATACTGACACTGGATGTGACCATATATCTTGTAGCTGCTATTTTTGCGTTACAAGTCCCTGTGGTTAAGACCCGTTAAGACTCCGGGGTAGAATAGGTCTTCAGCAACCCATGCTTGCCGTAAAAGGTGACTTTGCTTGTCGTAAAAGGCGACTAACGGGATCGGGTGGTCAGGCTCGCTGACTTGGTTGATGCATGTCATCGATCCCAATTGCGTGGATCAATGCTCATGATATCAATCACTGGCTTGTCTGGTCCAGACTCGATTATTTACAGACCTGAGTGCGGCGTTAAACAACAAGCCAACCAACCAACCCTGTGGTTTAAGTAATGAGCTTTTTTCACTTCCTTTTCGGTTATCTCCCTGCACAATTTCTTTTCTTCGCTTTCTCTGTTTGACGTTTTAGGAGTGTGTGGTAAACTTGAGTTGGTTTCCAAGCTTATATTTCTGTTGTCTACGTACAGGTGGCGAGCCAAGTTCCATAATGATGAAACTGTTGACGTTCATTGCTGGAGTAAGTGTTGTCGCTGCCCTTGACAATGGCCTAGCTCGCACTCCACCAATGGGGTGGTTGTCATGGGAACGCTTTAGATGCAACCTTGACTGCAAAAATGACCCGGACAATTGTATCAGGTAAGTAGGCCATGACATATCTTTTCACGTTTTATCGCGGTTTGATTACTGATTTTATTGTTTTGTGTTAAATATGTTTTTGTAAAGTGTTGTACCGCGGGTACATCGATATTCTCCGCCCGCCAGGCAGAAGCAAATATTATCACCATCTTCAGTGATTTTTAAAGAAATGAGTGAGTTGGGTCTTTGAATAGTTATTGCACAGCGTGTAAGCTTAATGTATATGTTGAAGCATGGCTTCAAGTTGTATAAGTCTGAGACTTAACCACGGGTATGATCCTGACTCAACTAGAATCATAATCAGGGCGATTCATAGGATCCTGACACGCCTAAGGGACGTAACTCTGCACAGTGAACAATATGTATTTACTCACTCGAACACCACCTATTGGCTCACTCTACACCATTTCTGTGATTTTAAGCTGAAAGATCAAAGACGCCGACTGTACTTTATCTCTGCGGTTAAGTGCACTTTTTGTGCTACGTCATAATGGGCTTACGTCATGAGGCTGTTCAATTGACCTTGCCCGTGATCTGACATATTATTTGAAAGAATGAATGAACTGGCGTAGACTTATTGAGATTCCTGTCTGCTGCACTATTTCAGTGAGAACCTGTACATGAGAATGGCGGATATCATAGCGGCGGAGGGATACAAAGACGCGGGTTACCAGTATGTGTGTGTAGACGACTGTTGGCTGGCGAAGTCACGTGACAGTAATGGACGCCTGCAGCCCGACCCTGATAGATTCCCGCATGGCATGAAGGCATTGGCTGACTATGTATGTGGTTGCATTATCTGACAATAAAATTCAAAAAGGGATTGAGCATATCGAACGATGACAAAATAAATATAACATTTTGGTCCACTCATTCATTTTGGAAAAGGTGATTGCTTCAAGGTCAGTGATTCACTGTTATTTGCTTCATTGAAACAGAAACCAAATTTACCGATATATGGTTTCTGATCGAAAATATGTAAAATGTATCCCCATTTATGCATTAAATGCATTAATCATTTATTTTTCAAACCAGGATATATCCTCTTCGTCCATCAATCCTAAATATTGAATGCTACAGGTCCACTCAAAAGGCCTGAAGTTCGGAATCTATGAGGATGTCGGATCGGAAACTTGCGCAAGGTACCCTGGGAGTAGAGGTCATTATCAGACTGATGCGCTGACATTTGCTGAGTGGGGGATAGACCTGTTGAAGTTTGATGGATGTAATATTAAACCAGAGGACTTTGCGGAAGGTGTGTATTAGGGATGAAACGGAACACCAAGGCCACGATACGATACGTATCACGATACGCACATTACGTGAAATCGCATTCTTGAATATTTCATGAGCAGGTTCCAAAGGAAAAGCTAGCTGCAGACACATGTTCGTAGCTGCTGTCATCATCCAGCACCCCCACTGGATCAGACGACCCGTGAAGATCCGGGGTAGAATAGGTCTTCAGCAACCCATGCTTGTCGTAAAAGGCGGCTATGCTTGTCGTAAGAGGCGACTAACGGGATCGGGTGGTCAGACTCGTTGACTTTGTTGATGCATGTCATCGTATTCCAGCTGCGGGGATCGATGTTCATGATGTCAATCACAGGATTGTCTGGTCCAGACTCGATTATTTAAAGAGACTGCCGTCATATAGCTGGAATGTTGCTGAGTGCGGCGTTAAACAACAACAAACAAAACAAACAAACACTGGATCAGACTCGATTTTATATATTTGTTTTGTTTTATCACACATATTTATCATTTTTCAATATCATTGACAAGACTTCAGTTGATAGTGCATCTACCCGACATATATTACCAGAACCGGCTGACCTATAAACTCGTTCATGTTGTCTAGGTTACAGTGAAATGGGATTTTACCTGAACAAGACGGGTCGGCCAATCCTGTACTCGTGTGAGTGGGCGATAGGCGACATCATGCACGGCCGGAAGGTAAGCCTCTTCATCGACTGTCTCCTACACATCACATCACTACTGTACCTTGCTCAAACACTATATCGACCACCAGTAGGACCACGTACACCTTAACTGTTCATCATAACCGTTATAAATATTTTCACCTGTAATCAGCTTAATCACTGGATTGTCTCGTCCAGACGCGATTACTCACAGACTACCGTCATGTAGCCTGAATATTACTTCTACTTCTACTACTACTACTATCGCTGCTACTACTGCTTCTACACCTATTATTATTACTACTACTACTACTACTACTACTACTACTTCCCGAAGCAAGAGAGTTAACTGACCTAAAAAGCCCAGTTTCCACCCTTGCCGAACTGGAATTGCTGGGCTCTATCGTAGCACCACCAGTGACTGTTACGAGTTATGTCCCTTTTATGCCTCTCCTAAGGACCTATCATATCTCCAATTGACCACCTCTCGTATCACTTGCATTGGCTTCAAACAAAATGGCGGCGATCAGTCAAGACGATCTGATCGATAATCAAGATCTATATTGTGATAAAACGGTTCTTACATCGCGAAGTATATCAAATCACGTGAGCACCTTGACAATCTTTTGACAACGAGTTAGCGGTGCACATGCTTTGCAAATCCTGCAGTCGACCGAAATCTGCATGACAGTTTACGAAACGGATTTCGGATAGCGCGATTTTGACTGGACTATGCATAAACTCGTCAGTCCAGCCAAATCTAACTCCATGTGTGTGTGTGGAGGTGTGTGTGTGTGTGTGTGTGTGTGTGTTATTAAATTTGGACTCGTCCCACCCCTAATGGGGGGTGTTTGATAATTTTGATTTGCAGGTGAAGGGTGAACATACACTGGACCCAGTGAACCTTTTCACCTCTGATCTACTTACACTCAATCACTGTCTCTTCAGGCCAACTATACTGCAGTGATGGAGATTTGTAATACGTGTAGGAATGCCATTGACCTCAACGATCAGTGGGAAAGTATCGTCAGGATCTTCAACGTCTACGCCAAAGACGTCGGCAACTTCAGCAAAATAGCCGGGCCCGGGGGCTGGAATGACCCGGATGAGGTAAGAAGAACGATTTCCGGCAATTTTTCAACATTTTGGGGAAAAGAAAATGTGTTCAAGTTATCAATAACTAAATATGTTGTAATCGTAAATATAATAATGATTATATGGCTTTTGAAACCTATATCAGTAGGAATTACGGAATACGCAATTGGGATACGATGACATGCATCAACCGAGTCAGCGAGCCTGACCACCCCATCCCGTTAGTCGCCTCTTGCGACAAGCATAGTCGCCTTTTAGGGCAAGGATGGTTTGCTGAAGACCCCGGATCTTCACGGGTGTCACGGAATCGAAAACACCTCGTCTAAGACCTGCATCACTTCGGGTTTTCCTCCCACATTAAGCTGACACAGTACAGCCTACAAAACACTCCTACCATGCAGCAGTTTCAATACATTTTTAGACTCGTGAAGATCCGGGGTAGAATAAGGTCTACTGCAACACATGCTTGCAGTAAAAGGCGACTGTGCTTGTCGTAAGAGGCGACTAACTGGATCGGGTGGTCAGGCTCGCTGACTTGGTTTAAGCGTGTCATCGTATCCCAATTGCGTTGATTGATGCTCATGATGTTACTGGATTGTCTGGTCCAGACTCGATTATTTACAGACCTCCATCATATAGCTGGAATATTGCTGAGTGCGGCGTTAAACAACAAACCCCACATTTTTATGTGTTTCCAGCTAGTGATAGGCGACTTCTCACTCAGCCCTGACCAGGAACGAACACAGATGGCGCTGTGGTCGATGTGGGCAGCGCCACTGCTCATGTCTGTAGACCTACGTAACATCCGGCCGGAGTCAAAGAATCTCCTTCTCAACAAAGGACTGATTGCTGTCAACCAGGACCCGCTTGGAGTCCCGGGATCTGTTAGAATGACGGTATGTCTTGATTTGATTTTTGTGTGACCTGATGCGATTCTACTGTACTGTACTTGAAAATACATATATGAATGATAAGGGTCCCCTTTGGTGTCTTTTAAGTTTTGGAAAACTTTAAAATATTAATATGAAAATTGTCCAAATGTTCAGATACGTAGGTAAGGCGAAAATTAGCATGAGTCAAAGACTTGATCATGTTCAAATACACTAAACTACGGTTATAACGAACAGGCTTATAACGAACTGACGGATATAACGAACTTACTTTTTAGTCCCGACTATTTGCTGTAGTTATGCTGTATATATGCTTATAACAAACTACGGTTATAACGAATTAAAATTTGTAGTCCCTTTGAGTTCGTTATAACCGTAGTTTACTGTATTGTAAAAATACATCCTGAAAACCACCATTTTGACACACTGTATCCTTGCCTATGAATTAAGTGTTGTCAGAAGTCCCAAACATTCAATTGTTGAATGAAAAAGTTGTCATTCAAATGATCATCTCTGAAAACTTTCGTAACAATTTCTATTGGTTTCGTTCAATTGTTAAACCTTCTGATTCAAAACGGCCCTTGTCCTACATCGTCATTACACAGTGGATAACAGAGGGTGGTGTTGCCTTTCAGCTTGCGCCTGTGACGTGACGTCCAACGCTTTCAACGTTCTTTTCTGTCTTATCTGTTTCAGATTGACCAGTTTTCTATTTGGACTCGGCCTGTCATCCCCAAAGGAAGCGTTGCCACAGTTTTCTTTAACCAGCAGACTGGTGGTACTCCGCGGAATATCTCAGTGCCAATGTACCTCCTCGTAGATGGCACGGCATCTCACTACCTCATCACTGATACATTCACAGGGTCTAAACTAGCAAGGCTGGCGTATTTGCAGTCCTTGACAGTGCGTGTTAATCCGACTGGTGTTGCCATGGTAAAGATGACCCCAGCGTGATGATTTTGGGAGAAGGATTACACCACGATTGTATGTCCCAGATTGATCTGCAATAGACACGTCATCAAGACTGTCCCACTGAGACCTGACTCAGTTTTTATAAGCATTTCTCCTGTCTGTAGTTATATAGATGTATATGTATATACTCTGAAGGATGCTGTGTCATCATTTGAAACACTGACTGTTGTTTCATGCCAATCTATGCTCAAGTAGACGATGGCTACGTGATAGTGTTGTTACATTCAAGTCTATTGTAACATAGGCTTTGACTATTTACACGCCAATCCATTGTTTAAACGTTAATTATATCGTTGTGGCTGTGGCTGTAGTTGTGGCTGTAGCTGTGGTTATTGCTGTGGCTGTGGCTGTGGCTGTGACTGTAGCTGTGGCTATTGCTGTGGTTGTGGCTGTGACTGTAGCTGTGGCTATTGCTGTGGTAATGGCTGTGACTGTAGCTGTGGCTATTACTGTGGTTGTGGTTATGGCTGTGACTAGCTGTGGCTATTGCTGTAGTTATGGCTGTGACTGTAGCTGTGGCTGTGGTTATGGCTGTGACTGTAGCTGTGGCTATTGCTGTGGCTGTGGTTATGGCTGTGACTGTAGCTGTGGCTATTACTGTGGCTGTGGTTATGGCTGTGACTAGCTGTGGCTGTGGTTATGGCTGTGACTGTAGCTGTGGCTATTACTGTGGCTGTGGTTATGGCTGTGACTAGCTGTGGCTGTGGTTATGGCTGTGACTGTAGCTGTGGCTATTACTGTGGCTGTGGTTATGGCTGTGACTGTAGCTGTGGCTGTGGTTACTGTTGTGGCTGTGGCTGTGACTACTACATGTACATATTTAGCAGAGTGCATACTTTTTATTGCTTTTCTCCTTAACGATGTTTGTTTGTTGCTTAACGCCGCGCTGTAATAAGTGAATTACTTTCTAAATAGTTGGTTGGTTTGTTGTTTTACGCCGCTCTCAGCAATATTCCAGCTATATGAAGGCGTTCTGTTAATAATCGATTCTGGACCAGACAATCTAGTGATTGACATCATGAGCATCGATCTACACACTTGGGTACGATGACATGTATCAACCCAGTCACGGAGCCTTACGACGAAGACCAATTCTAACCCAGATCTTCACAGGTCCATAACAATATATAACCATTTTCAAGACAAGCGTCAGTCCTGACCACGTTTATACGGAGGGAAACCTCACCTTCCGAATGGGTACCCTTGGGACTACTCACATGTATATAAAGTAAAAGTATAGGGCTCCAGCAACCTGAACGGCGGCGGTCCCATTGATTTGTTTATTTGTTTTGTTTGTTTGTTGTTTAACGCCGCACTCAGCAATATTCCAGCTAAATGAGGGCGATCTGTAAATAATCCAGCCTGGACCAGATTGACATTTGAACTACCACCCGCGCCGTCAGACCACCATCAACCAAGTCGATCCTGACAATCCTTTTGACCGCCTTTAAGGGGGAGTACGGTTTGATGGGGATCATTTCTAGCCCAGAAACCCCCCATGTTGTTAAAATGACGTTATTGCAGTGACAACGAACTGTGTACTGAGTTTACTTGTAACATGTTTCTAAACAATGCCAACAAATTATATATCATTTTTTGGCATTCACTGGAATTGGGAGCTGCTAGGGTATTGATGCACCGATGTATTGTGTAGTTGTATAGGAGTGTGTTTTTTACATTAAATACATTCTCTATGAAAATGTAATCTTGAAGTTCATGGTTATTATACCCCGCCACGAAGTGGAAGGGGGATAAAGGAATGGGTACTGTCCTTTCGTCCTTCCGTCCGCCCATCCGACAGGTTTCGTTTCCGAAGCAGAACTCCAAAACCATGAGAGAAATCTTAACGAGACTTGGCACATAGATAGGTCTAGTGGTGAACTGGTGACTTGATAGTTTCGGATTTTTGAAAAAAATATTTTTCGAGTTTCCATGGCAACGACTTTGACTAAAAGAAAGCGGGGGGGTCTCTTTTCCAGAGCAGATCTTGAAAACAGCACAATATTTCTTGCCTTACACACAACCGGACATGTCATATAGGCGGGGGATGGGAGTATTTCATGCTTGTTTGTATTGGTGATATGCCATGTGAACTATTATTTTAAACAGACGGGCGATGAATGCGAACCTATTCATGTGAGTGGAGTACTGAACCAAGTATATCGCCCAGCGCTGGTACATGTGCGCGTGGTTTAAATGAACTGACGTATAGAAATTAACAGTGCACAGTGATAATTATTGACCATACAGTGGCAAAGTTGTTTGCTCGGTAAAATGTTTTTTACGCAACGTCATGACATAAACGAGTATTTCAAGACTGAGAAGGTATTTGTTTGTCATATGGGTCAATATGATTTGTGAAAGGCGGGAGTGGGGAGGGGCCGAACTCCGTGACCACGCCCTGTTTCCCCGACAGTAGCCACCGCATACACCCACCCGGTTCCGACATTGAAGTGTACCAGGGGGATACATAATCAGTATAGGTAAACGGACAACGGCTGTGTCTGAACGACCGCCTTTTACCAGAGTCGGGCCTCTCCTTAAATAAATAAAACGTCTTAAATGCATAGGCGGGTTCAGAGGCGGGGTCCACCCCACCACCCCCTCTTTTGAAAACCAAATGTAGTATGTTATAGATTATAGACAGTAAAATTTTCTGAGAAAGGATTTTGATATTTTGGACCTCTCCCTTTTAAAATTGCTGGATCCGCCCTTGAAATGTAAATTATTGACTATATGGGCTGCTTATATGACAAACTCCACAAATGTTAGTATCGTATAAAATCCCTAAATATTTCCCTCAATGAAAACTGTATCTCATGTGCCCATACTATGAACGCGGCCTTTTTGTACGTTTAAACGTCCATGATAAAACACTAGGTTTATAGGTACACGTTTATAATGAGAAATCGTAACCACACACCTAATCAACGTACACTCCAATTCCCTAGTAAATCCAAAAAGTAGAGGCAATGAAAACTTCTTTGCGGTTAATAGGAAACGTACGTGAAATGTATCCAGGTTAGATTGTAACGAAATACTAAAAACCAGTAATTGGAAACAGAAACGAATCGCCAAAACGCATCCCGGAATCACTGACGCGCTTCGCAACCCGGTCGCCTTTCAACGTAGCGCGTCGAGCGGACAAGGGGATATCCGAACCTGCGTTTCTCCCAACAGGTATATTATAGAAAAACCACAACATATCCGTATGTCTGACATGTAGATCTATTAACACTCATGCCAATTTGTTCTTCACATCATGTGACGCGAAGCAACAATGACTCAGCCGGACCGATTAACTCCGGGTGGAGCCGAGAATATTACCTCGATTCTTGTGTGTCAGTTAGTGCGAGTTATTGTCGTAGTGTGTCATTAGGCGTGTTATATAATCTTAGTTTCAATAACATCACTTGGATTATATCTTGAGGTGAATATGTCCAAGTGTTGCTGGAATGGTAGTGACTACATACATGTATGTACACCCTCCCAGGAATGCTTTTAATTGATTTATTTTGTATAGTGAAGCGATTTAATTTTTATGCCCCAGAAGTGGAGAACAGTTTGTTGTTCGTTCACTGTCGTCTGTCTTCGCTCCTAGCTATATATCCTCCGTTCATATATTGATTTAGTGTACACAAACGGAAGAGTGTATTAACTTTATATCTTTTCAAATGTGTCACGTTCAGGAATGAATTGTAGCCTATTGGTATATTTTGTCTACATTGCATGGTGTAGCCATGTCTTATTCATTCAACACTATGTCTACATACGAGACAGTAAGTTTATTCTCGTCTGCGTGAGTCCCTGTGAATTGGCTTCACATATGCTTTGTACTAACGGAAGGAGTTCAGTGGTTGCGTTCGTACGCTTATGCTAGGTATATATGTCTAAGGAATGTACATTAGTATTTATTTTGTATGTTACAACGTGTATATTTCATGTTCAGAGAAATAGATTGCAGTCTTTTCGTCAGTCGCCACTCCTACAGCCCAGTAGCCCTCGTTCATATAGTGTTTCAATGCAAATAAGCGGATAGAGTCTATTGACCTACATAAAAGACCTGCGTGTAGTGTTTCTTCCGCATGACCCGATTGTGTTGAAAGGATAAAGAAACAGTCATAGACGTTTGTTAATATTGAGATATGTTGGTATTGTCATGTATTTGTAGTTATTTCGGTGTGAGAGTTAGACATAACAGTTTCCATACAGACCCCATACCCCCAGAGAGCCCCACATCAGCCTGTGGGGTATGGTATGACGAGCAGACGACGCACGAAGGGGCGTAACTCCAATTTCTTACCACCCGGGCTGATTGCCCATTCAAAATGCATTGTCTTACCTCCATGTCAGAATGATGAGTTCTGATTAAAAAAAAAATGTCAACGAAACACACCTGACACTGCACAAGTTTTTACCATTCGTCATCACTCTCATGTTTCCGTACAACGAGGCTTGTCCCGGAATGGAATGAGTTGATCACAAATGAAAGTTAACCTCAACTCAATCGAAACGCTTTTTTCTATCAGTTTTCAATTCTTTTTAAATTTTATTTTACAATGGCAGATTGTAACATGTCGGCAATATGAATTTGTTGCAGCAGCATCCGGCTAAGTTGTGTGTGTGTGTGTGTGTGTGTATGTATGTTTGTGTGTGTGTGTGGGGGGGGGGGGGGGGGGGGGGGGGGGGGGGGGGGGAGGTGTTGGTGATTGTCTACAGCATACCATATTTGGATTTCAAAATGTATGTGTCACACAGTGTCTGTCGATGCTCATGACATCAATCACTTGTTTGTCTGGTTCAGGGGTTATTGAAATATGGGTTACAAAGTATATGACATGCAAATACCTGTCGATAATAGGTTTAATTATTTTAATATTTTGTAATTTTGTGTGATCTAACCTGACGTTCTCGTCTTTCCGCTCAGAAACAGAAACTGGCTGCACGAGAGACGGGAGTTGCAACGACTGACTGAGTATGGTTTTACGCCGCTTTTAGCAATATTCCAGCAATATCACGGCGGGGGACACCAGAAATGGGCTTCACACATTGTACCCATGTCGGGAATCGAACCCGGGTCTTCGGCGTGACGAGCGAACGCTTTAACCACTAGGCTACCCGACCGCCCCGGAGTTGCAACGAACAACTTCCTTTTGAAGCAGAGCCCTACAGTGTCTGTACTCCTTGTATTTCTGTTCAAGACTTTAGGGTGACAAGCCAAATACCGACATGGAGTCGTCGACGTTGCTGATGCTTATTGCTGTTGGTACTGTTGCTGTCCGTGCCCTTGACAATGGTCTAGCGCGCACGCCGCCGATGGGTTGGTTGTCATGGGAACGTTTCAGATGCAACTTAGACTGTCTAAATGACCCAGATAACTGTATCAGGTATGTCATAAACTACTCTTGTTTATTTTAGAAAATAGGGGTAGAATAGGTCTTCAGAAACCCATGCTTGCCCTAAAAGGCGACTATGCTTGTAGTAAGAGGCGACTAACAGGATCGGGTGGTCAGGCTCGGAAGCATGTCATCGATCCCAATTGCGTGGATCGATGCTCATGATATCAATCCCCGGATTGTCTGGTCCAGTCTCGATTATTTACAGACCGCCGTTATATAGCTTGAATATTGCTGAGAGCGGCGTAAAACAACAAACCAACCAACTGTTTAGAAAATAAATCGCATATTACATCGTATATGTATTATGCGAAATATCGGTGCGTAATCTTTGAAGAACTTTGTATCCGAAATGTTATGCACCGGAACAACTCGTTCCGTCTCGAACCCCCGGCGGTTTACACATGATGTGGGGTACTAAACGCAAATCCTTCACTGAACCAGTTTGGGCCTACAATGTAAACCGTTCACATTCATAACTTCACTGTGCAGAGTTGCGTCACTTACGCATGCCGGAAACCCCTGATAGTGGGTTCGAATCCCGGTTCTCCCTGATTATGTTTCTAGGTCTGTCAGCACCATACCTGTGCTCGTGGATTTCACCGTCTGAGACCTGCATCACTTCGGGATTTCCTCCCACAGTAAGCTGACAAAACTGGAATACAGTTAAAGGCGGCGTTAAACTCAACTCAGTCACTCAGTCACTCACATCCATAATGCTCTTGGTTTTGGCCGATATATCGTTGTAGGGAGCTTGGGGAATAAGATTCGTACACACAACAGTGACACAACAGTGACGTCACGTGTAGATGTTATTCATCAATCTCTATCGGCTATTTCCGTCAATCCTGGAAAAAAGGCTTTGAATATATTTGGAATAGGGGTAAGGCTGGCAGGCTTTCAACTGGTGAAAGCATCCAGCAAGGTATCTGATCGATACCTAAAATTAATAGTTCTCTGTGAAAATTACTCAGACCTCTGCTGCACTATTTCAGTGAGAACCTGTACATGAGGATGGCGGACATCATAGCGGCGGAGGGATACAAAGACGCGGGTTACCAGTATGTGTGTATTGATGACTGCTGGTTGTCCAAGTCACGTGACAGTAATGGCCGCCTGCAGCCCGACCCTGATAGATTCCCACATGGCATGAAGGCATTGGCTGACTATGTAGGTTGTTTCAGTTTCTGTTTATTTGTTTGTTGTTTAACGCTGCACTCGGCAATATTCCAGCTGTATGACGGCGATCTGTAAATAATCGTGTCTGGCCCAGACAATCCAGTGATTGACATCATGAGCATCGGTCCACGCAATTGGGATACGATGACATGAATCTACCAAGTCAGCGAGCCCGACCACCCGATCCCGTTTTTATAGCCTCTTACGACAAGCATGTTGTGTGGAATGACGTGATTCAATTCCAAGGGAAAACCTGGATTATGATCCTTGGTTTACCCACACTCTACCTGTGTTCGCTGAAGTGGTAAACGTCTTCGACCTGTGCAACATTGCATAATATCTGGTCCAACCCTCCCACTCCCCCTACCCATAAACATCATTAAGCCATCACCACATTATATTCTTGCTCACTTGGTTGCTATATTGCATCTTATTCCACCCAACTGCGTAGACTGAAGCTCATGTTGCCATTCACTTGATCTTCTGGTCCAGACTCAATTATTTACCGACCTCCGTCTTATAGCTGGAATATTGCTGAGTGCGGTGTTAAACGCCCTACCAACCAACCAACCGACCAGCCAACCAACCAACCAACCAAACCCATTACATCACTACCATGTGAACTTGGGTGATTTCGTGTTACGTGTCGCCCCAAATACTAAAGATCTCCTAAGTTGGGATTCTGGGGCAGCATTGGTCCTATGTATATCAAGTTTATCGTGAAGGGCGACTAAACAGTCCTGGGTGGTCAAGGCTCGGTGACCTGGTTGATTGTGTGTAATCGTACCCGGTCGACTTTGGACTGTGCTCATTATATCTATCACTGGTCTGTCTGGCCCAGTCTTAATTACCCTCTGATAAAGCTGAAGCATTGCTTATTGTGACCTAAGACAGTCAAACTAACACAAGAAACAAAATAACAAAGTCATGCAAATGAGACGACGATCTGTTTCTTTCTTTGTTTTGCATGTACAGTAAACTACGTTTATAACGAACACGCTTATAACGAACTGGCGGATATAACTAACTGGTTTTTAGGTCCCTGCCATATGCTGTCTATATGCTTATAACGAACTACGGTTATAACGAACTAAAATTTGTGGTCCCTTTGAGTTCGCTATAACCGTAGTTTACTGTATGTGGTTGGTGGTCCTTGTTTCAGATCCACTCCAAAGGTCTCAAGATTGGCATCTATGAAGACGTGGGGTCAATGACATGCGCAAAGTACCCAGGAAGTGAAGGTCACTATGAGATCGACGCGCAGACATTTGCAGAGTGGGGGATTGACCTGCTGAAGTTCGATGGATGTAACATTAACCCTGATGATTTTAACAAAGGTTCGCATTTTAATCTTGGTATCCATGACCTGTAACATGACTGTGTAGATCTGGTTTAGAGCTGGTCTTCAGAAAGACATGCTTGTCCTAAGAGGCGACTAACGGCTTAGGATGGTCAGGCTCGCTGACGTGATGCATTTCATAGAAGCCAATGTATCGACACCGTGAAGCGCCGAGACCTCACCAACCCATGCTTGTGGTAAGAGGCGACTATGCTTGTCGAAAGACGCGACTAACGGGATCGGGTTGTCAGGCTCGCTTACTTGGTTGATGCATGTCATCGTATCCTAATTGCGTAGATCGATTCTCATATTGTCAATCACAGGATTGTCTGGTCCAGACTTGATTATTTACAGACCGCCGTCATATAGCTGAAATATTGCTGAGTGGCGTTAGACAACAAACAGAACACAGTGTATCGATAATGGACAGGCCGCCGTCATATAACTACTATTGAGTGAGGTCTTAAACTGCAAACAAACATAACAAGGAACGATAGTTTAATACGTCAATAGAACATGCATGTCGGTACCAAAGAAGAAACTTGATCAAGCTACACCTTGTATTTGAGTGAGTGAGTATGGTTTTACGCCGCTTTTCCTGCAATATCACGGCGGGGGACACCAAAGTGGGCTTCACATATTGTACCCATGTCGGTAGTCGAGCCCGGGTCTTCGGCGTGACGACTTGTATAAGAAGCCGGGGTTCAATGGTGTAGGTGTTTAGCACTACTTTATTGAGATATATACAACAGGTTCACAGTGTCATGTTTATTAGGTTTGATTATTCATAGCCTATGCTCACTAATATTACCTTAATGTGTTGTCTAGGTTACCGAGCAATGGGGTTTTACCTGAACCAGACCGGCCGGCCCATCGTGTACTCTTGTGAGTGGGCTCTTGGGGATGTACTGCATCGTCGTCCGGTGAGACATCACAGCTTGATATAACTGGAATACTGTTAAAAGCGGGGTTAAACCCAACTCAATCATTTACTTTTAAGCGGCGCCGGCGAGTGTATATTTTACATAATGTGTCCATTATTCATTCAACCCTTTATTCAGCATTCAACATTTTGAGACATTGATGTGAAGCTGATCTCAATTAAATGAGATCTTTATTTCGATCAGATACAACTCTTGCAAGCAGGATGACATCGGCAAGCTTTGAAATCAATGGTCGCTATACCAACAATCGTTGGACAATTAGATCATCTTCTTTGGCTGATAGCTGCGCTATAAACAACTATTAATGCAAATTCTGTCACCTACCTTATTTATATAATGTATCATTGCAACTTCGACAATGATAATTACCATCTTAGCGTCATCTACATGGTAATATACTTCAGGCCGACTACAAAGCAGTCCTGGATGTTTGCAATACCTGTAGGAACTACAACGACATCAACGACCAGTGGGAAAGTATCGCCAATGTCATCAACTACTACGCCAAAGACGTCGGCAACTTCAGCAAGATAGCCGGGCCTGGAGGCTGGAATGACCCAGATGAGGTATGAAGAACCTTTGATGATTCCACGTTAGCATGGATCCCTAGCAACCCTTCCGTACCTTGTCCTAGGCGGCTAAATGGATCAATCTCATACAACTCAGATCTTACCGCTGAACAAAGATCTGATGACATCCCATCACGGTCACGACGGACCTTTCGCGAAGCTTGACTGACCAATGGAATGACTGACAAGAAACCGACATTTGCCAATCTTTCTCACTATTTTCAAACTTTGAAACATATTTGGACTAATTCTCCATTAAAACATTGGTGACGGAAAACGAACAATCTGGAATGGCTAATAGATAGCCTAGATTGTATGGATTCAGTCATGAAGCTCGTAACTGCCGTTCGGAATACCCGTGTTAAATCTTTCGAGGCTGCATGATCAGAAATCACATCCCGACAGTCACTTCCATGATCTGGTAAGCGACGCTCTGAGTGGTCTGATGAAAGGTCGTTCTGACATGACCCGTAATGGGATCTCCTCAGATCTTTTTTAGCAGTAGCGAGAACAAACATTTGATTTGAATGAGATTGCTAAATGGATAGGGTGGCCAGGCTCGATGACCTGGAAAGCGTGGCAATGGGACACACCGTGATTGACAACATGAGCATCGATCTACGCAATTGAGCCACGCAATTGGGATACGATGACATGCATGAACCAAGTCAGCGAGCCTGACCACCCGATCCCGTTAGTTGCCTCTTACGACAAGCATAGTCGGCTTTTACGGCAAGCATGGGTTGCTGAAGACCTATTCTACCCCGGATCTTCACGGGTCTTAGGTTTTATGTCACAGCAGGTCAACAACATGTCATGAAATACTAGCTGTGAGCTAATGAATTTCATATCATAATCCGATAATGTTAAAATTGGAAATTGGACAAAAAATGCAAAAATAATTATTGTCCTCCCCACAATAATTGTTTCTGTGTGTAGATGGTTATTGGGGACTTCTCACTCAGTCCTGACCAGGAACGAACACAGATGGCGCTGTGGTCGATGTGGGCAGCGCCACTGCTCATGTCTGTGGACCTACGTAACATCCGGCCGGAGTCAAAGAATCTCCTTCTCAACAAAGGACTGATTGCTGTCAACCAGGACCCGCTAGGAGTCCCGGGATCTCTTCGCATGACGGTTAGTTTTTGTAAATAAATTTCATAATCTGTGCATAGAAACATAAAAATACACAAAATGTTAAAGAAAGAAAGTGCTGATTCAGTTTGTTTCTTTAAATGTAAAGCCTTTGGATTCTCTTCTCATATTATCACAAAAAATAGAATTGTTTAAAATATTTTTACTTTACTTGACATTTATGTAATTTTACATTGATTTTCCCCCGAAGTAGATCGACGAGCCTTTTAGCATTTGAAATGGAAAAAAAGGAAGAAGTGAAAATGGCAGTTTGTTCGAATAGTCAGGTGTCGATTTGACACAATGTATATAGGTTAGCCATTTCAAACGCATCAATCTATTGTCTTTTTGAAATTTGAAACTTTCCTGTGTTAGGTTGGTTAACACGTGAAAGTGGAAAATATGTTGAATATAATTACGTGGGATTTTTGTAATAAAGGTTAAGAATTAATATTGCATATTGAACTTAGGTTAGCAATTTAGCAAAAGTATTGAGCTGAGATTTGAAAATTTATTTTTGTCTGCATCAGGTTGGTCAGATTTCGATTTGGACACGACCCATTTTGCCCAAGGGCAGTTTCGCCGCCGTGATGTTCAACACAGGCCAAGGGGGCGCTCCCAGAAACGTGACCGTTCCCATGTACCAGCTGGTCGACGGGTCACAGTTGTCCTACCTCGTGACAGATACCTTCACCGGGAGTAAACTGGCAGTGCTGAGCCTCTTACAGGGCTTAACAGTCCGTGTAAATCCTACAGGAGTCGTAATGGTGACAATCACTCCAGCATGATGACTGACGTCCAGGAAAGTCTCGGTGTGTTTGCAAGGAATCTATTAATGTACATGAAATGAAACGACATCACTTGAGATCTGACCATATGACTGACCATTTCAAGCGTTTTTTTCATTTTGCAATATATTTTGTGCAAACTTGAGAAAACTTTTGCAACGGTAAGTCAGACATGAATCTTTACGTGTAAATATTGAAAGGATGGTGTAACTTGAGGTACTATCTTTATGTTGAACGAGAGAGTAAAACCGGATTTGTTTTCAGATAGGAATGGGTGAAACGTGAATGTATTTCAAGTTAAAGCAACAACAATGTACTTTAATGTTGATTATTTTGATGTATTGTATTGTTTGTTGTTTAACGCCCCACTTAGCAAAATTCGAGCTGTATGACAGCGGTCTGTAAATAATCGAGTCTGGACAAGACAATCCAGTGATTGACATGCATCAACCAAATCAGCGGGCCTGACCACCTGATCCCGTTAGTCGCCTCTTACCACAAGCATGGTCGCCTTTTACGGCAAGCATGGGATGCTGAAGACCTATTCCACCCCGGATCTTAAGGGGTCTGATGATTTTGAGCGTTGCACTGGAAGACACTTGTGTGACAATCCCTAGGACAGTGAAGTATGTATCTTGTGATTTAACGCTGGAGTGGGCGTATGTATAGATCCACGCTATATATCGATTACGTTCACCAGATTATATTCACTCACGTGTCTTCATCATCCTGATCTCATTTACAGCCTCTTGTGACCCGTCTGTGGGTGTCACGATTATGTAGGTACATCTAGGAAGTCCAGGTCATACGAATTCACTACCAACAGTTTGTCAAAGCATACGTTTCATTGGCCATGGAGATTTGGGGTCACACAAGTCTCGAGGAACCTGTGCTAGTCGTATGAGGAGACTAAAATCGGGGATCTGGTATGGGATACATCAATATTAATTACTATTTTTCCTGGCTTAGAATCGATTCTGTACAGGCCACCGCCATATATGTGGACTAGTTGAGTTCCACCTAAAACAACAAACAAACGGATTTCATGCATTATCTGTCACCTTCACAACAAACTGATCACTGGGGCTGCCCACCCGATCCCGTTACTCGCCTCTTTCAGCAAGGACGGGTTGCTGAAGACCAATTCTAACCCGGATCTTCACGGGATTGTCATTTATAAAGTCCTCTAGATCATCTTTTCAGGAAGAGAAATAAAAAAAAGCATTTTGGGTAACTTCATGAAGGCAGTTGCAAGACTCCACACTACGTATGCTCCAGTCGGACATTATTAGCTCCGTCATCGGATACGTTAACATTTCAAATTGCATTCTCAGCTCCCTGGGGAGTATACAACCCGAGGAGTATTTTGTCGCTTTCGATGTGGTATAAGAATACATGTTCGTTTACTTAGCTCTGTTCGTATTGGGGGCACGATGGCCGAGTCATGTAAGGCGGCGCATTTTGTTGTTTTGAGTTGGGTCCCTTGGTTGTGGGTTCGAATCCCGGTTCGCCCTGATTATGTTTCTAAGTTTGTCAGCACCATACCCGTGCTCGTGGGTTTCACCAAAGTGGTAATCGTCTGAAACCTGCACCACTTCGGGCTTTCCTCCCACATTTTAATCAAGCTTGTTACAGTTCAACCTTTATACAACACACATGATCACCAGGATTTATGAACAAATAATTGGAGTGGCATAACTGTGTGAATGCTATGTTTCAGTAATTTTCATGTGAATATATACACCTCGTCTAAAGTATCGCACCACCAAATTTAAAGTGTAATTGCAAGTTCATTTTCAATGTAGAGATTTTCAACTTGTAGACTGTTGACACATCATCTGCCTGTAGACTGGCAGCCACCTTAACTGCCCATCATTGTGGGTGCGTTGATACGAGCCGTATGCACACCTGTGTCTAGAGAAAAAAATCATGTTTGATGACAGAAAGTTCAAGCGTCTTTACTACTATTTATCTTGAATGAAAGTTCTACCAACTTCAAAATCTGTCTTTGATTGAACGATTGTAAGTGAAATGCGTAAGCGTACTATCCCAGGAAATCAAAGATGACAAAGCATTGGCATGTACCAAACTGGGATGTCATGTCGGGCTATTGGAACCGTGTTACAGATTAATCTTACTCTAATCAGTTCGACTCATCAGAAAACACACATTTGTGGGACTTGCCGAGATCAAGTCGTCCACGGAAGACTAGTGCCAGAGAGGACAGACTTGTACGGCAGGCAAAACGACGGCAAACTTCAACTTGCACTGTTCTTCGCCACTGGCATACCACATAGAGGTGTCCCTTAGCATCATCAGGCACCATATCGAGAATGGTACCTTAAGTCTTTCAGCTTGAGAACAATGTTAATTCCTATTTATATGGATAAAATAGAATCTAATTTCATTCCATAAAGTGTGATGTGCAATACCAGGAAAGTAATTGTTTATATGTTTCTGTGATGTCCAGTGATTATTACAATAATGATAAGTGACCAGCACTGTATTTTGTATTGAGAATGTATATTTTATAGTAAACTCACTAAACCATTGTCATTCGTCATTGTTCATTGCTGTTTGTTTAACGCCGGGTCTGGAGGCTGGAATGACCCATATGAGGCATGAAAAACCCCTTGATGATTCCTGTACGCTTGTCTTAGGCGACTAAAAGGATAGGGTGTTCAGGCTCGGTGATTGATTGTTGTTTAACGCCGCACTCGGTAATATTCCAGCTATATGAGGCGGTCTGTAAATAGTCGGGTCTGGACCAGACAGTCCAGTGATTGACATGAACATCTATCTACCCAACAGCTAGCCTGACCACCCAATCCCGTTAGTCGCATCTTACGGCAAGCATGGGTTGGTTAAAACCAATATTCTAACCCGGATCTTCACGGGTATAAGTTCATTGTTGAAACTAATGCGGCAATAATCGATGATGAAGCTGAAACATGGATGCTAGCCGGCCCAGCAAACACTTATCAGTGGCATTTACTGGTATATATTCATCACTACAACCGGAGTGCAAATACTCGCAACATCCACGCTGGCAGAGGCACGATGACCACATGAAAGCAAATCATAGCACCAGGTTGTGCAGCTTTCATTGGGGGGTGTCGAAGATAAAACAAAACATATCTATCAGGCCATGTGATTTTATTACACTATGTATTAACATAAACATTTAATACAAAACTTATTACTCCGTAAATCGCTTTTTAATACAACCAAACATTATTATGTAATACAAAATAAACGTTACATACATTTGGGATGAATTCAAATAACCCTGGTCGAGGAAGAGTTTGGCAGACATACATCTAATGACAGTGTACATTATTTTCGCTCATTAATGCATTCGACCATGTTACACTATTCTAACCCGGATCTTCACGGGTCTCATATGACAAAGCTGCCCGAAGGACAACAATGCTAACGTCAAACTCACCATCCAGTTTATCATGGTGATGGAGGGACGTAGTGTATGCAAACCCGTTATGTATTGACGATGCTGTTCTGTTGACAGTACCCAATACTGCAACCCGCCATAGAACCCATGTTTGTCGTGAGAGATGTCTAAGGGGATCGGGTGGTCTTGCTGACTTGGTTGATGCATGTCATCGTAGCCCAATTGAGTAGATAGATGCTCATGATGTCAATCACTGGATTGTCTGGTCCAGACTTTATTATTTACAGGCCGCCTTCATGTAGCTGGAATATTGCTGAGTGCGGCGTTAAAAAAAAGCACAAAAAAAGCAAGCTTCCAACATGTAATATATAACTGACCATCAGGAACTTTGAAGTACCATTTTCGCTCATGACAAAGATACCAAGGAACATAATATTGATGGCATGAAGTAATGTTTATGATAAGACACTATCAAAGTCTGGGGTGGCATCAAGACCCCGCTTCTTCCTAGTCTTGGCTTTCGTCCTTTTTTTGTTGCTGCTCTTCTCTTTCACTGCCAGTTTCTGTTTCCGGCGGAACATCTTCCGTCTGTGATTCGTCTCAGCTTCCGTCAGATCCCTATTATTTGATACAAAATTACTTAATTGGGTAAAAGGGTTTAAAACAATATCAATTGATGAACATAACTAAAGCACATGTGTGTCTCAATTAGATAAGCTCAAGAATAACTCGTGCACGGGGAGTCCGGGTCTGTTCCGTTTGTTTGTTGTCTGACGCCACACTCAGCAATATTCAAGCTATATGACGTGTAAATATTCGAGTCTGGACAAGTCAATCCAGTGCCTGACATCATGGGCAATTTGGATACGATGACATGCATCAAGTCAGAAAGCCTGACCACCCGATCCCGGTCGTCGCCTGTTATGGCAAGCATGGTTCGCTGAAGATGTATTATTCCCCGGATCTTCATGGTTCGAGTCAGGGTCTGAACGGGTCCCCAGAAAACAGCTTATATAGCCGACCTACATGACTGGCTGATTGTGTTCCATCATACTCCGACTGTGTTCCCTGTTGCTCGTGCGATCACCCTCACCGTGTGCTTGACTTGACAGGTGTATTATGTATCAGTGGTGTGCGCTATGTCCAGGACGAAATTATACGGATACATTACTGATGACTGAAAACAACATTCATTCATTGACTTGTAATGCTTTAGAAAGCACAAGGCGTCCGTCATACATGCCAGATAAACCTACCGCTTTATCAGCGTATAGTCTTGTAATAACATGTACATCATCGTCTACAAATACATTGTTCATCCATATCATTACATACCAAACAGAACATTCAATATTATGAACACGTATAATATTCCCCATGGCTGAAAGTAGAGTAACCGCGTGGGGATCCCGGGTTAAACTTGGTTCTCCCCGTGAAGATCCGGGGTAGAATAAGTCTTCAGCGACCCATGCTTGCCGTATTAAGCGACTATGCTTGTCGTAAGAGGCGACTAACGGGATCGGGTGGTCAGGCTCGCTGACTTGGTTGATACATGTCATCGATCCCAATTGCGTGGATCGATGCTCGTAAGAGGCTACTATGAAGCCTGTGCTGGTCTAAGTGGCGACCAAATGGATCGGGTGGCCAGGCTTGGTGACTTGATTGCTTCGTGTCATTGTACCCTGACGGCGTGGGACGTTGCTCACGATATCAATCACTGGGTTGTCTAGTCCAGACATTTTTATTTACAGGCCGTCATGTTTTGTTTGTTTGTTGTTTAACACCGCACTCGATATTCAAGCAATATTCAAACTAACTGACGACAATCTTCACGGGTTCAGGCCGTCATGTAGCTGGAATAGTGCTGAGTGCGGCTGAATGTCTTTCTATACGGCGAGCCGGTTAATGAACTTCATGAAATACTGGATTTCCAGTTCCTTTTGTGGATCACGTGACAAAAGACACGCTTCAAATAGGTACTCGATACGTACTAGTACTCGGAGTCTACCTCTCCCTTTTACCAGCTGGTTTCTAACAGTCCTTTTGTGAGGATTGTGTCACATGACCAGAAACAATTACAATACGGGCTCTCGAGACAATACTATGCTATGAACTTTTGCTTAATTATTTATATAACTGTTTTTTTGTCATCTGAAACATTTTCCGAGTTCACTACTGAACTTGACCGGTAAGTCAACTTATATATGACCATGTGGTCAGTTTGGTTTGGTTTGGTTTGTTGTTTTACGCCGAACTCAGCAATATTCCAGCTATATGACGGCGGTCTGTAAATAATCGAGTCTGGACCAGACAATCCAGTGATTGATATCATGAGCATGGATCCACTCAATTGGGAACGATGACATGTATCAACCAAGATAGCGAGCCTGACCACCCGATCCCGTTAGTCGCATTTTACGACAAGCATAGTTACCGTTTACGGCAAGCATGGGTTGATGAAGACCTATTCTACCCGGAATCGACCATGTGGTCAGTATTGCATCCAACTTACCGAAGTCAGCTGGTCCATTAGATGTTCTACATGGCTATAGAAATGTGAAGCAGAATCGGGTTAGTAGGTTAGAAGGAACAGAGAGGAAAAAACATTTAAAAAAAACATCATGCAGTAAGTTGAAATATAAAGTATTAAGTTGAAATTGGAAATTAATTAGCGTTAGGATGAGTGTTTCCAACAATAAGAATGATTCATTTCACCTTTTAAGCAATCTAAACTAAAAGACAACTGTGAGCAGTATCAATATGGCTGTACACATCACACACTTCATCGTTGTTAGGGTTAATTCTCAGTACAAAGGGAGATAACGCTTGTTGTCGTAGCTACTCCACCTGAGTTCGATCTTGCCGTCTTTGTCCGAGTCCAGCTGGCTGACCAATTCCTCCAACTGACCAACGGTCAGAGGCAGGTGCACGTTCTGAGAGTAACAGCAAGTGGGAGTGAGATAGACTCACATTTAGTCTCTGAAATCTTATATTACACAATATGATTTCAGGTGTGGAATAGAGCTAGCTTGAGCTGGCTAGACTTGCTTTTGTATGCATTTCTAGAATTTTTTGTCATAAAATAAATAAATTCCACGGTCATGGTGCAGGACTAGGAGTGAGAGTGTGAACGCAATTTTAGCTGTATTTCTGTTACACCATGGCGTGTCAGCTTTATGTGTGAGGGGCGGTCAGATAGCCTGGTGGTTAAAGCGTTTGCTCGTCACGCCGAAGACCCGGGTTCGATTCCCGACATGGGTACAATGTATGAAGCCTATTTCTGGTGTCCCCTGCCGTGATATTGCTGGAATATTGATAAAAGCGGCGTAAAACCATACTCACTCACTCACTTTATGTGTGAGGAATTCTCGTTTAAGACATGCGCCATGTTGGTAAACCTACATGAACAAGTACGTACGGTACTGACAGACAAAGGGTCACAATCTGGGATTCGAACACACAACACACCGGTCGTGACATTGAAGGGACGTAACTCTGTACAAAGATAATTTTAGCTAATTGAGGCACAAGGACACAGACCTATAAAAAGCACGAGAACACCCGAAAGACCTCATTGTTCTGTGTGTCAATTCACATACAGTCAAACATCAGAGCGAGTCAGCAGCAGTCACAGCTGGCCATGCGTTATTACATTCTGTACGTGATACCATTCGGAGTTATAAAAAGAAAACCAATTTATTATATACTTCAGTGTGAAAGACCGAGTTTTCTGAAGTTGAGAAAAGTGATATTTTCATTACAGTGACGAAACACTTTGACAGAACTATTGTCTCCCTTTATCGTATGTGTTTGGCCCGTACACAAACTGTTGACTATTTACGTTAGTTCTACATTTACAAGGCAAAATAATGACAGATGTTCGTTTATGGAGTTAATATAGCTTCCTGCCGTTTGTTATTCTCTTGAAAATGTTTCGTTATAAACTGTAAATTTCTCATTCAACTCGTTAATCGAGACTTTCCGTTTCGCAAAGCGCCATTTTTGTTACTAGGCCAGTGTGTATTCTTTTCAACAGGGGTCTCGTCGTTTTTCAAGAATATGTTTTGTTGAAGTTAATTTTGTATATAATTTAAATGTTTGATAAAGAATTTTGTGAAGTCACTCTAAATATATCTATTTTATATTTTTATATTTAATCGCAAATACAAAGGTTGGTGAACCGCCCCTGTGTGTTAGGTAGGGAGAATTTACGTTTCAAGGTTGTAAATTTGTAATGAAATATCTAAATTTTCCGGTAGACAGCTACATAAAATGTATATAATAAATAAGATGTTCCATGTGTCTCGTGAAATACCATGTTTCTCTCATCTCCTTTTCCCCCATCACTCGATGAGAGAAACATGATAATTCACTCGACACATGAAAATATCCTCTATTTATTTCACTATGCTTTGCGTGTAACTATCCTGTACTGCAAAAGCGAACATAGCTTATCCTCCACATACCAGAAGTCCTTTGGTGAAGTCCTGGGTGGAGATGGTGTGGCTGTTGTCGGTGTCGTATCGCTTGAACAGGTCGATGACACGATAACCCCGCTCGTTCATGAAGTCGAACATCGCCTGCATGGGGTTGTTTGTGAGAAAAGTCCCAGCGTCCTGAGTTAGAATTCCCTCCCCTTTGTTGATAATTGGCCCCGTCCTAGCCCGGAGGACACGCTTTTGTTGCATCGTCTTCAGCGACGTCACAAACTCCTCGTCTACCACAACGTCCTGGAACACGGACCACGGAGAATAATATTGCCAGATGTCACAGCTATATGAAGGCGGTCTGTCAATTATCGAGTCAGTACTAGACAATCCAGTGATTGTCATTGTCAACACATGATCACGAACATCCATCAAAGCAATTGGTATAGGAAAACATGCATTAACCAAGTGTTCTGGAAACTCGTCCATAAGTAATAAGTTTGGACTACCAAAAAGCACAGACCTCGGTGGCATTCTCTATGAACGCGGACTTCGTAAAATAGTTTTAGAGGCTTAGTCTCAGGTTTTGGTCTAACATGATGTTCCTTGTTTGTTTGTTGTTTAACGCCACACTCAGAAATGTTCTAGGTCTATGATGGCGGGCTGTAAAAATGGAGCCTATTCAAACCCGGATTTTCACGGTGTGCTTACATGATGTAATTTGAATTGCTTTTTCTCTGGTTAAAAGATGAACACAAGCTCCAGACTCACCGTCAGGTCGAGCTCCCTCAGAACGCTGTTAGGAGCTTTCTCTACTGTCTTCAGGATGAGTAGAGCTACATCTGGGGTGATGGGGTTTTGACCCAGCTGAAGAATGTAACATCATTGAATCAGGATCTCCATCATTACACTCATACAGAAATGTAAAGTAGACACCTGGTGGTTCCGCTTGTCCAATGAGCCCTTTAATGCTACTACATAAATAAATAAACACACGCCATTTGCACGTACGCTCGCGCACACCTGTAATAAAATTGTATGGTTATACGGTGAATGACAGGATAGGTTCTGGTGATACTCTAACAAAACATGTTGAATGACTAAAACAGATCAGGTCAACTTCTTAACGAACTTATGCCCGAAATAAAATGTAATGGTTAATGGTTAAAGGACGTGATAATTCTGACAGTTGTTCCACCAACCAACATTTGATCCTGACTCGGGTGAGTTGAAAGGACATGCATCTACAGACCTACGGAAGCCGTATCGGTTTCTGATAACAAACATGTCCTCTCGTTTCTCCAAGTGCGTGTGGGACTCTTTGTCCATGACCTCTTCCTAGCGCTGTATCGGTGTAACGGATCGTAAAGTCAAATATCGATACAAAATGATACCTACACTGTAGGCCTATGAGAAGGACATTTATAACCGACTCACATCAACTGACTTTTGTTTGGTTTGGTATCATGACATCCCTTTTAAGGAAGGAATAGGCTACGGCTCCTTAGGTGCTGAGATGCCATCACGATCCAACGCTTACATCGTTACAGCCCCATCTCTCCATTACTCTATCTACGACAACAACAAAAAAAATCCAAACCAAGGGCGGATCCAGCAATTTAAAAGTGAGGGTCCAAAATATCAAAATCCACTCTCAGTGAATGTTACCGCCTACAACATAATACATTCAGTTTTCAAAAGGGGTAGGGGTCAGGCCCTCCGCCTACCAAATGCAAACATATACAATCAAGTATCGTTAATCCAACACTCGTTAATCCAACAATCGGCTTTATCCGACACTAATGATGGGGACCGATTAAATGAATGTCTAGACGGGTTTTTGCTTCGGTCGTATAGGTAAAGTTGAAGATCACCACTTCCGCATAATGAACTAGCCGTCCAGGCCAAAGACAAACCAGATGGGAAACGGTACGTTACTCTAACTAAATCTCAGCATCTTGTTACCCTGAGTGTGATGAGGGATTCGTTCCATCTGAGTCCCTCCAGCAGGCTGCCCACAGCTATGGCGTCCACCCGGTTGCACGTGAGGTCCAGGTGCTCGAGGGTGTAGTTCTCCGCCAGGGAGAGGCCGAGCGTGCGACACCCAGCCCGGGACAACCCGTTCCACGACAGGTCCAGCATCAGCAAGCCGCCATTATCCTAGGGGAGACAACTCTTAGCTTTATCCGTGACATCACAAACGCTTGTTTGTTGTTTTAACGCCGCACTGAGCAATATTGCAGCTGTATGACGGCGGTCTGTAAATAATCGAGTCTGGACCAGACAATCCAGGGATAGATATCATGAGCATCGATCCACGCGTAATAACGTCATCAATCATGGAACAGGCTTTTTCACAGCGACCTGTATTCGAGCCTGGACAAACCGATAGTCGATAGCATGAGCAACGACACACACTCAGTCACATCACATTAAATCATTCGTATCGTCGTTAATGTTTACACTGCCATTTCACTATCCAATGTCCATTGTAATCGGCTCGTGCGATATGTCTTGGGTGCCTAGTTGAATTTGAAGAAAAACGTCAAACTGAGATGGTTGCCTGACCAAGGCTCCGGATTAATTAATTGAACAATTGCCATTTTCAACTCAGTAGGCGATCAACTCAGTTATACAGGTCCCCTACGCGTCATGTGAACCGACCAAAATGTGGATCGGATGGTTGACTGTCTTCGTCCTCTGAGGACCGCAGAGGACCGCAGCTAGAGGACCGCAGCTAGAGGACCGCAGAAGACCCATGCGATTAGCCACTTGTTTCTCAGGAGGAGTTGTAATACCCTGGATGTTTTTTGGTTGGTGTATGCCATTGATTTAGAGAAAGGTTAGAGTGAGTGGTCCGGTTTTAGCAATATTTCAGCCATGTCACGGCGGGGGACACCGGTAATTGGCTTCACACATTGTACCCCTGTGGGGAATCGAACCCGGGTATTCGGCGTGACGAGTGAACGCTTTAACCACTAGGCTACCAACAACACAGAGATAGGTTACAGGCAAACCGTTATGACAATATATTACCTCTAACCCCGCAGCAACAGCTTGTGCTCCCTGTCTTCGAAGATGGTTCCAGCTGAGGTCCAGTAGCTCAAGAGTGTCATTGTTAGCTGTTGGTAGGACACTAGTATCAGTAAAACGATACAACACAGGGAAGACTAATTAACGATATTCTATTACTTAAAACTCAATATACAACTTGAACGTGTACAATGTAAAGGGAAACCAAGTCAATAATACACCATACCTCACCCATGGGCTACTTACAGTGTGTTAAGTTTGTTTGTTTGTTTAACTCACTTGTCGCACTCAGCAATATTTCACCTCTATGACGGCGGTCTGAAATAATCGAGTCTGGACCAGCCAATCCAGTGATTAACATCATGGGCATCGATCCAAGCAATTGGGATACGATGACATGCATAAACCAAGTCAGCGAGTCTGACCACCCGATCCCGTTAGTCGCCTCTTACTCTCTACCCTGATTTTCACGGGTCGTGATAAGTACATGCATTGATTGACTAATCCTCGAAGATAGTGTTGTTTGTTTCAATATGATTGCTTTACAGATGTGAAATGTATGATTATTGGTAGCAGTAGGCTAAAAAAATGAAGAATTAACAACAAAACTTCTCCATATTGATTGGGTTTCAAACACGTAAACACGTTTCCAGGCATGTCACCTAAAAATAGAAACTGTTAATTCAGAATCAGATAAGTGAACGATAGAGTTGGGTTTTACGTAGCTTTCAGCAATATTCCAGAAATATCACGATGGGGACACAAGAAATCGTCGTGAACTCACCTATAGCGGGCCCCAGGTAGAGACCACCAACCTCTCCAAATTTGTTATGACTTGCCCGGAGCTCCCGCAGCCACACGTTATTCTGCAACACACACAAAAGTTAATGTTCTCTTTTACATGCAAACAAAATCAAAGACAATAGGGCACAAGGAAAAAGAGGATCAAAATCCATCCTCAAATAGCATCGGTACTATATACATTGACATCTGCCGTAAAATGTTATAAGATACAGCGTCGTGGTAACACAATGCGACAAACGGGCATTCACTTGTGGTATTTGGATTGTAAACACGTTAAAGTAAGCAAAGGGGAGCAACTCGTAGTCCAGTTGATATTACATGTGAGTTATCCCCCTTATCTATGAGCGACAAAATATATAACAAACGTCAACTCTCAATCATTTATATTTCCATAATTTGTTAATGAAAATATTCGTAGACTTAATCCCTCCCTTTGACGTTTTCTCCTGATAATAAATACAATATTTTAAATCCATATTGTCTGGCTTGTTATTTAAAGGGCAGACATTTTGAAAATTTTACATTTATTAAATTTAATTATTTCTTATCATAAAAGCCTGGGATGTACTGTTTATCATTCCTCATCGCCAGTACTTCACGTGATTGTATCTATTGTGTCTCATGCCTATTTGCATAACAGTAATTATTGCGAACATAGGCGCGTTTATTATCAATCCGGTGATTAAATTAAAAGTTATTCTTCTTTTGTGAATTGTTCTCTTCGCTTCATCATTCAAGATGAACAATTAAGCTTGGCTCCGTCTCTTGATATCACGACAGAACTTGTGCGATTTAAGATGAACGATTCACAAATGACAACCGGAACTTACACGATTAAATATTTTGGATATTTATTGGAATTGTAAAACATGCATATGTTATCTGAACCTCAGATTTCGCCTCTTTTGATCGCCATTTGATGAACGTTTCTGGTGAGGTCATTAAGCTTGACACCGGACACTGCGGGGCCGAACAAAAAAGACTGGTTTTATCTACATTGCGCGTACCAACCGTGGAACTAGTTACATGCCAAAAGGACTACTGTCTATGACGTCATAACGAAGATGACGTCATGATCGGTAATCTTCGTCAATATGATTGCTCGATCGAAATATTGCGGGATAAAAAAAGGTTGTTGATTTATAATCATGTTTGTTTTCTTAACATTAGTATATTGAGGCAGAATGTAAATTTATTTTATCATATAGAAAAAAAAGGTTACGAAACCATTCCCTTCAGTTAGCTCTGTAGTATGTCGTTATGACATTGACTGTATTGTGACGTCATAGACAATCGTCATTCCTCAGCACACGAAGTCGATCTATTGCCACGCACTACAAAATCACCATTTTTTCTGCGTGTTTGATTGATTTAAAGAATATAACCTACTTTATCGTTTTGGTTGACTGACCGACCAACTTCCCAATGGATTCTAAAAGAAATACAGGTAAGGCATAGTAAGAATCTGTTTTTATGATATCATTTTGTATAATCTCCTTTCATCTGTAAACTCGAAAAAATTATGTTGTACAGCTACTTGTAGTTAGTCTAGACATACCTGTAGTTAATACAATTTGTTCAATGTTTTTTACATTGTATTAAAGTAGTAGACATACTAGACAATATAAGAAATATCCACTGATGGGGTACAAGCGGAATATTTTGCGACTTGAGATTAATAACAGTAAACATCTCAATGCGTGGACAGAGCGTCACAATCAGATATTAACAAGCGGACAGAGTCTTGCAGCAGCTTATGACGGATTTTTTTTTTTTGTTGACCTCTGGCACTCTAGTTCTCTAAAAAGGGGAATTCGTATTACCGATCACGGTAGTGTTGTATTTCGCCACACAAACATTCACACTTCAATCTTAAAACATGTTTTCAATACACAATATCATAATCGCAGATTCTTTTTGTGAACAGAGTTTTCGCTATAGTCAATCATGATTGGTATTGTCAATTCACGAATCACAGTTAATGTTTTTCAGTAGTTTCAGTTTTAATTGTTTTTCATATATGTTCATTTGATATAGATTTGTTCTGTATGAAATACGAATATTGATAAAGAAGTAAATAGTATTTATATTTAACTAATTCAAAAGTATCATAAGTCACAAATGGAATATAGCTTTTGTACACTGCTGAAATAAATGCAAACCCATCTTAAATCAACAAAGGCATTTTTTCTTAATTGATATTTGGTGTTTCAGTTCGTGATTCATTCTGATTTCTGTTAAAAAAATATGCTAACTGGATCTTTATAAATTAGGAGTAAAGGAATTACATTGCTATGAAGAGTAATGTAAATGATTCATATTAAGTTATGAGACCAAGTTTGAGATCTGGTGACGAATGGTTTATTTCCAGGGGGCAACTGTTTCCTGTACCCAGAGGCAGCCTGGCCCCGAGTATACAACATGGCCGGCACAGACATGCTCCTGTTTGCTGGGAGGATGGCATTCCGTTCAGACCTTCAGCTCGCGTCCATTCATTCCGATATCAGCGTTCCTGAAACCTGCGCTAGCCCCGTGGATGCCGCCATAATCTGGACGGAAAGACAGCTTTACTATGTCCGAAACGGTACGACTTAAAACCACCAGGCCCCTCCACAATCAGATATCACTGCGCAATTCATTACATAAATATATAATATTGATCAGTTCAACGATAGTGATAGTGAGCAAAAAAATACAAATATTCCCAAGAAACAAGTAGGACATTTCGTAACTTGAATAAACGTTTCCTTCCAGACTTGAAAACCATAAAGAAGACCAGTATGAGGTTATCCACCCGTCAGGTACCGCCCACCCTGCCTACCCGCATGAGGGGGCGTGTCGGGGTCATTGAGTACGAACTGCAGGAAGCAGAAAGACTGAGGCAGATCCGAGAGAGAAAGCAGAGACGTGAAAGAGAAGCTTTGACACAGGAGAGAGTAGTGATGGAGGAGGAGAGAGACATGAGAAACACTATGTCGGCTGTGGGATGCAGAAAGAGGAAACTGGAGGAAGTGACGTCATCAAACAATATGGCGGAAACAAGATCAAAGCGATCCCGGAAACCAAACTCCAAATACGGTGGGTACTGTTTTTAGTCTTTGAGTCTTTGAGTCGTTCAAGAAAGTAGTAGGTTGATAATGACTTTTGTGAAACCGGTTCAGTAAATTATAATCTAATCTGCGGACTTTTGTACTGTCTCTCTCTCTCATACAAAACTCCAAAGATGAGCTATATAATCATATTATATATGTGTGTTATGTCTTTATGTACACTCAATGTAGTGGTCTATGGGAGATAACTCAAGACGGCTTAATGTGTTCATGTATGGTCTAGGGGAGATAACTCCGGACAGCTTATGTTATTAAATGTACTCTTTAGTTATGGAGTAAGAAAAGGGGGAGTTCCAATATGTCTGACTGCATGTATGCCATGTGCTCTGTGTGAATCAAATGCCGATTTACCAACTTTCAAACACCGAACAACTATTTTGTAATCAATGGACATTTCTTTCTCTTGCAGACAGTGGCACCTTCCTCGTCCACAACGGATCAGGCGACTCCCGCGCCTCCTCCAACATCGTCAACAGATTGAGGAGGAGAACTCTAAAACGCGGCCACTAGGTTAGTACAGGGACATAATATATACATATTGTTCTAAAGGACTAAACGACGAGAGTCGGTTTCAAACAGGTAATTGAATCATCTTGTTGATATCATTGTAGCTCGTAGCGAATTAGCCATGCTAAACCAACCTTCTTGAACAGAACCAATCACTACTACAGTCCTTTGACTGACATTGACTGATATTAAGGGAGTGGTTGCGTCCCATCCCTAACGGTGAAGTTAGTTATTTTTTACTTTTTAAGGTTTTTTTATTAGTGCAGTTGAGGCGCTTCAATTTTTATTCTCATTTACAAAATCATTGGATATTATTTACGAAAACTCTTAAACACTATATTAAAATTAAATATTTCTTTATTTTGTTTTCAGAATGTGGCTATAGCAGGCAGTTTTCGTGGTCATGTCTGCATGGACAACTGGCGATACAGTACATACATACATACTACGTCACATTGTCATTGAACTGTAATTGTTTCGAAACGCTTATACATATTCCTGATTTTTGTAAATAATTTGTTATATTTAATAACAGTTTTACAATGCAATTTTATCACATATACAATAAACTGTTGTTACATATCCATATAGTTCTGTTATAACCGTCAGCGCCTGATATAACGTACAGCTTATCTGCAGTGAAAGAATAAACTGGGAGTAATAATTAATTGTGGTGGGAGGTTAAATTTGAATTGAACGTGGCGTTGAATGAGTAGTACAGACAACCATATCGGAAATAGCCGCAGGGTCGCACTGGGGTTAAAGCGTTCGTTAATCACGCCGATTGGAAACGCAATAAACAACGAAAAACAAACAACACATAACAAAAGGCACATGTTCAGCACTTGCAAAAGTGTCGACAACGTTTCACAATAAATATCTAACACCTTATGAGTAATGCTCCGGAATTGAACCCAACCTCTAATTCCCCACCAGTCCGACTTGCTGCCATGGAAACACATAAGTATCGAACACCTTATGGGTAATGCTCCGGAATTGAAGCCAACCTCTAATTCCGCACCGGGGTCGTCTAAGGCGCCGTGATTCGCTGTGCAGAGTTGCGTCCCTTGGGCACGCCAGAAACCTATGATTGAGGGTTCGAATCCCGGTTCGCCCCGATTATGTTTCTACGTTTGTCAGCACCATACCCGTGCTCGTGGGTTTCACCGAAGTGGTAAACGTCTGAGACCTGCATCGATTCGGGCTTTCCTCCCACATTTAGCTGACACGCCTTGATATAACTGGAATACTGTTAAACCCAACTCACTCACTAATTCCACACCAGTCCGACTTGCTGCCATGGAAACACATAAGTATTGAACACCTTATGGGTGATGTTCCGGAACTGAACCCAACCTCTAATTCCACACAAGTCCGACTTGCTGCCATGGAAACACATAAGTATTAAACACCTTATGGGTGATGTTCCGGAACTGAACCCAACCTCTAATTCCCCACCAGTCCGACTTGCTGCCATGGAAACACATAAGTATCGAACACCTTATGGGTAATGCTCCGGAACTGAACCCAACCTCTAATTCCCCACCAGTCCGACTTGCTGCCATGGAAACATAAGTATCGAACACCTCATGGGTAATGCTCCGGAACTGAACCCAACCTCTAATTCCACACCAATCCGTCTTGTTGCCATGGAAACACATAAGTACTAAACTATACATGTTTGTATATACAACGTTTCACTTGATGCTCCGGAAGCGAACCCTGTCTATTTTTTTAACCAACAGTAAATCCGACCATGGAGGAGAGACATTTAAAACAATATTTGGGAAAACTAAATCTTCATACAAAACAACGCCTGCCTCGACAAAACGTCGGATCAAAGGACTTTCAGAGATACAAGGACGACGTATATTTGAGGATAGATGGCGAGTCCCGTGTGGTGCCTTGTCATGCAATGAAATAAGACAGGAAAACATTGATGCGAGGCATCAAGACGGCGCCAGAAGGCTTTGTGTGACATCATCACAAAGTTAGGCAAGATAGAAAGAAAATCATATATATAAGTGTCACACATTACATGCAACAGTACATCATATATTCACACTTAACAGTAGTATCCAGGCTGCACGGTAATATCTATCTATCTATCTATCTTAATGACATATCAGGATTGTTCACTTGGCCCATTATTTCCTCAAAATTCATGAAAGCGTACGTATAATATCTTCAGGAATATTTTTGGAAAACGTGACCGTGGGAGACCTCGCTTCAGGCGAATCAAATGAATGAATGAGTGAGTTGGGTTTAACGCCGCTTTTAACAGTATTCCAGTTATTTCATGGCGTTGCAGCTTAATGTGGGAGGAAAGTCCGAAGAGATGCAGGTCTTAGAAATTTACCACTTCGGTGAAACCCATGAGCAGGGGTATGGTGCTGACAAACCTAGAAACATAATCGGGGTGAACCGGGATTCGAACCCACAATCACAGGTTTCTGGCGTGCCCAAAGGACGCAACAGTGCACAGCGAATCGCGGCGCCTTAGACGACTGGGCCACCCGTGCCCCCTCAGTCGAATCAAGATCCCACATACGTATCATCGTTATAGAAAAACAACCGGTCGTAACAAATTTAACACGGGCGAGTGCCACATTTTGGGGGGAGATCGGGATGCATTCGGGTCCTTTCGGCTTTTCCCGTAAGCTACCTCGAGCACCAACGGAGCAGAGATATTGCATAGTTTCACTCGAAAACGCGTACAGACTGATCCCTCTGCACATAAAGCACTTTTACTTATGTAAGTGAGGATTCTTATTGAATAATGGGTGCAAATTAGGAGGAACTGTATCCAAACGATTATACAAATATACACAAGGTCCAAGCTGGAGCCTTTCGTGGATTCCTGATGATAAGGTTAGTGTAGGTTATACTGTACCTCAATTATTTCCGCCAAATACTTAGCATCGTGATCGTGAAGTTCACTCCCTGAAATCAAATGCAATGGACACAATCAGCTTCGTTCAGTAATTTGTACTGGGCGAATCGCGGCGCCTTAGACGACTGGGCCCCCCGCGCCCCCTGCAGGTTTGAATTCCAGGTATAAAATTCTTTGTATTCATCAATGTTTTGCTGTATGCCTAATAGTATTTCTCTCATACAGGAAGCTGACAAGTTAAAGTGTGTATCTGATTACTACTTAACCTTTATTCAGTTATTCACGATAGGCCACCGAGTAAAAATTACTAACTGATTAGTGAAGTCTACTAACATGTTAGTGTCTGAGTGGACAGTGAAATTTATTAAGTTAGTAAACTTTACCAACTATTTCTGTCAGTGTTAATGACTTACAATATCGAGTTTGTAATGTTTGTATCCATCCATTTTTTACAATGTGAAAAGCGGCTTCAGTACATTTCCACTGTCTCATGATTATGAAAGACTTGAATTTTGTACGTCTTGTTTGTGATTCTAACGGCTCGACTTCATAACATTATCATTCACCTGGTGTTAAGAAAAACGCCAACTTGAAGGGTCGCCCCAGGGGTGATGTTCTGTACCTGTTTGTTTGTTGTTTAACGCCACACTCACCAATATTCCAGCTGTATAACGACGGTCTGTAAATAATCGAGTCTGGACTAGACAATCCAGTGATTGATATCATGAGCATCGATCCACACAATTAGGATACGATGACATGCATCAAACCAAGTCAGCGGGCCTTTCCACTCGATCCCGTTAGCCGCCTCTTACAACAAGCGTAGTCGCCTGTTACGGCAAGCATGGGTTGCTGAAGACCTATTCTACCCCGGATGTTAACGGGTCTGTTCTGTACCTGATATGTTGAGTTTCCGGACGGTCTGATTATCTTGCATGACCTCGGCCAGTGCTCGGATCCCATCGCCTCCTATGCGGTTCTCGGATATATTCTAAAGAACAAGAACAAAATACCAGCAAACAAATCACTAAAGTTGCAGAAGTTACGATGTCGTGGCTCTTCGAGCGCCTAGTGTAAGGTGGGTTCTCATAGTTTACGATTTACGGACAAGAAATATGGTACCCGTTCTGTAAAGCAACCCAACCGGCACGAGAGTCTCACAGCTACGAGAAAGATCAGGAGCTATATATCTACGACATTCGATTAGAAATGTTTGTGAAATGAGGCATATGTCTCCTTTTAACTCTAAGTATTTAACTCTGACTTTTAGCCAGGCGAAAACGGTGTCAATAAATATTTGAGACACCACGCTTCTTTGTAAATTTATGATTCAATTTTACGTGCTAATTCGAAAAAAGGGGCGGTGGAGAAGCCTAGTGGTTAAAGCGTTAGCTCGTAACGGCCCGGGTTCGATTCCCCACATGGGTACAATGTGTGAAAACCATTTCCCCCGCCGTGATATTGCTGGAATATTGCTAAGTGCGGCGTACAACCACACTCACTCACACATTCAAATAACATACATCGCTAGACTTACTATTTCTGTAATGAGATTATTTTGGGGAAGGAGTTCTGCGATCGCGCTGGCACCCTCCGCGCCCAGCCAGTTGTCTTCGAGGTCAAGGCCACAGATGCGTTGATTACCCTGGGGAGGAAATTCTGACTGTGACTGCATCAATAGCATCACTAATCTGACCTCGTTGCCTCTCATTTGAAAAAAACTAATGTTTGTCAGAAGAAAGGATTCATTCACGAATCTGACCTGCACATGTGGTGTAGAAAACTAAACCGTCTGTTTTTAGTACTTTATTTGAAAATTGTTTGATTATTATATTTTTGTTGAAATGGAATTCGAATGGCAGATGTATTTTACTAAATATCAGAATTTGACAAGGCTGATAGCTATTTTAAAAACAACAACAATAGCAGAATTTGACATGGGCGGACAAGTATTTTATGAATACAACAGAATTTGACAATTTCTGGTTATTTATTAAAAAAACACTATTTTAAATATAGCTATTTTAATAATACAACACAATTTGGTGTGAGCGGATAACTATTTGTTATACAACAGAATTTGGTGTGGGCGGATAACCATTTGTAACACAACAGAATTTGGTGAGGGGATAATAATTTTACTCATAGAACAAAATTTGACGTGGCTGGATAACTATTAAAACAGAAGTGGGTGGATAACAAAGTTACTGATAAAACATTATCTATCACAATTATGTCAAAAATTCAATGTCTTTGTATCGCACACATACCACAAGAGCTATGAAGATAGCTCTAGCCGCCTTGGAGCCAACCGAGCGACTGCGCATGACTAGTTTCGGCGCCATGAGGCTGTTGACGATAAATGTCACCGGCGTGATTCCAAGAGACTTGCAGGCGTTTATGTAGACGTTCACGTAGCCGTGCCTCTCGATCTCTTCCGGGTCCGTGGGGAGAGGTACAGGGGGGTCTGGTGAATGGAGAACAAAAAAGTGTATTCTTAATCATAATGTCTGTATTACATGTACACTGTTAAATGTGCTTAAATCCTAAACACAAACTTAAACACGTTCCTTGTCCCGCATGTTTGACATGTTTAGGTCTTAACATGTTCTGGGTTGTGTTTAACAGCTAAACGTGTTTAGGGTCTAAATGTGTATATTTAGGATGGGTGGGTGATGGTAAGAGTCAAAAGTTAAGGGTCTATCAGACATACTTTCGAATTTCATTGTCAACTTCCTGTATGAGAGAAATAATAAATATTCATACAACATATTTATGAAGACATAGATTTTTAAACCTCGGCGCAATATCGAAACATGTTTTAACGCGTTTAAATTCTGAACATGTTTAGGGGATTGTTGTGTTTAGGTGTGTTTAGGCTGTGAGAGGGTGGCTCATTTCATGTGTTTAGACCTAAACGCGTTTAGAGAGAACACACCAAATGTGTATTCCGCTTAGGATTGAAACACATTCCTAAACATGTTTAGATCTAAACACGTGAAATGAGCTATCCTCTCACAGCCTAAACACACACAAACACAACATCCTAAACCCAAGTTTTACAGTTTAGAGTGAGTGAATATTGTTTTACGCCAAAGACTTCAATATTCTAGCAATATCACATCGTCCTGTAAATAGTCGAATCTTGACCTTACAAAGCAGTGTTTGATAGAATACATCACGAGTGATATAAACAACCAGTCAAAAGAAAGTATACACATATGTTAAAGTTTGATGGTGGCTAAAATAAAACAAACAAGAAATGGTGTTCGATGGTGATGTATTTGATATGGGTATCATAGTTGTGTTTTGGACGTTTGCAGTGTTTCGGCGACTGTTATAAGCCTAATTACGTTTTAATTACGGTAATGTGTTGGTCAAATCCTATTTTAAAGTGTATACTTTCTTTTGTCCGGCAGTGTTTATCTTAAGCCAAGTCACATTTAGTAACTAACCCCCTGTCCTCATAAGTCGCCATAATGGCAAGCATGGAGAACAAAGGTTACCCCTCAACAGATATAATGAGTGAGTGAGTTTGGTTTAACGTCGCTTTGAACAGTATTACAGTTATATGAAGGGATTTCAGCTTATGTGGGTGGAAGGCCCGAAGTGATGCAGGTATCAGACGTTTACCCATGAGCACGGGTATGCGGCTGACTACCTAGAAATGTATGGGTGCGAATCGGGATTCGAACCCACAATCATAGATTTCTAGTGTGCTTTGACGACTGGGCTACCCGTGCCCCCTCAACAGATATAGACAGCCAGGAGTCTAAGGTGATGGAAGTAGCTGTGCAGAGTTATATACCCTAGGCTTGCCAGGATTCTAATAAATATGGGTTCGTATCCCACATTCGCCCTGATAATGATTCTTGCTTTCTGACAAGGGAAAACGAATCCCGCGTCATTTGCATATCAAACACCAAATTTATGTCCATGCAGAGAGTGACGAAACGGATACAATTTAGTTCCTGCATGCTGGTGCCCAGGTTTGTTTGTTTGTTTGTTGTTTAATGCTGCACTCAGCAATATTCCAGCTGTATGACGGCGGTCTGTAAATAATCAAGTCTGGATCAGACAATCCAGTGATTGACACCATGAGCATCGATCCCCGCAATTGAGAAATGATGACATGCATCAACCAAGTCAGCGAGCCTGACCAGCCGATCCCGCTTACGACAAGCATAGTCGCCTTTTACGGCAAGCACTGGTTGCTGAAGACCTATTCTACCCCGGTTGTTCACGGGTCTGGTTCTCCAGTACGTGTGTCATATAAAATAAATTCCACAATATTATATGTCTCCTGCTTGGTACGAGCATGTTAGACTAGCGCGGCCAACAAAGTGAGATTAATTTTTTAACCGGACTCGAGTAACACTTGAGCGAAATATCACTGCTCAGGGTCCTAACGGGAAGCTGAAACAATCGTCGAACGCCTCACTCTTCCCCACTGCCAGCTACAACCATGTATGAAAACTGTTTTGACCAAATATAGAGGCACTCTGCTTAACACACTCACCACAGTCCTCCATGATGTCATATCCGGTGAAGGTAAATTCCCGCTTAAGGTCTCTCTTGAGTTTTGTTGGTTCTGAAAATCCATTGTCCTGAGACATAAATGTCGTCTGCCTCGACCTGGTGCCTGTCGTCTGCTGTGACGTGTCAGACGATGTCTTCTGCCGGATGATGCCGCGTGGCCTCTCCGGGGAACTGGGCAGCTTGACTTTAGAATGGCTCTGACTTAGATACAGGGTTGCCGTTTTAGAACCCATACCCTTGATATTGACTTGTGTGTCAGTTCTCGTCAATTCTCGCGAGATATTGCCATTTGTCTGTTTTGCAGAGTTTTGTTTCGAAATACAGGGTACATCTTTTTTGGACGCACAAGAGCTGGTACGTGAGTGACAAGACGTCCGTGACATACTTGAGGTTTGACGGTTTAATGCACTCTTCCCTCTCTTTTGTTGTCCTAAATCGTCCGCCATTTTTGTTCTGTCTCGGGCTCTCTCGTTTAGCTGCAAGCTGTAAGATTTACAAGAAGAAATGCGGTATGTTCAGTGTAGGCCTTTTCACTGGTAAACTGGGCGGTACTTTTCCAAATGAAATCGCCACGTTTCAGATCGGTTCAATCTCATTTCTAGGACATAGACTGACCGTCATCCAGATTGTTTTGAACATCCCACCTGGTAAAAATAGAGAAGAATGCCCTAACAACCCATGCAAATCCTAATGCTATTTTCTTCAGCAAAAGCTCTGACAATATCGTCTGGTGCGCGTCTCCTGCTCTACCGGTAGCACCCACACCTCAAATAATTTTAATAAAAATGTCAGTCTTTGTTGCCTAACGTCACACCCAGCAAAACCAAGACAATCCAGTGATTAATAGCACGAGCAATATATATATATCTCAATATAGATACAAGACGCCCCATATACATCCTCAACGGTCTCTATGATATGAGATCAGAGCAGTCACCGTGTCGTCGTTAATGTTCTCGACAGAACACTACCAGCATTATAATAAGAGACACGGCATAAATAACCTACTTCACGATTTAACACAAACATTTCATGAATAAGTTTACAATGGAATCAATACTAGCGCCAACCCAGAGTATCAAATTCGCAAAAATGACCCTTCCTACATTTTCAAACAAATTTAAAACACCAAAACTTACATGTTTTCCAGTGATAATATTATCTCCACTGCTCTGAACAACGCAACGTCATGGCTGTGGTGGACACTATTCAACAGCGTCGCTGTTGGTGACGGCTTTATCGCCTTCCCACAACACCCCAACGACGCGATAGAGAAATCAACATGCGACTGTAATAGTTTATATTGATAAAGTGTGATGAATTACACCTCACAGTTAACAGCGATAAGAACAGAAATTAAGCATAATTAATTGATTTTTACATTGAACTCGTTCTAAACAGGTAATGCTACATCGATATGTCGAAATACCCGCTGTTGTATTTTAAGTGAGTGTGGGGTATTGTATCTGCTCACTAATCCTTGTAGTTTTGTGTGAATTGACCCAGAACAGGTTGGACGCTTTTGTTGGTTTTGAGAAGTCATTTATGACATTAACCACATAAATACGGCAGGTCTAATCTTTCGGAACCGTTGGTTTTTAGGTAGTTATTAATAATCTCTGGGAAAAGTGGTTGTCTTACGTCGCACTCAGTAATAATCCAGCTACATGACGGCAGACAATCCAGTGATTGATATCATGAGCATGGATTTACACAATTGGGATATGCACAATTGACATGCATCAGCCATGTCAGCGAGCCCGTTAATACGAACTAATGTTAAAGGTCCATTTTTGTTTTAACATATGTTTGAAACTGAATGCATTTTAAGTTCAAATTAATACACGGGGTTAATGTGCTCCCGGGGCGGTCGGGTAGCCTAGTGGTTAAAGCGTTCGCTCGTCACGTCGAAGACCCGGGTTCGATTCCCGACATGGGTACAATGTGTGAAGCCCATTTCTGGTGTCCCCCGCCGTGATATTGCTGAAATATAGCTAAAAGCGGCGTAAAACCAAACTCACTCACTCACTAATGTGCTCCCAAACTTTAAATGTCTTCAAAAATATAACACCTCACTCAGTGACGGTTATTGGGTTAACCTACGCATATCACAACCCTACATTGTATTTTTAACAATGCTATTCTTCTGTCAGCTGACACATCCTGTTTTTTGGCGAAACTTTACTCTATTGTTGGGAATACAATAAATACACGTGGAATAGAACGCTGTGTCATATGAACCTTCCCAGAATCAATATACGGGTGGAGCTGAGAGATACCCGATCTGCTCGTCTAGATACGGGTGTCGGATCCGGGTAGATTTGGATCATTAACTGCGAACTGTAAGGTCACACTTTTCTATACACACATGAATTAAATTCCCATTAGAATATCCTCGAGGGATCGAGCTTTCTATGCCTGGCATCCTGCTGGACGTGGCTTACATTAAAAACTAGGTTACTATAAGTTTAGATTTAAATTTCTCCCTGATGATACGAGATTAACTTTACTGTATGTGTGTGTGTATGAGAGAGAGAGAGAGAGAGAGAGAGAGAGAGAGAGAGAGAGAGAGAGAGAGAGAGAGAGAGAGAGAGTGCGTATGGTTTTACGCCGCTTTTAGCACTATTCCAACAATATCACGGCGGGGGACACCAGAAATGGGCTTCACACATTGTACCCATGTCGGGAATCGAGCCCGGGTCTTCGGCGTGACGAGCGAACGCTTTAACCACTAGGCTACCCGACCGCCCGAGAGAGAGAGCGAGAGAGAGAGAGAGCGAGAGAGAGAGAGAGAGAGATGGGGGGAAGAGAGAGAGAGAGAGAGAGAGAGAGAGAGAGAGAGAGAGAGCATGTGTGTGTGAGTTAGTGATTCTGGGTGTGAGTGAGTGAGTGAGTGAGTGAGTTGCGGTGTATATGACGGCGTGTCAGCTGGTCGTGGGAGGAAAGCCCGAAGTGATACAGGTTTTTGATGTTATCCACCTTTGTTGGGAGGTGACAAACCTGACAAATCTAGAAACTCAATCTAGGCGAATCTAGTATTCGAACCTATATATTTGAATATGTTACAGTCAACGTCTATAATCAGTCAATGTGTATAGTGACTGATTCACTCAGGCAATGTACACATTGACTGACATTTTCAGTTAATATACATATGGCCGGGAAAATGAGCCTGGGTTTAGACAGATTGACTGAACTGAATTAATATCCTTCATTTCATCTCCATATTTTAATTGGGATCTATTTTGATTTTACGAAGATCAAAGTAACTTCTGTAAGTAATTAAAAATGTTCCCGCAATGAACTGATTGGTTTTTCAAACATGAAAGAATACTGGAGTTTTTTATGTTGCTTATCTATATTGATCTATTTTACGGTCTCTGATCAAACAGAGATGCAATATCATCATCAAAGTTGCATTATTGACAATAAAATATATAATGTAGCTAGATTTCCCGGGTGCATACAGAATTCATATCTTGTCGATGTTCATTTTAAAAAAAAATATTTTGGAGGATGCTAACCAGATTAATGGTTCGGTTGGGGTTCTTGGGTATGGGTAACTTTGGTCATCCTGACTGTCTGTCTGTCTGTCTGTCTATTTGTTGTTTAAAGCCGTACTCAGCAACATTCCAGCTATATGACGGTGGGACCCGTGAAGATCCGGGGTAGAATAGGTCTTCATCAACCCATGCTTGCCGTAAAAGGCGACTATGCTTGTCGTAAAAGGCGACTAACGGGATTGGGTGGTCAGGCTCGCTGACTTGGTTTGTGCATGTCATCGATCCGAATTGCGTGGATTGATGCTCATGATATCAATCACTGGATTGTCTGGTCCATACTCGATTATTTTCATATAGCTGGAATATTGCTGAGTACAGCGTTAAACAACAAACAAACAATATATGACGGTTGTCTATAAATAATCGAGTCTGGACCAGACAATCCAGTGATTGACGTCATGAGCATCGATCCACACAATTGGGATACGATGACATGCCTCAATCAAGTCAGCGAGCCTGACCACCCAATCCCGTTAGTTGTCTCCTATTGTTTACAGGCCGCCATCATATAGCTGGAATATTGTTGAGTGCGGCGTTTAACAACAAACAAACAAAACAATTTTCTAACCGTGTATTAATTCCCAGGGACAATTTCAGCCAAATATCTGAAATCCCTATTAACATGAACTATTCCAACTCCGAGTGATTCGTTCACCACGTGCATCAAGGTTTGTACCCACAACTCCTGGAACTGCACGTGCAACCGCCTGTTTCATTTGGACACGGGTGTAGGCGCCTTGGCGTTTCGTTGCGTCATCCGTTTTGAATTCAGATTTTACTGCCGCTTCAGAATATTAATAATTTTTCAGTGTCTTAACGTTACCACTTTGTCAAAAATATTCATATGTCTACTACAATGCCATCATTTATCAGAAATAATTTATGAAATACTACTTCGTTTTGATAAAGGAGTTACAAGTACGTCACAAATATCATTACATTACAACAGGGCGTTTGGGGCTAAACACTCTGACACGAGTTAGCTCCCTTACTTCACGTACTGCAAATGGTTGGCGTGATGAAGTGAGAGGTAGTGTGTCACGCTGTTGTCCGCAAAGTAATGCTGTTCTCACTTCGACCTTTGGTAATCCCTAGATGTGTGAGTGACGTCACCTTACTTCGCGACATAAACATATCACAACGGTTGATAGAGTCTCATTGAACATTCCCCTCCAGTCCATTATCCTAAATTACGAATAACTCCACTGCGTATACTCTATTCTGATTGTTAAACCAGAGGTTTCAAATCTCAATAAAAAACTCTTGATTAAAACAATCGCCTCATGTCGTATAAATTTTCGCACAGCTTTCCTATTGCAGAGGAGCAGAATGGATAATTCTCTAAATTTCTGTCAGCTCCCAAACTTTGTATAAAACCTGTGATTTGAAACTCTGGTTGACCAAATAGAATTAAATAGCTTTGAAGATACAAAATCTATTCCGACAATTGTGTTTCTTTTGTTTTAGTCAGTAGTTCCATCCCTTCTGTCGTGTGTTATAAACCCAGATTTGGTGATGGAGAAATCATGAAAATTTGTTGATTCCGTGAGTTGATCCTATTTTCAGAAACAACAGCGCCGAGTTATTTTTCTGACTTTATTCATGTTATGGTTGAATCTCTATTACTTTACACAATGACCAACAGTTATCTCAGTTTTACTTGTTAAAATGTCGTCTTCATAATGGTGTCATAACGGGATTTTGTATCGGGAATAGATACTTTTTCAGCCACAGCCACAAAGAGAGATATTTTTTTATATCTTAAACTAAGAGCCTGAATTTTGATTTAAGAAAAAACGCCTTGCAACAATGTAATTTTTGTGGCAGGCAATTCCCACCCCCTGAACATCAAATGGTCGGTCCATCAGCCAGATAACAACGCACCAAGATGATTTGTTTGTTTGTTGTTTAACGCCACACTCAGCAGTATTCCAGCGGTCTGTAAATAATCGAATCTGGACCAGATAATCCAGTGATTGACATCATAAGCATCGATCTACGCAATCGGGATTGATGACATGCATCAACCAAGTCAGCGAGCCTGACCACCCGATCCCGTTTGTCGCCTCTTACAACAAGCATGGTCGCCTGTTACGACACGCATGTTGCTGAAGGCCTATTCTACCCGGAATCTTCACGGGTCGCATCCTTAAAGTAATGCATCTTCTCGTTACCATGGATAAGTTTACATGAGTATAATATGTGATAGTGTTATGCAATGCATATAGATCTGAAAGGATAGTGTCGAAAGGTGTTGGGGGTAATTACTTAAACCACTCCGCTGGACATGTGTGAAATGTGGTTCCCAACCTTTACTGTCGAAAACGGGCGAATCGCACTGTACAGACAGACCCAGATCAATGCCAGACACGATACTCGTACAGATACGTCATTTATCACCGTGTGTGATGTCGTAAACCGATCGGTTTAGTTCGTAGATCGAAATAGATCCCCCTTCCACAGGTTGGCAGTCAATACATATATATGCATGGAATCCTCTTCAATTTATTCATGAAAGAACGGTTGAAGGATGTGTATATGTAACGGGTCTTTACAGCCCTGTCATGATCCTCGTTCATCAGACGCTGATACAGAGGGGGTTGTCGACGCTGAAGCTGATACATCACTCCGTGCTTTTATGTGAATCGGGGTCGCTTTATTTGACCATAAAGTTTTGGGGT